AAGTTGCCTATGCATCCAGTAACGAGCGTCAAGAGTGCCACGCATATACAATAGCCCAACCAACTCGAACATCCCAGCGAGCTCCCCCATGCTGGCTCTTGATTCGAACCTGTTCCCGTGGAGTTAAGAACACTGAATTTCCAGCATCACCGCTTCCGGACCGTATCGTGATACCAGATCCGATGCGCCAGCTAAGTTTGTCTTTACTATCAGGCGAATGACTGTTGGCCTGGAGGGAAGGTTGTTTCGAGACGGTACGTGCCTAGTATCTGCCCTGCTTTGCAAAAATCGACTTTGACAAGACCAACGAAGTGACCGAGAAACTAGCCAGTCTCCGCGGACCACGAATCTGTTGCGGGACACGTACCAGTGCAACCCCAGAGAACCCCGGGGAACACTTTCCAAGGTGCACGAATTCCAAACAGCCACGCGAAGGAGGCTCCCCCGCACACCTATCATGGAGACCTTTCCAAACAGCTAATACTACTCCTGAGCCCTGCGTTGAGATCCAGCTCCGTGATTGCGTGCCCAAAGCAGAGATCCAAGGCTTCACAGCACACTGATTGTAATCGCCTACCCTCCGACTCGAAATTACGGTGTAGAGATTGGATTGTAGAAGCAAGTATTAGGGAAAGAAGTAGACTGATGTTTTGCGGAAACCATACCGCACCGGCAATGTAGAGCGTCTGAAAACTCCCAGACTTAAGTACCTGAGTACCAGCTACTAGCCCCGTGTCGGAGCCGGGCCTGATCAGGTATGTGAGTGGTGAACGATCTGAGATCATTGGTCTGATGACACCGTTCCCGACGAGAGTAGTAGAAAAGTAGAGATTACAAAGCGCTAGGCGTGGTGCTGCGAAAAACCGGAAGTCATCGTTGATCGGGACCGATGATGACGGGAAGGTTGCGGCATCGGCTACACGGCGCTGCCGAGTGGGGTCGCCGATCGGAGATGGTGGGGCTTGCTGCCGGCTGGGCGGGGTAACCGATGAGATTCTTCTCCGGCTGCAGCCGGCCAGCCAACACGGCGCGGGTTTGACGATCCACCGGAATGGGTGTTGCGGCCAGCTCTTTGCCGAATGGCTTTCTGTGAGCGTGTGTGGCAACGCAAACTAATACAGGTACAGCGGGACGCCAAAGAGGAACATACCCGAAGGCAATGGCAATGCTAGAAGTGAAGTGAAGCAGAACAGTGAGTGTAATGCCTCCTTGGCTGCTTAGCATGCCTTGAAGAAGTGCTTATTAGCTCCCTATTCGCTTAACGCTTCGAGGACGCAAGCAGACAAAACAGAGACATTATGCCTCGCTCCAGTCTTTACACAGCGACAACAATATACAGACATTGCACTAAATCGCTTTTCCACGTGTAGGGTACATACCCACGAGGGTCTCTTACATCGTACAGGACTGATTAAAGGAGCGTTCTTTTGGCGATCGCTGGGAAAGATGGTGTTTTCGAGAGGTCCGTGACACCGACAACGCTTTGATGCTGTAGGGCTCATCCAGTTCATTCTCAAGGCCACAGAGTAAACCCACGAGACGGATTCCGAAGCTCCGACCGTGAATTCTCCGAGACCATTGGATGCCAAGTTGGTCTGCTTGGTAAGGTGTCCTGACTCAAGAGAGCGCATACTCAAGGCGGACGCGGCAGGAGACCAAAGCAGGCTGGCAGACCTCATCTGTTGCATGTTGGAATCCGGTCTGATTCTGCAATGTCCTGCAAACCTCTTTCGCGTCCTGGGACGTTATCACAAGCACGCAATCAAGCATCAGCAGGGCAGTAATACATATGCACTGAATATTTGACCTGTCCGGCGCCGTCTGATCCTACATAATGTCTGCCTGTTCTTATGTTATTGTAAATATCTTTTTTTACTTCAAAAGCCCGGACCACCGGTTCAAATGAAGATGGGACGTTTTGGGCACTGACCGGGCCGGACCGGTTTTCGTCGGTTCCATGGGATCTCGGCGACATGATGCGTGTGTAGACATCTACTTGTTCGCTTGGATGGAGATCGACGAAAAGTCCCCCGTAGTGAGTACCTGTCGACAATGGCAAGTGGGCCAGCATGAGACCTGCATAGAACGAGCAGAGGGATATTCACGAAATCCAAGGATCATGCACTTGATTGAATGGCTTCAAAAAAGCTCTCGCTTTTGTTAGGTAGGTATTCAATGATACCGTTCATGTCCACTTGGGGCTGAGGAAGAAATAGGGTATTGTGACACACATGACAGCAAATCCTGGATTGTTAGAGGCAAAGCAGAAAAAGGTTGCTATGGGGAAGGAGCTATGATAGTGCGATTGTAGCTTCTGCGACCAACACGCCCCCGCATTACTAACAAATGGCGAGCATTGACGAGGAGCATATGCATAACACACTAACATGACCCCATCCTCGGAGGGGAACACTCGTTTGGATCATCTAGTGCCTGAATGCGCAGAACTGACGTTATGTTGAATGCATTCCTGAACGGGGCCATTGAACACCAAACTCCATAATAAGCACGACAAATCGCCCGATTGAGAGAATGATGAGGCGAAGTTGGAGAACCAATGACTTGATCACAGAGCAAGAGGGTGTATCTGTTGTTCTTCTGTTCGGTTTTTGTCTCGTTTCCCATCCCCTCCTGGCATACTCCCCGAGCGGTTTCTGCGCAACCTTGGCAATCTGGCAAGTTGCCGCTCGGGCATTTGTCCTCACCCGATGACTTTTCACTTCCTGGTGCCGGCGGCCATCCGATGATCTCCACGCCGGGCCTGGGCGGTAAAGTGAAGAAACAACACACTCCGTCCAGCCCTGAGAACTGTTATTCACCAAACGATGAGTCTGAGAACCGGCCCCAACCTCTCGTAAACATTACCTGGACTTACCTCGTAGTTCCATGATAGAGGTACCTCTACGCCTCCGGCTTTAAACATGATGTACCCCTTACGTCTCTGCCTTCTCAAGTCAAAGGTCCAAGCAACAGCGGGAACCTGTCGCGTCTTCGTTGCAACTCCCACCCGAGCTAATGTCGTTCCTAGGCACCTGCTGGCCCATGGCTTAACCCTACCTGACCTGGACACTTGCTGTCTGCTCCCGTTGACAGCCCTGTTCACGACGGCAATAACTGGGAGGCTCAAGAAGCCATAGATTTGCTTCACCATCTGCTGGCGTTCGAATAGTCGGTTCCTACCTCAAAGACCATGACTAAAGCCGTCAGAAACGAAATCGAAGTATCACAGACAGAGTGGACGTTGACTGTTCCTGTACACAGTGAGATGGCTCTACTGCGTAGGTATGCACACACAAAAATACAACCGCCATCGGGGAGGTTAGCTTGCCACAGTCGGCTTACGGTAAACGCACTGTATACTTGGAGAACACACATCATGATGTCCACAGCTTCCAGCGGACGCTTGATTGCCCATTATCGTTGGTTCCAGTATCAACCTAGTAGAAGAGAAAAAAATTAGCTAGCCAGCTAACCAAAAGTGGCTTTCAGTTTGCATCTGGCTTTCAAACTGTCACTCTTGCTTTTGCTTTTCCTTCGCAGCCGTTAAGACAGGACAGGGCCGGTTGTAAGGCGCATTTGAGAGGCTTCACTTCCACATACCTCCTGGCTCGCCTCCCTTTTAGTTACTTCTATCCTTCAACATTGCATCTTGTATGGGTTGTACCTGCTTTTTACCATTCCGCAGAGCAACTAAGAAATTGCACCGCATGTGTGACCAAGGAGGCTTTGGATCTTTAACGATGCTGAGAGTTGGCGAGATGCAAAAGTTGACTAGCAGCATCTGGCTCGAACCCTTGCGCTAATGCTGAACAGGCAGTGAATTACTGCGTGGTATACCCGCTCAGTTCTGTTTGGGTCAATGTAACGAGAAAAGAGTATTGAAAATCCAGATCGCGACCGGAGTGGTTGGTTGACGCCCACTTTCTAGGTTGTCCGGGGAGGGGGTTTGTAATAACAGGGATAGTCAAGGCTTGGACCCTCTAGCGAGAGGTAGCTACGTGTTTACTAGGGCGTTTTCTTTTTCTTATTTTATTTTTACTAGGCGGGGGAGGGGGGAGGGAGGGGGGCAGGAAGCCATTGGGGCCTCCGCCTGCCAATCAGAGTGGCCTGTGAATTCAAGGAACCGAGAGACGAAGGCTCGCTTTCCTCCCGTAGAGACACCTGGTACCTTGCTGAGGTAGGTAGATGAAATAGCGGAGCACTAGTGGGTACTCACCACAGGTGGAAGTTTCCCAGCAAGCACTGTACTTGCCCCAGCACACCCGCTCCCACACGCCCGCGGGCTGGGCAGGCCCCAACACTCTTAGGTTGTCGTGGGCGGGCCTACGGCGCCAGTGAGGTAGGCCTGGCTACCTACTTGCCTTTACCAGGGAAGGTACCTACTGTGTGTGATGATGCGAAAACCGAAACGGTCAACCGGCCGGCCTGTTGTCTGTTTTCCTCAGTCCAGCCTTCGCCTAGTACCCGTCTGTCTATCCATCCGACCCCGGGCTCTCCATCTCGACTTCCCGTCCTCGCTCCTCACCACCGCCGTGACCTAAATCCAGCCGGGCCCCGTCCTTCCTCTCCCCAGCTCTTCCCACTTCAGTTCCTTCGCTTTCCTTACCCCAACTCCCTCTATCCACCCGCCTCCCCATTTTCTCCCACCTGCACGTCCTTTGGCAGAGAGGTGCATTGCGAGGAAAGCAGGTTCCTGTGAGGTCCAGTTAGTTGAGAAGGAGAAGGTAAGTGTGTACACTGCGCTGGACTCGCAACTCGAGCAGCCGTCTGAACGGGGAACACTCAAAATTTTTACGGGCGAGCTAACCCCTCAACTTTCATCTCTTAGACCGACACCAGCACGCAGCCATTCACCCATTACGCGTCGAGACCATTTCACTTCACCTCTTATCCGATCAGCCATTCACCTGCATTAGTGGCCCAGGTTGCCTTGACCACCATCCTCGGGGAAATCGATAAAACAAGAGTCACGACTTGGAGCTTGAAGCGTCCTTTTTTTTTTTTCCATTTGGTCTCGGCAAGTTTTGTTTTATCACAAGGACACGGTCGAACTTCTCTCTCGGTGTTCCGGTTCTTGTTGCATGAGTGTGCTCTGCCTCGATCAGACCACGCATCGAAGCTGCATTGCGTCTTTGGTTCTGCATAAGATAAGGCTTGGAAAACCTCGATACCAACTGTGGCCATACTTGGAAGCATTGCATCAACAGGGCACAGATCGGAGTCCGGTACGGCGTGATCGGAATAGCTGCCACATTTCATTTACAGAAGAACATGCCACAGCTCCTTTACAGAACTTATAAGTAGTCGGACGGTCCTTTAACCTCGTTAACTTTTTCGGTTTCTTGAAAAGGCATTGAGTTGCAAAAACGCGAACAACGCCTGGACAACCCATCGTTCGTTGACTCCCACCACAGCCAGTCCCCACATCAGCGCCAACTGCCGCTCATCATCCAGCAGTACTCGACACAAGCATCACGCCCCGGATACATCAACGCACATACGTACGGTCCCACACTCTCGGGACCTCGTTGCCCGACATACCCTCCGGCCATCAACTCTTTAGTCCACCGGGCCAGCAAGGCTTAGGACCCGAATCCTATTCGACCATGAACCCCAACGGACCAGCCGACGTTTACTACGGACAAATGTCCCAGGGCAGTTCGATGCCCGTAACGACGGTACCTTCCCACTCCCATTACGCTTCTCAGCAGCCTCCGCCACTGTTGCAACCTGGTTCAACCTATGCTCACCAGTATGGTAACCCCCAATACGGATATGCCAACGCTCTTAGCTCGCCGGCTTCGATCCCGCCGTCTCTCCCCCCGTCCATGAACTCGATGGCCGGCCAATCGGTCTTGCCGCTTCCTGGTAGCGGCAGCATGAATCCTGCTGTTTACGCCGGCGGCGGTTTCGACACAACTGGCCAAGTAGCACCCCCCGGTATGAAGCCCCGTGTCACTGCCACGCTGTGGGAGGATGAAGGCAGTCTGTGCTTCCAGGTTGAAGCAAGAGGCATCTGTGTTGCTCGCAGGGAAGACAATGCCATGATCAACGGCACCAAGCTCCTCAATGTCGCTGGCATGACCCGCGGACGCCGTGACGGTATTCTCAAGAGCGAGAAGGTCCGTCACGTTGTGAAGATTGGGCCGATGCACCTCAAGGGTGTCTGGATCCCCTTTGAGAGAGCTTTGGATTTTGCCAACAAGGAGAAGATTACAGAGCTTCTTTATCCTCTGTTCGTACACAACATCGGTGCCCTCCTCTACCATCCCACCAACCAGAGCCGGACCAGCCAGGTCATGGCTGCTGCTGAACAACGCAGGAAAGACAGCCACGGCCAACTTCGCGGGCCCCCCGGGTTGCCATCCCTCCAACAACATCATCACCATTCCATGCTTCCAGGCCCCCCGTCCTTGCCCTCGCATCCTTCCATGGGACGGCCGGCGCTTGACCGTGCACACACCTTCCCTACACCGCCAACTAGTGCCTCGAGCGTGATGGGCCCAATGGGCAATTCGGACGGCTATCAGTGGAGCCAACAGAGCATGAATGGCACGCAGGGCAACAGCTCGCTTTCTCTCGACACAAACCTTGGTAGCAACGCTCGGTCGATGCCAAGCACGCCGGCAACGACGCCGCCAGGTTCGACAATCCAGAGCATGCAGAACTATCCGCCCGTCAGCCAGTCGTACGAAAGCTCTCGACAGATGTACCAGGGACAGTCTGCTCAACAAGCTCAGTACCAGAGCCAACAGCACTACTCTAGCCAACCGCAGCATCAAGAGCGGTCCGTCTACAGCCAAAGCAGCTATATCAAGAACGATATGGGCCCGCCGTCTGGTAGACCTACCGGCCAGTCCAATGACGCATCCGACTCCAAGCCGCCTACTGGCATGATTCACCAAGGCCAAGGGCAGAGTGACCCCGGCACTCATGCAGGTTCCGAAGAGGATGATGATGCGAATAACGAGGCCGAGTATACCCACGACAGCGGTGGCTATGATGCGAACCGCGGGTCTTACAACTACAACACACAAGCCGTTAACTCGCTGCCGCACGATCACGGTCTTGCTCCTGAAATTGGCGGTTCCCCCCATCAAGCTGGATCAGGCCGCGCAACCCCAAGAACCGCAGCGGCGCCTCCGAGCTACTATTCTGCGCAGGGTTACCATACTCCCCCGCGCGGCCAACCCTCGAGCAGCTTGTACAATGTTATGAGCAACGAGCGAACCGGTAGCAACGGCACTCAGGGAAATGAGATGTACGCGGGCCAGGCTGACATGCCCAGTTCCCTGCCGAACGGCTACTCGGCCCAGCCATCCGTTATGAACGGGAGCTCCGGTGGGCTGAAGCGAGGACGGGACGATGACGATGATGGCGGTAGGCCTACGACCGGCGCCCCAAACTTGGGTCCAGGAATGGATATGAAGCGTCGCAAAACGATGATGGACGGCGGCAGCCTCCCATCACCTACATACACCGCCACTATGGCGCAAGCCGCACCTCCAGCTATCGCGGCCCACAGGCGGAGATAAACAATGAGTGAGGGGTATATCGCCAAACTTGATGCCCGACCCCTCTGGAAGTGTCTCGTGCCATTTTCCTTTTCTTTTGTTGTTTTATGACGCTTTCATGTTCGGCTTGACGACGCTTATGACCTTTATGTTATGACTTTTGTTCGACTAAAAAAAGGTGGGACGGGAGTGGGTGTTGTCGAGAAGCGTGGGGGGGGAAGGGGGTGGTATGCTTCTTTTTATCTCGTCTGATTTCGGCTTGGAAACACATTGGCTCGGTGGGCTGCCTTTCTCAGGGTCACGACTTTATGAAGGAGCTTGTAAATACGACTTTAGAGGATCATCATCAATGCATGCGTGGGTTGAATGGTGCCTGAGGAGCCTTGGGTTAGCCTTCATCACTCAACTCTTTTTATAGCGTACCTTACTTTTACACTTCACGGGAAATCCATCCAATATGTGCTGCTGTGGCGTTTTATGTGCCGGGACCTGACACTACGCGATAATAATAGCGGAAAATGGAAGTCGAGATACGCAAGTAGCACGGCAACGCACGTCCCTCGTTTGACTCGAACAGGCTCACACCTGACAGGACCAGGGACGCCAGGGGCAAGATGGGCACATTGGATCGATTGTAGAAGTCGTGGTTCCGGTAGGTACCTACTAATGGTAAGCTCAAGCTGAGCTCTTCTGCGTAGTGTACGGGGTACATCTGGGCCACGGGGCAGCATTCACCTCAAGGTACCTAAGTAACTACCTGCTAGGCCGGGCCGTTAAGCACAAGTGGAAGGGAAGCACAGGTTGCCATCCAATGCCAGCCGGGCAGGCTCGTCAGGCCCCCCCAGGGCATTTTAGAGGGAGGGACACACAGCGCGACTGCCCCTGGCGACGGTTGCATGCTGGGGAAACAAAAGAAATGAAACACAAGTGCAGGCGGGGGGGTAACGCTCAACGCAACCTCTCTCGACCTGGACGTCAATCGCAGCCCACACTTTTGCTCATTTCCTGTGATGAAAGGAATCCCTCTGCATCCACAACCACCATCGACCGCGACCAAGACCCGATTCATCCCCCACTATTTCCGCCTTCGACTAGTCTAGGGGAATACCTCGGGGGCTGTAGCAAGCAAGGCACGCCACGCTTGGTTTGGTTACGCCCTCGTCTGCGGCTCCGACGACGCAGATTAGGATGCTTGGGCCGCTTTCGCCGATGCCGACTTCTGTTCCTCTCAATCTTTCAACCCCTATTAGCGACCGTCGACAAGAAATTTCCGACATCATGGATATGGATCTAGATGACGCTCCTTCGAGGAGAAACAATACACAGCAAACTACCGCGGGCGACAACGCCGACAACAGCAAGAGCAGCGAAGCTGACAACACGACATCGCCGCCCATCAGTCGTGATCCCTCGCCGCCGAAATCTGCCCGCCCCATGTCGCGCATCATCTCTGGCAACGAGCTCTCCCCTCTCAAGATTCTCCAGCACCAGGCGCAACCGCAGCCATTGCCGGAAAGCGCCGACTCCCCTCTATCGCCCGTGGCAAAGAGTATGGCCCCGCCCCCGCTTCCCCAAAGCGCCCGCAAAACACCCATCAAGCGTTTCCCCGTCAAGGTCAACCCTTCATTGCCTGGCAGCGAGACGACGCGCTCCTCGTCACGAGACTCGCAAGATCGTCGGATAAGCCTGCAGGACGTGATACGTGAAAACGGAGGCATCAAGCAAGCCATCGACATATTCGAGGACGACGATGTTGACATGACCGGCATCGAGGGAGACAGTGGTTCTAAGGACACACTGCTACAAAATACGTCAGGCAATAGCACGGGCAGCGAACATGAACAGGCGACACGCGAAGAATCCGTCTGCGAAGGGAACGATACCATTGTTAGCACATTCAGCACATTTTCGGCTGTCCCAGACCTCACCAAGTTTTCACACATGCGATCCGAGAGCGCAAGCAGGTTTCCGGTGCTTGGTGGAGGGGTATCGCCTACAAAACAGACACCGCGCGTAAACGGCCTGGTGCCTAACAATAAAACAACGACCGGGAAGAAGAGAGACTTCGACTCGGGCAACGCCTCAAACCTGCTAGACTTTACGGATTCGTCACGATATGGAGGCTATGGAGCACCACAGGCGTCGCCCACACGCCGTACCCAGTTCGCATCGCCGCGGCCTGGTAGCACTGACCTTGCCACCACGACGCCCCACCGCCCGGGCAGCAATCTTTCCAACATTCTCGATTTCGACATCCCACCGATGCCGACACCGCGTAGCGTCCCAACTATTACCCCGCGCGAACTCGAAACCCTGAAATCGGGCTTCCTTTCCGAGATCAGCAGCCTCAAGGCCTCGCTGAGCGGCAAGGAAGCAGAAGTCACGTCGCTGAAAACCGCTGTGAGCGACGCCGAGAAGCGGGTCGGCGAGTGCATGGAACGGCTTCACGAGGTGGAGAGCATGCATGAGTCACTAGAGGCCGAGAAAAATACCTGGGAGCGACGGGGGCGAGAAATGGAGGCCGTGTTGCGGCAGGTCAAGGAGGAGATTGTGCTCGGTCGGCGCGAGAGGGAGGAGCTCGAGTTCAAGCTGGACGAGGCCGAGAAGCGTCGGGAGGCGGCCGAGATGATGGCCCAGGATGCCGAGAGCAAGATGGCTGGCATGCGTGCTGGTAAGGCCAGCGCGGAGGCCGCTGCTCACGAGTCGCCTGACAAGGCAAGGGGACAGCCATCATCCAACAAAGAGGTGGAGATGGCGGTGGAACGCGTGGCTCGTGAGCTTCATGCGCTGTACAAGAGCAAGCATGAAACCAAGGTGGCGGCGCTCAAGAAGAGTTACGAGAGTCGCTGGGAGAAGAAGGTGCGCGACTTGCAGACGCAGGTGGACGAGCTTAGCCGGGAGAACGAGGAGTTGCGAAAACAGAGGGACCAAGATAAGACGGCGTTGGCGACTCTTAACCCGGCGCGGCTTACTGAGCTGGAGGAGGAGCGCAAGGCCGATCGGGCGCGGAATGCCGTGCAGATCAGGGAGTTCGAGGCCGAGGTGGAGAAGCTCGTGGCTATTCTCCAAACAGTCAAGGACGATAACGATGAACTCAGGGCACTCTTGGAACAGGAGAGAGTTGAAAAGGGAGAACTAGTTCGTCTCGCCGAGGAGATGATGAGCATGCAACAAGAACCGCCCACGCCCGCGCCCGCACCTGCGCCTACCCACCTATCGACCTCCAATGGCCGGGGACGTGCCGACCGTAGGGGAAGCGATGTCAGCGCCACTAGTAACGGCGACAGCGGTCATCACGCGCCGCAGCCAGCGAGTATGACCTCCAAGATTGGAGCGAAGCCACGACTTGGTCTCGGAGGTGGGCCGGGAGCCGTACGTGCGCCCATAAAGACACAGTCAGCATCCGGAATCGCTCCTCCGTCGGGTATGGAGGGGGCCTTCCGGGCTGGTGGTGTCGGACGCCCAACTAGCATGAGGGCGCCTGGAGGAAGTGGTCTCGGGCTGAAGGTCTCGGCGGGGACCAGAATTGGGCTCGGTGGCGGCTCGGGTCATGGAAGGGCTCAGAGCGCTACGACATCAGGACCAAATGGCGTGAGTGGGTTGCCGCGGCCGGGGTCGGGGATGGGATTGAGAGGTAGCGGGACCTTGGGTGGTGGTGGCTTCGGTGGTACGGGAGGTTATCGGGGACACTGAGGAAGTGTGACCAAGCCTACTACAAGTACTACCCAAGCCAAGCCTGGTTGCCCTCTTGTTATGAAGGTTTTGAAGCAGCAAGACAAAGGAGGTGGAAACGAGGGGAGCTATGGTGACACAACCAAAACGACAGCGAAACGAACTGATGCGAAATGAGTGCGTTCCATTTACCTTTTTGACTTTTCTACCTTATATCCACATACACCCTTGTTTTGCCTTTTGTCTGGCTAGGTCAAGGGCGAGACTTGTGTCTTTAGGATCTGTACAACAACACAGATGGAGTAATACAATCATGTTTCTGTTTGTTCTATACCATGCTTGCGTCTCCTCTACATATAGACATGATCGGTGCCATAGATACATACATACCCTTTGCTTCAGGAATTGTTAGTCAGTCATCTTCTTTCGTCGAATACCCTTTGACGCGCCACTGTCATAAGCCTTTGAAACCGTGGCGGCTTTGGCTAGAGCTCTATATACGTCAACTGCCATGCTCACGGTATACTCGTCCCTCGGACCGTCAGCATGGGTGCTTTGCCAGGTCGATTAAGACAGATTTACAGATAGAGTTGAATCTTGACGCAGTCATCATGTCAGCCAATATACTACTGCGTTCGACGGAAACTGGTTGATCAACCACAGTGTCTTTCTACTATGCCCCCAAATACAGAGAAACAAGATGGGATGAAAAGCTTGGACTTGTAATCTCTAAACCACCCATGATTTTCCCACCTTTTGAGCCCCGTTGATAAGTGAAAAAAACAAACAAACAAACAAACAAACAAACAAACTTCAAGCCATTGCCGCGCGTTCGACTCAACTTTAAATCGCCAACCTCTCATGCTTGAACCTCCTTTTCCCCTCTCCCTCTCCATAAACCGCACTGACATGTCCCTGCCCCCTAATCTTGTACTTGTAAATCATTAACCCCTCCAAGCCCACAGGACCGCGTGAGTGGATCTTGTTAGTGCTAATACCGACTTCAGTACCAAAGCCGTAGCGCATACCGTCCGCGAATCGGGTCGACGCGTTCCAGTACGCGCCCGAGGCGTCCACGGCCGACATGAAGCGCTCAGCCTCGGCCTGGTCCGCGGTCAAGATCGCTTCGGTGTGGTGCGACCCGTGCGTGTTGATGTGGGCGATGGCTGCTGACAGGTCGGGGACGGTCTTGACTGCAAGGGTGAGGGAGAGAAATTCCGTGTTGTAATCCTCGGGAGTGGCGTCTTTGATGTTGGTGATCTCGGGGGAAAGGGCGGCCGTGGAGGCGGCGTCGCATCGCAGCTCAACGCCCTTGGCGGCCAGGGCGGAGGCGACGGCGGGGAAGACAGTGGTGAGAGCGGATTCTTGGACAAGTAGGGTCTCGACGCTATTGCAGGCGGCCGGGTAGCTGGTCTTGGCGTCGACGACGACGTCAGCGGCCAGCTTGGCGTCGGCAGAAGCCGTCAGATAGATGGAACAGAGGCCATCAGCGTGGCCGAGGACGGGGATCTTGGTGTTCTCCTTGATGTACCGGACCAGCTCGTTGGATCCGCGGGGGATGACGAGGTCAATGTCGCGGTCGAGGGCGAGCAGCTGGGGGATGGACTCGCGCGTGGTAACGAGCTGGATGGCGTCGTTGGGTACCTGGGTTTGCGAGAGCGCATTGGAGATGGCGGTGCTGATGGCCACAAACGACTCGGTCGACTCCTTGCCGCCCTTGAGGATGGCCGCGTTGCCGGACTTGACGGCCAGCGCGGCAATGTTGGCGATCACCTCCGGGCGAGCCTCGAAGATGATGAGCAGCACGCCGATCGGGCAGGTGACGCGCTCCAGCTCGAGGCCGTCGTCCAGCTTGGTACGAAGGGTGACGCGCCCGACGGGGTCCTCCAGGTCGCGCACGTCCAAGATGCCCTTGAGCATGTCCTCCCACTTGCCCGTCTTGCCCAGGTCGAGGCGGGACACCAGGCTGGCGCTCAGCTTGCCGTCGGCAGCGGCTTGGCGGGCCAGCTCAAGGTCGCGGGCGTTGGCGGCCAGAATTTCGTCGCGCGCGGCAGTGAGGCCGGCGTGGATGACCGTCAGGGCGTCGTTGCGGGCCTCGGCCGAGAGCGTGGCCAGCACGTGGGAGGCCGACTTGGCCGCCCGAGCCGCATCGGCGGGACTTGCGTTGGTGAGAGACATGGCTGTGCGTCGTCCTAGTGTAAACCAAATTAGCTATATGAGAGGAGACGTTGAAAGTTGGTCATGCTGGCTGGATGGCAACTCACCTGAGGTCAAAAAGTGGGGTTTGACTTATAGAGACGGGGAGTGATGATAATATGTACAAATATGTACTGTAAGTACCGTTGCGGTGGGTGCAGTGATGTTCCGGGTAGGTACTACCTCTCTATGGGATAACAAAGTTTTGACTCAAGGTCCCGCTCTCTCGTTACGGGGATCCAGATGTTCGGCCCGGGGTGTGAGTCAAAGTTCTGGAACTTGTTCCTTCTTGGCCTCTCCGCCCTGTACCTACTACCTTTAGGTAGCCTCCGCCGTGTCTTCGGCGTCCGTGCCGTTCAACATACACTGGTACACCGTGAGAGGTCTCGCTACGGAGCCGTGCAAGGGGGAGTTCAATGCCCAAGGGTGCCTGTACACGTACTGTGGTGGCTCCGTAACCGTTCCGTCCAGGCGCCGTTCAGTGGGTAATGCCATCGGATAGTGCATTGCGTGCCGAAGACCCGAGCGGGAGCGGGCTGGCTCCGGAAGTCGGAAGCGGGAGCCAGCAGGAACCAATAAGAAACGTTTCCCACCGCCCATCACCGGGCCGTTCTCGGTGCCGCTGCTGTCCTTTTGATCAGGAGCGGCTCGTGCGAGCAACTTGAGATCACATGAACACCGCCAAAACGAGGAAGGGGAAATCCCACGATGAATCATTCCGATTGAATGGAACCCAACGTTGTGTCGCCCTTATTGATACAATGTGCCATCATGCGCAACGGAAAGCCATGTGCATATGCCCCGACGTTGTCACCGTTAACTATCGACATATGCTGTGGAGGGCCTTCGGAACCTCCATTTGTCCAAACTTCGAGGAAGCAGTTCATCCTTTTTCGCGGCCGCTTGGTAATGGGTCCATGTCGACGGTGGATGTTCGTGGGCGCCAAGGCAGAATGAAGTGACCTTACACCTCTATGCCTCGTTCTGGAAGGCGCACCCTGGCATCAAGATTGCTATCGGCACCTTGCCCAAAGGAGGACACTGAACAGTTGGTGAGCAAGTGCAAGTGCAGTGCGGTGGATTGAATCAACGGACGGCTCACCCGCCCCTGCCCTTTTCGGTATTCCTGTTCCATGCCGAGGACCAAGTTGGTGCTTCAGCTACTTATCTCAGACTTGTTGCGGTGACCTGACCGACTCCTTCCTCGTTCTCCTCCTCATCTTGGCTTTGCTGCTCTCTCTATCTTTATTTTATCTTCTTGTCTTGTTACACATCGATATCTTCACTGGTCGGTTTTGTCGCACTACTCGATTTATCTACCAGCTGGCGTGTCTTGGTCATCTATATTTCACCGTCGCGAGCACTCGTCTTGCCATTTAGCTTCAACTGTTCATACGTGGGCATATCTTAGCTATATATTTCCGCTCCCTGCCTTGAACATCGTCGCTGCTCGTTTCCAAGTTCCAAGGGACTGGAATTTGTCCTACAACTGCCCTTTGCGACCATCCATAACTCCGTGATAGGCTTTGGGTTTTATCCATACCCGGATTTGCATGGCGGCTCCGAGTGTTCCCTCCACTTACTTATACTCAGATCGCCACCAAGTACCGCCATGGACGAACGACATCCAGAAAAAGACTCCCCAAGGCCAGTGGCTCTCGCTAATACACAGGAAACCTTCTCCGGAGGGGTGCCAGAGAAGAAGGGCACGAAGGAGCAAATGACCTCTTCAGGTTCTGATACTGACGGACCTGAAGTTGTCGACGGCTCTGATCATGAACCAGGCCCAGAACAGGACAAACCTCATCCTGGTGGCGACTCCACCTTGCCTCAGCCCTATCGCACTCTCTCTTCTTCCCGGGCCCATACGGCTTGTGTTGTCGCAAGGGCGGATCGTAGGGGGCTCTTGGCTCGCTTCGCTTTCATTCCCGAGGTTGAGCATCCTGTCGAATACAAGAACAAGACGAAATGGATGATCACGACCATAGTTGCACTCGCAGCTGCTGGCGCCCCTTTTGGGAGTGGCATCTTTCTTCGTAAGCAATGAGGCCACATTCAGTGAGCTTGGTTTTGTGGCGTCCGGAGACTGACATTCAATACAACAGCTGCTCTTGAATTGATGGCTGATGACCTACATACATCGCCAACTATCACCAACTTGGCCGTTGCCTTGTACATGCTAGCTATGTCAATATTTCCCCTCTGGTGGTCATCATTCTCGGAAACGTTAGGCCGACGGACGATTTACATTGCCTCTTTCACGTTGTTTGTTGTCTTTTCGGTCCTGAGTGCTGCCAGCGTAAATACTGCTATGCTTGTGATAATGCGCCTTCTTGCTGGAGGAGCATCAGCATCCGTGCGTACCATTTACTTTAAACCACGCAACAATAAAGACTGATCCATAAACCCCATCAGGTACAAGCCGTCGGTGCTGGCACTATCGCCGACATTTGGAAGCCAGCAGAGCGCGGACGAGCCATGGGAATCTTCTATCTCGGCCCCCTAATCGGCCCTCTGTTGTCCCCCATCATCGGCGGAGCACTTTCCCAGGGGTTCGGGTGGCGATCAACCATGTGGTTCCTCGCCATCTACGGCAGCTGCACTTTGATCCTGATCATCTTCGCCCTACCCGAGACGCTCACCAAGCGCAAGCCCCTTCCACCGCCGCCCGCTGAGAACAACGAGCTCAAGCGTGTCTCGACACGCCAGTCTGTCGCCGAACACTCTAAACGCGCTGGCGCTATCACTAAGCGCTTCATCATCGAACCTCTCGAGGTACTCCTTTACCTGCGATATCCCCCAGTTCTGGTGTCTGTTTACTCTGCCGCCATAGCGTTCGGTGCTCTCTTCATCCTCAATATCTCTATTCAGACAACCTTCCATTCAGCACCCTACGGTTACTCTACCATTATCGTCGGCCTCTTTTATTTACCCTCTTCTCTCGGCTACATTGTTGCTTCACTTCTCGGTGGACGATGGACCGACAAGATTATGATGCGTGAGGCCCGCAAGGCTGGCCGCTACGATGCTGATGGCAACCCCATCTTCCTGCCCGAGGACCGCATGCGTGAGAACATCTGGTTAGCTGCCAGTATGTATCCCGCCGCCATGGTTTGGTTCGGTTGGACGGCGCAGCACGGTGTCTATTGGATCGTGCCCTGTGTTGCCAACTTCTTCTTTGGGTGCGGGTCCATGCTCGTCTTTGGTGCCGTCACGACCATGTTGACCGAATTCATGCCGCACCGGAGCAGCAGCGGTGTGGCCGTGAACAACTTTGTGAGAAATATTTTCTCGTGCGTGGGCACAATCGTCGCTCAGCCGCTCATCAACGCCATGGGGATTGGGTGGTTGTGCACCATGATCGGGTTGTTTGCGTGGGTTACTGGCAACCTGGCAATTTGGCTGTTGAAGAGGAACGCGGCCAAGTGGAGGGAGAGTATGGATAACGCGTTGAACACGAAGGCTTGAGCTTGATCAGCTAGTGGCGTGTCTGTTGCTGTGTGGGCGGTTTCACACCCAAAGGTGAAACATTAAGCGGAGGATACCAAAGAGTAAACGTCTGAGTGTTTGCTTCTGATGGAAAAATGATTATGAAGACATGAATTTTGATGGTTTGGTTAGATACATATCGATGTAGAGGGCATACACAATGAACATTCAGCGTTGGACGGGTAAGGTGTATTATAAGTCTAGTTTCAATCAGTGGTGTATACCCGCAGAGGCTTGATCTTTCCCTCTCAATGTAAAGTCATTCATCCTTGTGCATTCTCTGGTGATCACAAGTAGGTGCATTCCGAAGCCGACAAAGACATATGCTAGTGCTGCTTCAGGTGTGGTTGAGCTGAGCATGGATATCGCCTAGGAGCCCAAGAGGCCAGAGTATTTTCCCTCGAAACCATTTTCCTCTCTGCTCACCAACCAGCACCACAAGACGTCTTACTTGCAGTTACCCCCTCCTCCTTCTTCCTTTTTTTTTTTCTATTTTTCTTATTTTTTTCTTTCGGGCCGTGACCACAATATCACTCCAACATGTCAATACGATAGACGCTCCAAGAGAAATAGCTTTCAGTCTCGTTTCACCAAGCGTGCGGCGAGTGCTAGCTGTCGACTAGACACATCCGCTCCTTGTCATTAAACTCACGGCGGTAGCCGAGAAAATTTGCACGATCTATTCTCTCACAGATGAAGCCATCACCAGCTATCCACTCCCCAGGCCATGCCCTTTGTTCATAATCACAGCTAGCCTATACCTGGAAGTCGAAATATAGGCTCAAAATATTCCGCCTGTAAACCATCAATTAGATAAGATTCCCTCGTGGCGCAATTGGCTAGCGCGTCAGACTGTTAATCTGGAGGCTGTAAGTTCGATCCTTACCGAGGGAGTTGTCCAATTATCTGTATGTTTTTTTTGCTTTCCTTCCTGGAACGTGGCTCCTAAGCTTCAATCCAGCTTGTTCTGGGGCAGTCACGATATTTTTTTTTATTTTTTTTTTAGGGTGAGCAAGCCCCGCTGTCGGTGTTGAGGGAAAGGTATACTGACGGTGAGGATGGTTTTGGAAGAGGACGCAACTCGAAAGCGTCCATTCGCACATGCACAGCGATCCACCATCCTTTGAGCCTCCCAAGTCTAGCTTTGTGTCATTGAACCCAGTGTGCATGTTGGGCATCTTTGAACACTTGGGCAGGCGATATTTCAAATCGGTTATCGTGATCATTTGAGCTGGATTTGGAAAGCGTTCCAGGCGAGAATGATGTGAAACTGAGGGGTGTCAGGTTCCGAAACCAAAACCAATTTCGTATCGATTGAATCACCTCGAATTAAACTGGTGATGTTACCTGCTGAAGTGCTGATCATTTTGATCTCTGGAAAGCAATGTTGTGCTGAGCCAGGTGTTCCAGCCATAGCGGGGATGATGATGAGACTAGGCACACTCGGTTACGTCGATCAGGTTTTCATTCTGTTCGTAAACATTGATCATTGTTGTGCACAATCGATGGCATCACACGTTTACGGTTTTCTTTTTGGCGCCAGGACGGTCGGTCACCTTTAGGATTTGTCCAGCTGGCCAGTCCGTGCCGTCGCTGCCTCGCCATTCGCTCGTTTCTGGCTGCTCGGGGGTTCAGAGCAAAGAACAAAAGGGCAGAATAGAATTCGGTTATGCATCCATATTCACGTCTTTGCGGTCGCATTAGGGCGCAACCGACCAACTGGAATGTTTCAATCTACTGACGGGATCGGTTGCTTCGATACCATCAGACTTGTCGCTGGGAGACGAGTTAAGGGATGGGGCTTTCTTCACGACGCCCAAAGCCCAGAACTGTTACTTCGCGCTCGTTGTGTATCTTGGATAAGTAGTACTGAATGCGTGGGTTGGTGGAGGTTGGTGGACGACGACGATGATGATGATAATGATGAGGGGCAAGTGAAGACAACCCGCAAACGACGGGACCGAGGCTCTGGAAAAGGGATTTGGGAGCTTCATTATAATGGGGACTGGATCAGGATCCCTCCGTCTTGACTCGAGGTGATCGGATCCTAAATCCGACGCAGGGCAGGGCTTCCGGCTCATTCCCTCCATCGGATCACGAAATGGAGCCAAGAATGGACACGCACAAGGACGAACTCCAGAACTGCAATTCACACGCAACCTGAATGGAACCAAACCTGACTGTTGCAGCCAAATTTCGTCAGCAACGCCGACTCGCCATGCCGTGCGCTGTTCACACATGGATTGCAAACGCTGCAGCACCACCGCTCCGACATTTTGAGACTTATCTAGCACACCCCAAAGTAAAGGTTTAATGACTACATGTAGAATGCGCTTGTAAATCCCTTGTAGTAGTCCGTGTTTCCCGTCATTACAACAAAAAGGGGGGCATGTCGCGATTGGCGATGGCGACGGGCCTGGACGGTGCCTGGTGACGGGACGGGCTTCGTTGTGTGCGGATCGTATTCAGGGATTTCGCCAAGACCCAGGTACGAGCCTACTTAGGGTTGGGGTTGTAGGAGTGCACGTGGATGTGGATGGGTAACCGACCTCTGTTTTTGCCCTTGCCGTACTTTGGAGTAGCGCTCGTTGGATCTCATGGACTCCCCGACACCTATGTTCTTTGCCAGCATGAAGGCAAAACAGGTGGACGCCCGCCGCCTCAAGGCTGCTGGGTGACCAAACTTTTCCAGACCATGTTCATTCTTGGTCTCCTCTTTCATTACACCACCCACACAGATGCTCACCACCACCGCATCCTCCCCGACGTTTCCATCGCTTCAAGTCATCAACACCATCTCGCGCAACGCCGCCGCGAAATAAAAGTGCGACGCCAAAACTCCAGCGCCTAGACCGGGAGACAAGACCGACGCTGCTTGCTCCCTCCGCGTCTAGCGCCCGAGAGCCAACTGCCACCCCATCAACCACTCCATTGTGTGTGTGTGCCCCGTCACCGTCCAACCAGTGGATCGCCCAATTCCCGAACCGCGAACCTGGGCCAAGGCACCAACAATAAATCTATTTCCTCCAACCTCGCCGACGTTCTTTCCTACATCATCTTCACTTGCCGCAACAACCAACCTTGGAACCGTTTTGCCCACGTCCATTTATCAATCAGCCGTTAGATTATACTCACGATTTCAGCCTTACGCCTAACAACTCCCGAGCAATGGCTCCTCACGTTAAGAGCAGCGCTACTCCCAAAGACCGACGAAAGTCGAACGGGGTCGGCGTCTCCGTGGCCAGCTCTAATGGCGCGTCGTCCAAGGTTGTCACCCTCGCCGTGACACCAAAGAATCTACGTGCTATTGTCGATCCTGGTTATGTCAAAGAGGACACGCCAGTTCTCAAAGAGACCAACGATTCACCTGTCGACTCGGCCATCATCCCTGCCGTCACGAATTCGGCCGCTGAGAATGCGTCCGACTCAAATGCAAACACTCCCGCGGCTGGTACCCCGGCGCCGCAGTCCGGCCCCATGGGTCCACCTACTGATGGGCTGAAGAAGAAGGGCGTTAAGCGGGCGGCAGGTGCTGGCGTGAATGGCAATGGTGAGGCCAAGGTTCGGGGCAAGCCGGGTCCCAAGAAGAAGCAGAGGCTGTGAGTACTCTTCCCTTCTGCACCTTTCTCCCTTTACAGGTGAAGACTGACAACCATGCAGAGACGACGGTACCATCGAGGGCGGCCGAGGCGGCTTGGCTGCGCACAAACTTGGACCCAAGGCTAACATGGGCGCTATCAACGCCGGTCTCCGAGCTCTTGATCGGTCTGGCAAGCCTTGCCGGAAGTGGACCAGAGGCGGATTCACCCTCAAGAGTTTCACCGGCGTTGTCTGGGAGCTTCCGCGCTGGACCGCGCCGCCTAAGCCACGGCCGGAACTAACGGCAGAGGAACCCATTCCGGTTTCAGCATCAGCCGCAGGCAGCAGCAAAGAGAACATCATTCCGGGCGAGAACGCCCAAGTCAAAAGCGAGTCAAGCAACAACGGGGTAGATGTCGAGATGCAGAACGCCCCTAGCTTTGCCGCCGCCAACTCAGCCGCGCCTTCACCGGGACCGACTCCAGCACCAGCACCTGCATCAGTACCGACAGCCATTGCCGTATAGGTATCTCCGCTTGCAGCTCAAACTTTTCAGTTATATACATGAACGTTGCTGTTGAAGCTTGGCCATAGTCGGCTGGGCATCAAGGGTACGGTTGTTAAGAGCATTCGAGCATCGCACTGGGAGGAAAAGGAACAGGTTATGGGGGGCTATCCTCCCACAAAAGCTCGTTTGCCCACCGAGGCAGGAAGCAATACTTTGGCGTTTATGGCGTGTAAGCAGGGATGTGGGAGTGGTTTTTTTTCCTCGCTTTCTTTTTGTTTTTGTGGGAATTAGAGGTGTACATGGCCACAGCGAGGCCCGGAGTTGGCGTTTTGGTATTAGGGGATTCTCACGTCTGATCGACGAGTGTTGCTTACGGGCTTCACTGGCGAGTGTCTTACAGCTTTTAAGATGAGGACATCGCGACCTTTGTAAGCACCTATACCCGAGCATGTAATTGCTATTATCATTCCGGTAGTAATTGCGCGGTGTCGCGCTTGATTTCACCACATCATCGTTCTCCCTCAGACGGCTAATCGTCGTCACGATGAACTTGGGTACAACTCAAAGCTTTGAGAACCGGCCATGTCTGACTGAAAGGTATTGCTGTGGCGCCTTTACATTCTTTGAAGGGATCTCGACATGACACAAAGACACACTTCGAAGAAAGCTGTCATGATCTGGTTAGTCAGATTCCGGCTCTGTTTTTGGAGCATCGCGCTTCGAATCGACATCTTCTCCAATTGTGTTCCACAGTGTCAACCTAGACAACGGTTTTTATCTTGGCACTGATTAGACCAAGTGAAACAAACGTTGCGTACGGGCTCTCTAAACCCATCAAAAACAAATGAGGCGTGGTGTTGTTGCTTGTTGCTGACTAGCCAGTCACATCTGTGAGGAAGAAGATTCTGACCAATCAGATGTCGCTATGCCTCTGAAGGACTGAAGCGGTGCGAAACCAACTAAAACGGCAGGCAATGCAGACCCGTCGGTGTCATTGACTGCCGGCCGCCGGCATCTTCAGACAAGGGCATTGGTCACAGGTACCTGAGCTTCTCAGAAAGTCTATGGGAAGAGCAAACTAACCTGATCAATTTAGACATTCAGATGGCTTCACTGTCACAGATGCTCACATGAATTAGCATCCAATATGAATAAGGATAGGCCAGTCCAACTTGATGCGTAGGTGACGGCGAGCTGAGGGTATGGGAAGACATCGATATCTCTGATTACGGTGGATCATTCACCCCGCTTCATTCCTAGTGAGGATGTCATCCATCGTAAAGCCACCGAACTTGCTCCCCTTCAGGTTCGTTGCTGCCACGGCAGCCGTGATGCTCAATGTTAATGTTGGCAACTACCAACAGGCCATTTCTTATACCAACAGACCATTTCATAACTGTACCTATGTTGTCGGTCCTATACCTGAGGCGAGGCAAATTAAAGATGGGATTAGGTAGGGCGAGAGGCATGTGTCCCGTCCTGTAGGTGGGTGACCCCAGCATGTGCCAGGTAGGTAGGTACCTACCTGGGTAACCCACAATAGACTAGCTGGGCTGCTGACCTCACCCTAGGTAGGTGGTTCCCGCTCCATTGCGATAGAGCGGGAAAGCGGGACTGGGCACCTCGAGGGCCCTGTTGATAACAGCAACACCCACCTACCTACCTTACATAATAACGGGCGTGAACCTGCTCCCTCGCCCAACCTTCCATCCCTTCGAGCTCGACATCTCGCTATACTCTCTAATGACAACTGGTTGACTTTTGAATATCTTACAAGGTGCTCAACCGCCAGCACTCACAAATTCACTGCCGCCCACTTTGGCAAATCGGAGAGCAACTTCCAAGTCAGGCCGTTCGGGAAAGTGCGTACATGCGTGGAACGCGGTAGACGTAGTACGCCGGTAGGTTCCAGCTCCAAGCACGACCATTTGCTGATTGTGTTTGAATGCTCACTCGTCTAATTATGACATAGCGGCCTTGGATTGCTCGTGCTCTGCAATTTCCATAACGAATCGCCTTCCACCTCCGTCATTCGCACACCACACCCACTCTACAGTACACCACATCGGTTCAAACCGCTCCCGAAGCCAGCATCCATCTACTGCCACAACCTGCATAAGACCATCTATAGCTGCTGCTTCTTCTTCTCTAGATAGACAGCTTCCACACAACAAAAAACTTTCTTGGACAGCATCACATCGGCGACACACCTCGGTCCCGCCTGATACTCCTCGGATATCGACCAGTTCCGGGAGGCCAGGTTCCTCGGGCAACAGCAAGCCAACCCAGTCCCCTGGGGCATTAACGGCGTTTACTCCGACCAGCATACACCCCTCCGCCCTTCCTACTCAGTCGCTCAAATACTTCTCACACTATGACCAACCCAAACCCATTTCCACGCCGGATGTCTTCATTTGCCTCGGCCAATAACGGCTCTCGTCCCGTTCGATCTGCCGGCTTCTCCCACTTGCTGAACCCATCCCCCGACAGTGGCAGCCATGGGAGTGGCACGAGCTCGCACGCCGGCGCGCCCTTCTCCTCACTCGATGCTGGCGCCGCACACTTAGGGAATGCCCCCCATGGGCTGGACGAGGGGCGCGGGTCGCATCGGACGTCTGGTGCTAACTTGCCGTCATTCTCTCGCGCCTTTGACATGTTCACGAGCAAGGAGCCGTTACTGGCGGGGCCGAATATGACGTACAGTGGAGTTGGATCCTCGGCCAGTGTCAGCAAGACGGGTTTTCTTTCGCCTTCGTATCTGCGAGGATCCGGTTATCTAGAAAAGCTCGCAGAACAACACAAGGCCAAGCTCATGGCTGACAGAGAAACCACAATGTCCAAGGGGTCATCTGGGACGGTCTTTGCCGGGAATACAGGGAACACGGAAAGCAGGTCTGTGACGCTTCACACAAAGCTTCCATCCGGCATCCACAGAGGTGTGGCGTTGAATTTGATAGAGCGCCCCCCTGCATCAGCTGAATTCAAAGATGTCGTTAGCCCGCTCCCCACTCGATGGAACAGTGACGACAAGGACCATACTGTGGAGGTGTTTGGCGATGGTTACGAAGTAAAATACACAGGCTCAAAGGGATCAGAACACGAAGCCGGCGCGATACGAGCGGATAATCCCATGCCCATGCAGTGTGGTGTATACTACTTTGAGATCATGGTACTCAGCAAGAAGCGAGAAGAGTAAGTGTCACTTGGGCGTTAACGTCTCTTGGGCCTCCAGTTTGCTAAAGCCGGGTAAACCGATGCTAACTTGACCGGGCCCGCATAGGAATATCATCGCTATCGGTTTCGAAACCCGAAAGGCACAACTGTCGAGGTTCCCGGGCTGGGAGGGGGAGTCTTGGGCCTATCATGGTAATGACGGAAAAATCTTTGCCTCGGGGAGCAATTCGGGCAGATCATATGGCCCGACGTACGGCGCCGGCGACACAGTGGGCTGCCTAGTGAACTTTCGGACAAATCAGGTGTTGTTCACGAAAAATGGCGAGGAACTAGGTATGCTTGACCGCAAGATTTGGCTGTGTGGTGATGACTGACATGTGGTGTGTATAGACATTGCCTTCAAGGACCCGAGCTTCAAAGATCCTACCAAGAGTTTTTATCCTGCCGTCGGGCTAAAAAGGCCCGGAGACCACATTTGGGTCAATTTTGGTCAAGTTTCCTTCCAGTACGACATCGACGGTTACATGAAGGTGAGGCTACTCAAATGCATTCTCCACGCGATCCCGATGTGACATTAACAACATATTATGCAGAAACAACAAAAGATGGTCACAGACAAGATCAGAAGCACGGATACTGCTAATCTCGCGCCCCCGCTAAACGATACCGAGCTCATTCAGCAACTGGTAAGTTAACTGGGTCCCAGTCACATGGTACTTGAGAACTAACGGCTTCAAAAGGTTTTGCAATTCCTTCAACACGATGGTTATGTGGGAACTGCCCGTGCCTTTGCCGAAGAGATACATATGGAAAAGCAGGCTCTCAACATGGACGCCGACGTTCCCGTTGAGGGCGTCAATATCAAGGATGACGAAGATGCGAATAACAGGCAACAGATTCGCCGTGCCATCCTCGAAGGCGACATCGACCAGGCTCTCATCTACACCAATCAATTCTACCCCAAGGTGCTGGAGGAGAACGGTCAGGTATACTTCCGGCTACGCTGTCGCAAGTTCATTGAGATGATTCGAAGGGAGGCCGAAATGAACAGTTCACTACAAGAAGCCGGAGTGAAAGCTAAGAGCACATCTCAGGCTCGACACCATACTGGCAATGACACGCAACGAACGTATAGTCAGAACCCAGGCGGGGAGGACGAAATGATGACGGAAGGCGAAGAAGAGATGATGGACACCGAAGAGGATGGTAGCGAGCTGAGGACAGGCAATCCCGAGGACGAAACCATGGCGATGCGCGCTGCCGGAGTAAGCGAGCTATGTCAGGATGCCCTGGAATATGGCCAAGAGCTTCGTGATGAATTCAAGAACGACCCAAGTCACGAAGTCAGCAAACACCTTAACGAAATCTTTGCGCTCATGGCGTATCCAAATCCCCTCGAAGTCAAGGAAGTCGCGCACCTCCTGGATGGAAAAGGGCGCGTTGCTGTGGCTGAGGAATTGAACTCTGCCATATTGAGTGAGTTCATTAAATCCCTTGCTTTTCCTCATTCCATGCCATTATAAATATTATGCTAACACTCTCTGTCATCCACAGCGTCCCTGGGGAAGTCTTCTCGCGCAGCCTTAGAGAACCTCTACGCCCAAACAACGGTCCTCCTCGAAGATCTTAGGAAGGACGGAGGCGACGGCGCGTTTGTCACGATCCAAAACGTTATCGACGACATACCCAAGGCACAGGTAAATTAGGATTTGGAAAGTACTTACAAGGCAGTCTGTCGGTACACGGATCAGATACAGAAACAGATGCAGGAGCAGAATCCTATTCTTCAGGGTCTGGAACCGGAACTATGGCATCAACTTCGGAATCCGGCTTTTGCACAAGGTCTCATGGAATTTAACCCGGATATGGATCTGGATGTGGATGTGCCCGACCTTAATCGGACTCTTTTCTGAATGGTTAAGGGGAAGTTCTGACGAAGTGATATACACCAGAGGAGAAGCATGGCAAGACAGAAGAAAAGGAGACAAAGGCCAGGAAGGGAGAAGAAGAAGAAGAAGAAGAAGAAGATGAAGAAGAAGAAGAGGCCAAGAGCTCGAATGACATCAGCAAAGAGATTATAATTAGGTATGGGGTCGGCATGAGTTTCCACGACAAGCGCAACCACGTACGCACGCTGTGGTGGTGTCGTTTCGATCGTCGGGTATTTGGTATGGCTAGGAATACATGGCATGCATAAATGGATGCAGCGTTGAGCGTTGAAGAACATGCATGCAAGGATTGGGATTGAGATTGGGTTGGTTCTTATAAATCGAGTAGAGCACTAGGTTAGGCATCATCATCATCATCATCATCATCATCACCGTCGTCGTCGTTATCAACATCATCGTTAGTCTCGCTGAATAACTCGTATGGAAGAGTAAAGATATGACTTGATCGGCTTGTTGCGAGCATTGGCCGCTCTGCAAAGAAAGCAATGGAATACATCATCGACACATGCCACCTGAGTCTCACTACTATAATTCTGGTGTTCTCGGAACTACGGTAATAAATCTCATCTAACAATGCTTGTAGCGGCGCAACTCCAGGGTATCAGTCACCTCTAGCCACCACACGACAGCCAGGCAACATCGCAATGATGCTTGTGATGATAGGAATTATCATGTTCACTAACAGCCAGGCCCATGGATATCATGATATTTCCCCATAAGATGACATCAACAAGTCCTTGTAGCGGTAGTTGTGATCATCGACGTCATCTCTCCCCTCATCGTCTTCAACAACTTGTTTCACGGCTGGAGCAAGTAATGTTGCGAAGTAACATCTTTTCCCCGTATGTAGTGTACGCAAAAAATGCTCTACTTCTTCTTCACCTCTAAACGTCTGGCGCAAAGTCCATAAAGGGAGGAGTAGCAACCGTCTATCTCTTGGCCGCGCCCAATCCCTACGTTAACAACCAAACCAGCCAACAGCCTCGTCGCGTTCATCCTCTGGAAATATACAGGAGAGGGTGATAAGCCTGTTCCACTTATGAATAGTTCCCGTCATCCCACTAGTGAGCTGGTAGACCACTCATCAGATCTTCCTCCTCCTCAATGTGGAACGACGACTCTTCGAAGCCACCACCTGTGCTCTGAAGACCAAGCTTGTGTTCGCGAGCCGCGTCAAACTGTCGTTTAACCGTGTGACTAATGTACTCGCGGTTGCTGGCTAGGCGCTTGTTGGTTGCCTCGATGATGGGCTCCAGAGCCTTGATGCCCTGCATCACTTTGTTCACCTGGGCCGAAAACTCCACCTCGGACATGCCCTGCGCGGGCGACGACAAAAACGTCAGATAGGCTGGGCTGCCGTCCTTTGGGCGCTCGATAGCGCCCTGCAGACTCCCGTCGGCGATCATGCTTTGCACGAGCTGATCTACCGCTTCCACGGTCGGTAGCGGCGCGCCTGTTTCAGCACTCTGTGTCCGTTCCCGGATTTTCTCAAGGGAGATGTTAGTGTAGATATTGCGCAGGTTGATGATTTGCCACCGTTGATAGTGAGCCAGCACCAGCTTTGCGAGCTCGACGTTCCCCTCATTGGGTAAGAGCTCAGAATTGATAACTTCAAATTCTCGGACCAAATCCCCGGCGGTTTCTGATTTGAAAGCCTGAGCGAACAACTTGTAGGGTTTTCCCTGGGTTGCGAAAATCTTCTTTGCCGCTTGCGAGGTCGTTTCCGGTAGTGTTGGTGGCTTTCCGGTCAGGAGCAAGCCGACAAGGACCCATTTGTTATATGCCTCCGTCATGATCTTGCTGCAACCGCCGTCCCGCGTCGGATACGTGACACATCGTTCAAAGGCATCAAAGGCTTGCTGCCACATCCGGCGCTCTATGAAGCACAGGCCGCATAGGAAATCGTACTGAAGCACGGCGGCGCTGGTAAGAGTGTCGGTGAGCTGGCTGTCGGGGTTGATGTATGCTGGTGGAGGGAGAGACATGTCGCAAAGGGGCTGGGCTGTCGACATGCCCTTGGCCGGCATATAGATGATAGGTTTCTCGATCAGAGGTAGTATTGCACCGACATTGCCGGTATTGTATGCCAGTTCGACCAGGTTGCAGTGGTGAGATGTGATGATAGAGCCTGAAGGGTCGAGTCTTAGGAGGGCAGCAGTGACCAGCTCGACGGCAACAGAGGCCTGTCTTCGAAGTCAGCAACGGCAACGATGCAAGGAAAGAAGTATGGAAACCCTACAGGAAACAAGCCGCGCTCGTTATACGCCTCCTTGAGAACATCTGACCAAGTGCTTCCCTTGCATCGTATTTGGCGAGCATCGAACTGGAGGAGGAAGTGGGCCATATATGATGCCAAGCTCTCATGTGCCTGCTGAGAGGTCCACCCGGGTGACTGTAGTAGAAATTCGAGGATCATAAGATATGAAAGGGAATAGACGGCGGGGTTGACATGCTACGCAAACGTTATCGGGTCAGCTGTTTGGACGACTCTGTACAACGGACACTCCAGGTTTGGGGAAGTACGATGTACCTACCTTTAGAATATCGTCGGCGGACTCCCTTATCCACTGCGCATTGTCACGGATGAGTTCTCGCACCCTCTTGGCATGTTGCTGGCTGTTTTGGTAGTATTCCTCGTTATCAATCCCAGCGGCCGGTGGAAAGGCCGTCAGGACCGTAAGGCGTGCGTCCATGGCTCGCCGTCTTGATACGGGAATGGTGGCGGACAAAAAGCTTGACGGTAGCAAGGAGGAGGACGATTAATCGCGGTGGTACTGATTGGATTTCAATGGCCCAGTGCAACTCGAAGAAGCGTCGCCAAAGCTGCGCGGCGCAGGGAGGGTAGCTGGTGCCTGCGCTGGTGCTTCTGGGATCTCGAGGCAAGAATGCCAATGACGCTGATGGCTGGGTAATATGCTGATGACGCCGTGTATCGATCGATAGGTCACAAGATGGTCGTGTCGAAACGGATGATAAACAGCGTAAAACAAACAATCGGCGGCTTGTGATATGGGAATCGGCGGTTATGGTTTGGATGGATACTGTGGTTGTAAGTAGCAAGGTAAAATCAAGAGCACCTTTGCGGCCTGCCTGTGGTCGGTGCAGTGCGCTGGGGCTCAACTCAGCTGTCAGTTCCAAAAGGAAAGCTCCCCCGCGATTTGGACAACTGGGGTGGAGACCTTGACGTACTGCGAATGCTGGGATGAGCCTGGTCCGGGTGCTGGCTAGCAAAGGACATGATTGGCTACGACTTCTGCAAATAAAAATGGAACTTGAGCCCAGCCACGGCTTGTATGCTCAGCCTCAGTGTGGCTTGAATTGTTGGTTGAACTTCACACTTGCACGCCGCCAGGCTTCAGTCTCACGATACTTCAACGTCACGCGTGATTGTTATTCTGGGTTTTCTAGCGCTCCTCAGTCATGATCCCAGATAACACCACAGCTGAGATCACAACCCCGCTGAATCATGCAACATGAGCGAGCGCTATACATTTCATATCATCTTCCACGTACGGCAGGGACTAATCACCCCCCCCTTGAAGCTAGCTCACTCATCAAAAAAGTGATAAAACCAACGACTCTATAGACCAATCTTCATAACACCCTGAGCGAGCATCCAGGGTTTCCCACCCCAAGCGAGTATTGAGGGATTATCTAAGGCTCAGGGATCTCACCACGCCTGTATCTCTTGCTTCTGCACCACACATCACATTCTGTCTCGAGGTTTCCTTCAGTTATCCCCCACTCCCCATGTGAACTTGTATAAACTAATTTTCCCAGATTTCCAAACCAATCCTTCATACTTAACGGCCATGTCCCAAACGATAAAGGAAAACAAAATAAGAAATTCTTCGCATATATCAAGTCCCAAAGCAGAAATCGCCCCGACTGGCCAAGTGGCTGGTCGCTCGTTGGCGGCCATGGTCGTGGGCTTGAACTTGTTGGCCACTTAGATCCAGTCTCTGAGAAGAAGCGAATAATACCCGGTCGAAAGGTAGGTTAGTTGCATCGTTTTACCACAGTACATGGACAACCCTTAAGTTGTAAAGGGGTGAGTGTCCTCCCTTATCCATAACTCTACCTTCTCCGACTAGCCTTGTTGTTGTCATTGCCGCTGTCTAAACCGGGGGGTTAACGGTTACCCAGGCAACACCAGACAACCAGTCAGCCAGCGTGCCAGCGTGCCATCTGTCGTTCTTGTTGTCCAGCTGTGTACAAATGGAAGCAACTCACAAGGGCAACTACTCCTGGTTAGTGTCCCGAGACCACTTCCAGGAATTCTCCCCATCCTCGTAAGCCGATCCCATCCACTGAGCTGCTATGCCGCCACCGCCGCCTTCGGCCTGCTGCTGCTGCTGCTGCTGCTGGTGTACCTGGGCCTGGACCTGGACTCGAGCTCCCCCCCCTCCCAGGGGGCCGCCCTCCTCCTTGCCCTCGTTATCGGAGCTGTCGGGGGTCGTGGTGGTTGGAAGGAGGCGGTAGGAGTGAGGATGGGGGGGAAAGCCGGGAGGAGCATCGATGCGGCGATAACTGTTGATAATGCTGGGATTGCCGCGAGGGTCGCGAGGTTGAGGTTGGGCGGGTTGTCCGATGGGACCGAAGCGGCAGGGGCCTTGGCTTAGGATCTGGGGGCCTGTGGGAGGAGCGTCTTTGTTAGTCGGAAAGCAAGTGACACGATTCACGAATGTCATTTGGCTTACCGGTAGGGATTGGAGAGGGTCCTGAAGAGCCACCTCCAACACTCGGACGCCAGTTGTTCAACTCCCGAGGACTTGAGCTTTTCTCACGCTGATAACCACCGCCTCCGAAGCTCTTTGCTCCCATGCTGTTCGTGGCGGCGTGAGCCTGACCTCCCACCCCCATCGCCTCACCCCCACTACCAGATGCCGACCCTTGATCAGCCGAGCCTCTGCGCGAGATCGGACTTCCAGAAGCCGTAGTCAGAGACCGACGACGATGGGGAGCGCCACGGAGCGCGGTCAGATCGATGGGTCCCTTGCTGGTGCTCGACTCATCGTTGCTGACCAGCTGCTGTCTCTGCCTCATCAGCTCGGCTTGCTGCCGCTTGTACCAAGCAGGCAAGCCATGGAACAGACCGAGCATGTGCTGGGTAGCCCTGTCATAGGGCATCTCATGCTTGTACTTGCAGCCCTGCTGGGTGAAGGCACAGGTACCCTCGTGCACCCACTTGTCGCAGAAAATCTTGGCTCGCTTGGGGCCTTGGCCGTGAAGAGGAGGGGGGGTCAGGTAGGCGGTTCCGGTGGCCTGGTGAGTGAGGCTCGTATTAGCTGCGGGACTGTGGCTGGCCAAGACGATTGAGTCGATCTGCGACTGCGGTAAAATCAACTTGTCAGTCGTATACCCAGCTTTGTTTGGGTGTGATGTGAGGGTGTGTCTCATATGGATTGAGTATAACATTCTTTTGCTGGCCGGAACTAACTGTTGTAACACTGTTGGGGCTGTATCGTAGATTTCTACATACCTGAACGGCGTCACCCTGCGCCACCTGAGTCTGAACCGGTTCCACGTTGGTGTTGCGCTCGTCGGCATCCAAGGCCTGGGGAAGCTCAAGAACGAACAGACGAGAGATGTCCGACTCGTAGGCGGGCACACCCACGAGTGGAGGAAGCATATCCGCTGGGACCAGTCTCGTGTAGCGGCCGTTTCCGCGGTCGTAGGCGTAGGCGTAAAATTGATGGGGATATTGCGGCCGCGTGTTCCGGCGAGCCTGTTGCGCTCTCTCTTCGTCTTCTTGCTGAAGTCTTTGCCTTTCGAGAAAGTACCGCGTGTTCTGCGTAAAGGGGACGTGAGAGACGACAGTCTCTACTCTGGGAGAAGACTTAGTGGTAACGACGGCAGTATGACGAGATTGTTCCCATTCCGGGCTGGACTCCTCTGACTTAGCAGCCTCTGTTGCGGACTGATTTCTGGGAGGAGTCGGGGAAAAGTCCATGCTCATTGGGGAGGCAGGCAACCCTCTTTGGAGTCTCCAGTGCATGTTGAGATCCCTTCTCTTGATGGCGATAGGCGAATGGGGCTTTGGGATCTCGCTGACTGGAGAGTTCTGGTTTGGCTCCATGATAACTGAAGGCCTGATAGGAAGGGATTGTGAAAAGAATCAGCCAGCTCTATAATAACGCGTGAGTGGATTAACCGTTCTAGCTGTGACCACAAAGAACACTCTGAAGCACCAGAGTGCTAGAAAGAAAAAGCTGAAAATTCGGAGTTCTATGTGTTGAGAAGCTGGAGCTTTGAGGTAGTTCGGGCACTGCAAATGTTGATCAAGAGATTGAGTCGGACTCAGCTTGGTGGGTGTTGTGAGGAATATTAGTAGCAGCGGAGTAATAGTCGTGTTTGGCTAATCCATCCATGCCGAGTCTAAGAGGGGAAAGCAGTAGGGTTTGATAGCGGACCGGATCAAGGATGTGAACGATACAGGAAACACTGATGGGATGATTAGCATGACGCTGAATCCGCAACTGTGAGTGTCACATGGGTTTGACCGCCACTGAAGACGGAAGCAAAGCAGAGAAACGCTTAGCAAAGAGCGTGAATACAATGAAAACACGCACCATCAACGATGTCAACAGACCAGTGGCATCAAGCTGGCCACCCCTTGATTCCCAGCAAACGAGGGACCTGGGTAAAAGTTGGAAGATCCGGGGTATCCGTCCCAATATTTATACCGCCTATTCATACGCGGAGCTGCGTCTCCAACGAAGGAAAAACTGGAGCAAAATGGCGGAGGGCGAGCAGCAAGCCGCTGAAGGTGGGTGGCAAGCAGTAGCCGGGGAAGAATCACCTGGCAGCCCGAGCCAGGGACATGAGGAGGTATATCATAGGCGACCGGGGAGCAAAGAGCAAAGGTTGGGAGCCGCAATCAAGGCATCTAGACACTCTGGGGGTGGATCTCCAAGAAACAGATGGTGAAGCGGGGTGGTGAAAAGGACGTTGAGTGACGGACTACCTTTTTTTCTACCCTGTCTGCCTTTCCGCCTTCCGTCTACAGGGCTTGCCCAGTCGTCCTCCTGAAGTGTCGTTGATGTTGCGTTCGAGTTGTGTGGTTGGGTACGGTAGTTAGGCACAGGTCCGCTTCCCTGGGATTGGTTAGAGGCTAGGTAGATGTGCGGATAGATGCTTGATGATTGCAGTGATGTTGGCTTGCATTTTGCGGATGCGGCGAAGCTAAGGGGGCCACGGGGGATGTGACACTGGTACATACATGCTTTCCTGAGTAGCACAAAGTGGCCGCCGGACTGGACGTACAACAGAACGATGTGGCTTGTGAATCATCGGTAAGCAGGTCTACCTATGAAGAGCAGTGTGGTAGCCGCCAAGTTGAGTTGAAGATGAGAAGAATCCGTCTATGAAGGTGACAGATTTGGCCTGACCTTGACCAAGGACAGGTAGCAGTGAAGCCAAAAACCTCCGAGTAAACCTTTCGACGCACCTCGAACTCAACCCTCCAACGCTACTCCAATATAATGTATAGCGTCAAGATGTCGATATTATGGCAACAAGGAGAGTGATTCTAGATATCCCAGCTGTTTCACTCCACAGGACCAGGTGTTCTTTTGGGAAGACGGCAACCTTGTTCCGTGGCTTCCTTCCGCCCAACGCAATTACAGTGTTGCGGAAGGTACCTACCTAGGGATTATCAGAATGTGTTGTAGTTTTGTCGACACTCGTTTACGTTAGCCTGTGTCGCATTTCCTCCCTCTTCCCGTTGGTGCTCGTGTACTCCTACACTCGTGTGATCTTCAATATCTGCCGTACTATACCACACAAACGAGCCGCAGCAATGTCGACAGCATGGACCATTGTTGTATCTACTCTATATTGCCGCTTTATGTGGTGTTCTTTATTATCTCTCCTTCACGCCCCAATTCTGAACGGCACAGGGACAAGAGAGGCAAAGCGACATGGGCTGTGAGGTCTGCAATAGCGCCAAGAGACCCGGGGAAAAAAAAAAAAANAAAAAAAAAGTATGCGAACAAACGCAAGACCCTAAAGAAGCAACATCAACGGGAATGATGGAGGCTACTTTCTGCGGGAACTTGCATCTTTCCATGTTCTAACTCCACGTGACAAACAGGGGAAAGCCACAACGCCATGGCGATGATGAGCGGCGAACCAATTTTCCTCAGAAGGTGGGACACGCTCTTTGGATCTCCCTCCCATGAGGCCCGGCTGCCTGATGTTTGTGCCCATGGTCATTAATATAGAGAGCCCAGGACTCCCGTTGGGCTTGGAGTAGCACAAACCTCCAGCGTTGTTGTCCGGTGAAAAGTTCGGAATTGCTGATATTTACAATTAGGTAGGCACACAATAACCGCCATCTTTCGGTAACGACTCATCGGGGGTGTTCTTTAGATTGTGCACTTATTCAGCTGTCAGAAAAAGTCAGCATTGCTTCGAGTTTCTGTCTCTCTCGACGCAATCTTCCAGCTATTAGTAAGGGAAAAACACTGCTCTGTGTCCACTGATTTTTAAGTGCCGCCTAATTGATTATTGACTTTTTTGATTATTTTTAATTTTTATTATTTTATTATTTTTTTTACCCAGCGGATGAGCTGATGGGTGCAAAGCATGACAACCATACTCGCTGGCTATTTCACACAGACTGTCTATGGCCCTAGCGAAGTTTGGGGAAGGCGACATGTTCGTGAACAAGACAGACGGAGAGTGTAGCGACAAGCAAGACGCTCATCGATTAGACGGGCAAAGGGGTTTTTGGAAAGGTATGTTGCTATGCTAAAGGGGGAAGTTGGGTCTCTCATTACTTGATTCTCGTCGTGCCGAGATGCAGGCTCATCCGATGAGGAGTCAAGAGCTGGCTGCCTTGCTTGGAAGGCATCCTTAAGAGAAATCTGTTCGAGACAATTGAGGTGATGGCAGTAGAGGTACACACCATCACGCATCGCTCGAGTTTGATGAGGCAAACACACTCATTGCTCAACACTATGCATCCCATGGTTATACTGCTTTATTACTTGTTCCATGGCGCTTGTTGTTTAACGGTGAGCATCGGAGGTATGATCCCTCCCCTCTCAACACCATCGAGCAAAGCCCAAACAAGCAAGCATCATCTGATTTTCCCATACCCTTCTAGAACTTTTCATCCATACCTGAGAGGTTGAGCAAGCCGCGGTCATCACAAACCACCTGGCTCATTCACTCAGTGAAATAGGCAGCAGATAGCAAGCGAGAAAAAAAGCAAAGCCGAATATAAGAGTGGTTGAGTAACTACAAGTCATAACTCAGACAATCCAACCAACAATAACCATCCCATCCCTTTAATCCATTCATCGCCCCAAAGGTATCACGGGTAAGCCAGCCAGTCGCCTTCACTATGATGGGGGAACCTGCGGTGGTTCTTGTCCTCCTTGCCTCTGCTGGCCCTGTTGGCCCTGCTGGCCCTGCTGGCCATGCTGGCTCTGCTGGCCATGCTGGCTCTGCTGACCCTCCTGAGTCTGTTGACCCGACTGCTGCCGCTGTTTCGCCCTTATAGCTTCTTCCTTCCTCTGCTGCACGACCCTCAACATCTCGAGCAAGAATTTACGCTTAATTTCCATTCTCTCCGGAGTCTGGTGTGGTATGAGCCTAAGATTATCCAGCGCCAGCCGAAGAGGAACCTCTTGGCTCATCTCGGGACACATCCACGTAGGAGGGTGTACGAAGCCGCAGACGAAGCAGGAAGTGTGCGGAACACCTGGTGGTACGGGTGGGCCTTGGTTAGACCAGAGAATACCGGGTTTGGGCTGTTTAGTGACGTCTGAGGGGAGGTTGTTAGGCTGTCGGTTAGGGTTCAGATTGGGAAGACCGTTAAGAGATGGTGGCCGAATTCTGGCTCCAGTTCCAACTCCGGCTCCTGGTCTGGGGACGAGAATAGGGGTGTTGGAGGTTAGTTTGGATGCCCCGTTGGGGTTGCCGTTTGGTCGGTGAGTGGAAGGGACGGGCCTGGGGTGAACGGCAAGGTCACCGCCGATGGCATGGGAGGGCATGGCAAGGCCGCCGGAAGCGGGGATTTGAACTTGGGGGGTGTTAAAGTCGGCAATTCGGTGGAGTTCTTGGTTGTGGCTGCTAGGTCGGGGGGGCTTAGGTGGGCGGCCTTTTGGGTTTGGGGCTGCTGGTCCGGGAGCGGGCGCAATTTGGACGACGAGTTGGTTTTGGGAGCCTTGCCTCGAGCGGGTTTGCTGGGGGTGCCGGGGGTCCGAGCTGTCTTGGGCGTCTGCTGTTTGCGTGAGCGGGGTGTCTTGCTTGTTGAAGACGAAGAAGATGATTGAAGAAGTGGCTTCTTTTGCCGACTAGCTCTAGACTTAGGGGTAGACGCTTTGGCTGAAGTGGCCGGTGTGTTCCTCCTTGAGGCTGCGACCACTGGAGCCGCCTTCGTTTTGTTTTTGGTTGGGGTTTTGGTTGGGGTTTTAGTTTTCGTACCTTGTTGCGCATTCCTTGCCTGTGACTTGCGTGAGCTGCCTCCGTTGGGTAAGAACTCACCGTGGGGGCTGTTCCCATTTTCATTACCGGTTGTTTCCCCATCGCTGTCATCACCGCCCATGAAGTCACCGTCCTGGTCACCACGGTCACTCTCACCTCCTTCCTGACCTTCTTCAAACTCGAACTTGGGTCCGCGGTAGTTCGCCGTCTACTCAAGGGTTAGCACGGTCAAGAAAGCACATCGCTGAACTGATACCACCTACTCCACGTCGTCGGCCACCACGTCCCAAGGCCTGCAGTTCCTTCTCCCTCTCGAGGCGTGCCTCTTCTTCTCGTTGCTGAAGAATCTGGTCCCAAACACTCATGGTTAATGCTTTTTGTTCCGTCTCCACGTCATCCTTCAGCCCTCCCTCATCTTGTGCCCAAACGCGGGCAAAAGCAAAAGCAGACTCGGCAGACTTGTCGCCATCTTGCTTCGTTTCTTCCTTGGCTGAACGATCGAGAAGCTTATCGATTGCCGCTTCATCATATACGATTCTGTCCTTCTTGCGTCCCTCGCCAAACAAAGCAGCAGCTCCGTGTTTAAGCACCGTCTCCACATCATTAGCAGCCTCGCCTTCCTTGTCGTCCATGGTCTCAATCAGCAGATGATCAAGAGCCATCTTTTTACGACCAATCTGCAGAATCTTCTCCTCGGCAGAGTCGACGGTCATGAGCTGGAAGCAGAGCACTTTCTTCTGTTGACCGATACGATGAGCTCTCGAAAGCGCCTGGATATCCTGATGCGGATTCCAATCGGGATCGAGGATAATGACAGTGTCGGCAGTCGCAAGGTTGATACCGACACCACCAGCACGGGTTGACAGCAGCATGCAGAATAATTGGGAGTCCGGTGCATTGAAGGCATCGATCCTTTTCTGCTTTTCCATACTAGATTGACTTCCATCAAGTCGTTGATACGGAAGGTCCATACCCGCGAGGAAGTCTTCAAGGATTGTCAACTGGTCGAGGAACTGACTGAATATCAAAACTCTGTGTCCACGCTCCCTCAGTTTAGGTAGCATGACTTCAAGCAACAGAAGCTTGGAGGAGGCCTCGATAAGGTTTCGCTTGGTGACTTCTGGTGACAAGTTCCGATCTTCGATCGACTGACTGTAGACGAAGGGATGGCAAAGACACTTGCGAAGCTGCATGAGAATGTTGCTCAACGAGCCACGGTCCTGTGATTTCAGCTTTCCGTTGGCGGAGAAAATCGCGCGGATGAGCTGGGGATTGCGCTCCATGATCGACTTGCAGAGCTTTTCCTGCAAGACCGTCATGCTCACTGGTAAAATGATCTGGGCCATCGGCGGCAGGAAGGTGAGTACCATGGCCTTGGTACGCCGAAGGAAGTATGGCCTGATCAGCTCATGAAGCTTCGGAAGATTTTCCTTGGTGATATCCTTGAATTCCTCGTCAAGTTCCTCCGCTTTTAGCTTCGGGTCAATAAACTGCAAGAGATTGAAAAGCTCTCGCTTATTGTTCTGCAACGGTGTGCCCGTGAGCAGAAGCTTGAAGGGGATATTCATGACTGAGAGTGCTTTGTAAAGACTGTTCTCGTCATTCTTCAGTGCTTGCGCCTCGTCAACGATAAGACCAGCCCATTTGACGGAGCTGAACCGACTACGAGTGTCAGTGTCTTTGAGGGAGTCGTAAGACATGATGACAACGTGCGCCTTCATGTCCTTAGTCCCACCCGGAAACAGCTCATATTGAAGAGCCAAAGTTTGGGAAACCCGCCCGCCATAGTAGGCCACTACCCGAAGATCAGGGGCCCATTTCTTGATTTCACGACGCCAGTTGGCGCACGTTGCGTTGGGAACAACAATCAAGAATGGCCAGATTTTGGGGTTATCCTGGATCATGCTGGAGAGCAAAGCAACCACCTGAACAGTCTTTCCAAGACCCATTTCATCGGCAAGAATAACGCTGCGGTCATGGCGGAAATTGTAGAGCATCCAGTTGAGACCCTCAAGCTGATAGGTCATCAGCTTGCCACGAGTAAGTCCGGGCGGTTGTTTTTTGACCTCAATGGCACCGTTGAACCCCATCTGCCTGAAGGCTTCAATACGTTCCTTCTGATTACGCCATGGCTCTGACTTGAAGTGCTTGCCGTTCAGAAATTCCCGATAGGCCTCAAGATAGGCGTCATACATGGAAGAGTCCGCAGGAGGTGGAGTGTCCCAGACAGCGTCATCGTAGCCCAACCCTTCAAATTTGACGAAGATCTTAACCACGTGAAAGATCCGGCTCAAATCGTACTCCATCCTGTCGGCAAGCGACATTGCCTTGTACTTCTTTGTGTCTTCGATCGACTTGGCAGCATATTGCACATCGAGGATGATATCGGGGGTCAACCATGAGTCGTGAATGGCATCTTTTTCAGTCCATTTGAGGAGTGCGTCAGCAGGCTCATCCCTACTTGCCTGGTCTTCCATGCCCTCTCCGAGGGCCCTCTTGATGAAAGAAAGACGCATGTTTCCCTTGCTGACACCGTAAATCCATGGACCAGGCATCCAGACGCAATGCGCATAGGACTTGTTCTCCCACTTGACCAAGTACTCGATTTCATCCTCCTTGAAGTTGAGGATGGTCTGACCTCTGACGTATTGGCTGGGCTTAATATGAGTTGGTTTCCACGCCACCACCTTATCAATCTTGAGGTCCTCCGTATCAATGCACTCTTTGCATCGCCACGTCGTTTGATACTCTTGGAGACGGTGATTGCGCAGATTGAGAGGATCGCTGATGGCTGGATCACGGGTATCGTTAGGGTGAGGCAAGTGTTCATAATGCCAGCCTCTGTGGCATTTGCTGCAACGAAACAAGACATTTTGAGGATTGTTGACCAGTTTCGGGTCTACCGGCGTAATCGGATCTACTCCATCATTTTCCTCGCGCAGCTTTTCTTCTTGTTTGGGTGTTTTCTTCTCAGAGAAGGGAGCACAGGACGGGTTAGCTTGATGACAGCACTGGCAAGTATCATACTTTGGAGCACGATGGTCCTTCTTGGTGTAGGAGCCGACGCAGAACCGACATTGCATGACAAAGGAGTCCGTGTCGACTTTGGTGACCCGCTGCTCGCGGGTATTGCGAGTGCCAAGACATATTTTGTGGTAAGAGTTGGAACAGCCTTGACAGTAAACCAAGGCTCCCTTATTGGGATTACCTTCAGGGTACCCACAGCTGTCACATACCGGACGGTGGGCATCCTTAAAGTCCACCGGGGCCGGCTTGAAGACCTCTCGGACGCTGGCAATCCGAGGTGCTGTGGGTTTTGTGTCCTGAACATAGAAGATGTCGTCGTCATCATCGTCGTCGAAAATCTCCTTCATGCTTTTCCTGGATTTGTTGGCTCGAGAGGAACGCCGCTTTGACTCGAACTCGATATCTGAATCGCCGTCTGCCATTGACCTCTTGAGCTTCGCAGTAGATTTCCGTTTTTTCCTGCCTCTGGTCTTGATGATGTCGGAGGTGACAACGAAAAAACCATCGTCATCGTCCGAGTTTTGGAGTTCGTCCCTGTCATGATCTCGGTATTTCTTCGCTGAGCGGGGCCTCAACGCTCGCGATTCTGTGCCACTTTCATAGGCTATGCTTCTTTCACTAGAAGCGCGGGCGCTGGTACGCGTGCTGCGCTTGGCACCGTTGACAAAGCCATAGTCATGAAGCGAGTGACGACCACCGTAATCATCATCGGAGTTTTCCTCGTAGAGTTCTTCGTCGTCTTCATACCGTCTCTTGCGCTTGCGCAGGCCGAGCCCCTCGAGTTCGTCATCGAACCGGTAATCATCGTAAGCGGGCTGTGCAAATTAAGTGTCAGCAAAAGTGAGCGACGATGGATGAGTAGGACTTGAGGCGGGAGTGAAATTCCTGGCCCCAGGCAAAGCAAAACCGGAGCGGGACCAAAAACGCCCCGAGACTCCAAAAAGGTGGTGGATGGCATGGTGAGAACGTCCAAGCGATGTGATCTTTGAGTGAGATCTTACCATACTGCTTCCTGGGCTGCAAAGCAATATCTTGAACGAAGCTCGTAATGTGGTAAGGCAGATGAGGGGTTTGTAGAGTATGCAACGATCAAGATGTGGTCGCGATAATGAACACCAGACAATTTCTGGTCCAAGTGTACGCAAGAAATGGTAGGGAGTGAGAGAAATAGTGTGAATCAGGAGGCGGGGGGGTTTTGAGTTAAGGAGGAGGTAAGAGCGTTTGTTGCCCAAGTATAGACGACAACCGACGACAGTTCGATCTGGAATTATAATTTCCAGCCGGCCCTACAAAGCTCCAGAACCCAATTCAAGCCTAGGTGAGATTTCTAAGCCCAGGTAGGAGAAGGTGCCACTCGGACACATAGTCCAGCGAAGAAAGAGGAGATCTGCGTGGGCAAACAAACAGACCTGTTTCCCCGGCAGCAAGTCCTTACAACTCCAGTTTTCCATCGCAGAGTCCAAGGGTATGTCCCACCAGCATGCCACTAGTCATTGCTTTCATCTTCTTCGTGTACGATCGAAAAATGGTGTAGTATCGCGCCAAACAGGTATCGCTTACCTTATTCCTTCGCCTACGGGTATCATAGTGTTTGGTCCCCTCATCCGAATCCTCAACCTCAACGTAGGTAAATGCTGCTCGCTCCGATGGGGGGAGCCAGGGCAAAGCGACCTCGATGTCGACACGCCTAGTGCCAGCTATATTGTGGTCTGTTACCCCGTTCGCCAAAGCATTGACACTTCCACGCCAACTTGCTAGTGACTCCGACTCTCGCTTCTTGGGTTTGGTCGAGGTGTCTGCTTTCGTCACTGCGGCGAGAGCTGCCGCGGCTTGCTCGAGGAACAAAGCAGGGTCGTCATCTTCAGCCACCGCGGGAGAAGGAATCAAGCGCTGAGGGTCCGGTATGGCAGCATCGGAGTCAGGAAACGCCCTGGACCGATCGGCGATGGATGCGGCCGGTGATATTGGTTTGGGCGCTGGCTGTGCGGTAGCAATCTCGATCTCGTCGTCAGAGAGATCAGATTGAAAGGTATACGCCATGGGCTCCGTTGCTGTTGATACGAATAGCTCGTCGTCGGAGCTTGGGTGGGCGTTATCGTTGTTTGCCATGTCGTCTGGAAGACATGGGATCGTCGTTGATAGCGGGCGAGAAGTGCTTTGGCCAGCACCAGATAAGTGACCAGGGGGGTTTCTGTCCTGTCTGTACGCGCCCAAAGTTAGAGGGATTAGCAACTTGCTGAGGACAGTGTGAAATTCGCCAACCGTTAATACATGTGTTGCGGAGATATGTACCAGCGTGAGGACTGGAGCGGTATACAATGTGGCGGCCTCGAAGATGTTGCGCGGAGGATATGGGTTACTGTGAAGGGAGGAGGGGGACGCGACAGCCGAGAATAGTTCGGAGAAAGAGACGCGACGTAGACTAGAGGTAGTGTAGAATTAAGGACAGTGCCCGGGTGACAACCTAGGTAGGTACAGTAGACGGGATACCTCCATACCTAGGTAGGAATTGAACGGAAGTAATTCCTGACGCGCACCCCACAACGGGCAGCCCTATCACTGACTGACATTGATCCACCCTAGGAGGCTCTTCAGTGGAACACGGGGAGCTGCCGCTGTGAACGTCAGCACCAAAAGACATGCAAAAGAGGGGTTCTTAACAATTCTGCACCTTCTGCACAGACCCCATCTTTTCTGCCTTTTTGAGATTTTTAGCCTCTCAAGGGGAACAAGGGAGATGGGGATCCGCCGTTGGGGCCTAGAATCAGATCTTGCATCTAGACGGATTGACCTCACGTCCTGTGCTTTTCACTTTCTTTTTCTGTTAAAAGAAACTTCAAAGGGGCTCACTCGCTCTTCAGTGTTTCTGACGATTTATACAAAGGACATGCTCACTTGATATCATTGGCAGTTATTCAACAACACATTACAGTTTTGGGCAAAGATAACCCCCAATATCAACACCGACTGCAGGTCCAAAGCAGACCATGACACTCTCCATGCTTTGCCGGGCTGCGAGGCCTACGGTACTCAGCCAAACACCGGCAGCTGCAGCAGTAGCAGTCAATCTCTGCATCAGACAGGCTCATTCTCTTTCAGCAATACACGCGGGCATCCGAAGATCGAGCAAAAACGAATCCAGCATGACATACGCCGAGAGGAAGGCAGCAAGAGAGGCACTACCCAAACCGACCTACAAGATCCGGAAGGGCAAGAAGGACATTACTGAATACCCCGCCAAGGCCGATCCCCAAACACGACGGGCTCGTTTCTACGATCCCGAATCCAACTTTGGCAAGAAAAGCTTGGTGTACAGACTCAAGACCGGTCAGCTGGACGAGGACGTCAAGGATGCGCTGGTGCGTGAAACAGGAAAGACTCCCTGGAAGGAGAAGGAGGCCATGTCAGCTGGAAAGAAGTCGGCTTCAACCCCTGCATCCAAATTTAACAAGGACCTCTTGGACCCAGCAGACTTTCATGCCGCCTTCACGGGAGCTTCATCATCGGAGCCCGCCAAGTCTGATAGGCCTGAGAGGCGGACATCAGCGCCATCCAGGGATATCCGCAGGGAACCCCGTCAGAGCTCTTTCAGGGAACCCCGCCGGGATTCTTTCAGAGAGTCGCGAAATGGACCTCGCAGAGAGGGCTTCAGCAGAGAACCCCGTGCATTCCGTGATGATGATAATGGTTTCAGCAGGAAACCTCGGGAGGAGCGCACCGTGGAACTCAACGAGGAGCTCCGCGACGCTATTGATGAACCTTACCCAGAGCCCATGGAACCTAGGAGGGACAGCTTCAGGGTCTCCCGCAGCGAACGTCGGGAACAAAGGCCTGAAAGGAGAGACTCCTTCAGGGACATTCGCAGTAGCACACGAGAACGGAGAGAGACCGACAGAACCCCTCGCAGGGAACTGCACAGGGATCCCGACACGGAAACACCAAAATCCCTATCCATTCCCTACACCACCGCGGCCTCTCAGTTCTTGTACGGCACTTCAGTGGTAGAGGCAGCTCTTCAGTCGGCAAGACGCAAGCTGTACAAGCTGTACATCTATGCCGGAGCCAACCGTGAGAAACTGGCCAAGGACGCCGCCATCCAAAAGCTCGCTCAGCGGAACAAGGTTGAGACTGTGTTCGTCAACGAAGAAGGCCTCAAGATGATGGACAAGATGAGCGGATCCCGCCCACACAACGGTTACATTCTGGAGGCGTCCCCGCTTCCACAACCACCCGTCATCTCCCTGGGAGAGGTGGTCGATGCCGAGAGCGGCCAGGGAACAACCGGATACAAGGTTGTTCTGGGCCACCAGTCGCACGAGGAGGCCTTGATCAACGGCAAATCCGATTTCGTCGCTGCGTCCAGCGCCACTCACAAGCCACTGGTTGTGGTGGTGGATCAAATCTTGGATCCCGGCAACCTTGGTGCCATTCTCCGCAGCGTCAGCTTCCTGGGCGCAACCGCCGTTGCCATTACCAAGAGGGACTCGGCATCTCTGACCCCGGTCGCGCTCAAGGCTTCTGCGGGCGCATCCGAGTCGCTCACCCTCTTCTCAATTGATCACCTCCCCAAGTTCCTTCAGGACTCGAGGGAGAATGGCTGGCTGGTCTATGCGGCCGTCCCGCGCACCAGCGGCTCCGGTAACCTGCAGAAGCACCTGGATCTCCATGAGATTGAGGAGATTGATCCTTTGGGCAAGAACCCCTGCATTCTCCTCCTCGGTAGCGAGGGCGAGGGTCTCCCGGGACAGATCAAGAGCAAAGCAGACTATGAGGTCAATATTCCCAACATGTCGGGCGGTACAGTGATCGATAGCTTGAACGTTAGCGTTGCGGCGGGCTTGCTCACATCGGCCTTCATGAAGGGACAAGTGAAGTCGGAGTTTGAGCAGTTCAAGGTTCAGGAGGAGAAGTCACATCTTTGGTGAAGATAGAGAGACAGAGGAACTTTGAGGTGACCGAGGTCGTTGTTGATGACTTCCGCGTCCCTTGCCCTGTTGTGATGTACGATAAAGCCGTGTACGAGGGTCGCATTCACGAGCACAGCAGGTATAGATTTTGATGATACAAGACAATTTAGAATAGATACCCACCATTGATAGAGATGTACGTATGCACATTTGCAACCTTATTACAGATCTACCTCCAGACATGCCCATGAAAACCAAACAAGCACAAGGACCCAGCCCAACAACTTCGGGATTCGAAGCCGGCGACGGGAGGATGCAGGAAGGGCATGTTGGGGTTCCACCACACAGCGGGAGATCTCCGTGACCGTCGCTGTCCCACACTCCTACCCTCCCACTTCCTGGCGTGTTGAATGGTCCAATGGCTGCCAAGCGCCAACTTACTCGGTCCACTTGGCGCACGCTGATTCTCTCATTCAGGCAGTTTGTTTCTTTGGGCTCGGAGGTGTCCACGGCAACCAACCTCGATCTTCAACATTGATTACGTTCGAGGAGTCTGCCTTCTTTAGAGACACCCCAACTCTTTGTTCTCCTTCCTGGTGACACGAGAAGTCATCCAAACCTGAAGATATCTCGAGACTTTTCCAGGTTACTTTGCGGCTCACTCATCACGCGAACACGCGTCGGGCGTGTTTGACTAGGTTGGTGATTGTACCTCTCACCGCTCGCAAGGTATCCCGGGAGCCCGGGTCCGGGTGTGTGTCCATAGAGGTACTCCCAGCCACCCAAAAGTTAAGGCTGCGAGCTGAGGAGCAACACTTCAATTCTTGTTCTCTCAAATATATCCAATTTACACAAAATAACCACAACAAACAAAAAAAAACGTGGAAACAGGGAGCAGGAAAGGAAAAAGGAAGAGGCAAGGAAGGGAAAACGAAACTCAGCAGATTCAGTCAACATGCGTCTCCTCCCACATTCACTATGGCTCTTTATAGCCGCCCACCTCGAAGCCGCACAGGCGCAACAACAAGCTTCAGGGTATCATCATCATCAACAACTGCCCACAGCAATCAAGAAGATGTCACCTGACCAAAGCGAGAAATTCCACCCTCACTACGTCGCCTTTGCCGATTCCAGCAGTAGCTCCCCCAATAGTGGTGACCCAAACCGCCCGCTTCCCCGGATGAACTTCATATCAGCCGAGGAGCAACAAGCCCCAGAAGTCAACCCCTCCGTCCTCGCTGCCCGCCGTCTAGCCGATGAACAAGATGCGCTTCTTCTCCGTGCAAACTCCTCAGCACCAATCTCCTACCGGCCACCATTCGCCAACCACAATCACCGCTCTCAGCAGCGAAGGCTAGAGGAGGAAGAGCGAGCATGGTCCCTCTTTCGGCGCTCACGCGAAGCGCTCGCCCGCCTGCAGCATCGGCAATGGAACTGCCCCGAGGGCACAGTCAGCTGCGCGCGCATCGGCTACCCGAACAGTTGTTGTAGGACGTCGGAGACGTGCGTGGAGATTGAGGATGTTGGGCTCGGGAAGGTGGGATGTTGTCCGGCGGGGGCGACGTGCGGTGGGTCGGTGTCGACGTGTGCGGATGGGAACATGGGATGCGCGTCGGAGATTGGGGGTGGGTGTTGTTTGCCGGGGTTTGTCTGTGCTGGTGTTGGGTGTGAGTGATCTATTCCTCTTTTTTTTTGTTTCCCTTCTTGCCTTCAACTTTTTTTTTTCTTTTTTTCTGTAGACCACCACCATTACAGCAAGAGTAGAGGTACTGACTTTGTGAGATGATAGGCATCGAGGCAGGAACCTCCTCCACCAGCACACTTGAAGCTCCCACTACAAGCGACATAACAGCCGTCCTCCCTCCCGTCCGCCCAACTTCCTCTCTCTCCATCGCCACCACCACGACGACCACCACCACCATCACCAGCCCATCTCCAACTACATCTAGCACCTCCCTTGACTACTGTCCAACAGGGTTCTACCCCTGCCTCGCCTCCGCCGGCGGCGGCTGCTGCCAAACCGGCCGTGACTGCAGCGTAACCAACTGCCCTCCAATCGGGCTGAGCACCATCATCAACACCAACGGCCAGACCATCGCGGTTCCCATCACCGTAGTGCCGACAACCACTTCTGCGACTGGCACGTGTGCTAGCGGGTGGTATATGTGCGGAAAAGAGGCCGGGCCACTGCCGGGATGTTGTCCGAGGGGGTACGCTTGCGGAAGCGTGAGTTGCTCGGTGGTGATCACGCCCACCTCGGGGGAATTGGCAACGGCGACGGAGGCGAAGGAGTTACCTACTCATACCAAGCCGCCGGCTGCGCCGCTGGTTGATGGGGCGGCGAGGGAGGTTGTGGGCGTAGAGGTGATTGTTGGGGTGGCGGTTGTTGTTGGGGGGATGATGCTTTGATTCGGCCATGCGAGGGTTCTTTTGACGTGGAAGAGTGACGGAGCGACGACGAACCTGGCTTCATGATGATCAATGTTAACATGTGTATATGTGGGTAGACGATTTTCTATGTTGGTTGCATCACTTTGGGGTTTTAGCGCATATCATGGTATTTTGAGCTGTGTTAATGGGGCAAATTAACAAAACCAAATTCATCGCCAAACAGATATTTCAACGCTCCAAACAAGTCAAGAGTCATCATCCACTTCCTCGAACCGGCACTGCGGCCTAGGCGCCAGACACCCCCCTCTCCTCGCAGTACTTTCTCACCTCCTTCTTCAACGTCTCATCCTGTCTCCTCACCAATTCCATGATATCCTTACACTCCTCACCCAAGCCACCCGCCTCATCTCCACCCATCCTCTCATACAAACCCATCATATGTCCCATCACAGCCTGCAATTGATTCGGCAACCACGTCACAATCGGACTGCCCCCCGTAGCCGTCGGATGGCTGGTCTGCTTAAGGATATACTCCCTAGCAAAGCACCAATGGCGCCAACGGAAGTCACGGACCTGGTTGAGGACCTGAATCCAAAGGCTACGCGAGTGCCTCACCTCAGCCCTCTCTTCCTCAGTCATTGTATCATCGGTACCTCTACCACTATCGCCAAGAGCAAGCGCCCACCTCCTCAACCCCACCTCCTCGCTGCCCCTCTTCACCCATTCCAAAAACGCCCGATGATTGCTAGGTCTGTACGACCTGAAATCGTCCAAGATTTTGGTCAGCGGCGTGTCAGGCATGGGGATCTGCAAGAGGTTATCCATGAGAGGGATCATCGAATCGTTGGCTCCGGATTCGCCGCGGAATGAGAGCGGCCTCCCGTTCGAGTCCGGAAGACCCTCGTACACGACGCCGTTGGGGAACATGCTCTGCTTGGTGATGCCAAAGATGAAGGTACGGAATGAGGTGTAGTCGTCGGGCTTGGAGCGCTTCCACATTGTTTCCATTATGGCGTTGATTTTCTTCAGGGCGGCTAGCATCTGCGACAGGGAGACATTGAGGGATTGGCGGGCGGACAGTCCGGTCATCTCAGGACGAGTAGACGAAGAGGAGAGGGTAGACCTGCGGCAGGCGTCCAGAGAGGCCACGGCGCCGGCTACGAGCGGACCAGAGTGGCGGACCATGTCAATGTGTACGAGAACGAAACCGGCTTCTGAAGAGCTGGGGTCCAAACCATGCTCGAAGGCGCGGATCAGGCGAACGTTGGAAGGTTTGGAGAATGAGAAGCCGAGGGAGGGGTCGACAAGACGGTAGTTGAAGAGGGCATAGGAGCCGGCATATTCCATGAAGGGTTTGAACTCGCATCTTTGTTGGGGCAGAGGCCATCAGTCATTGAAAGATCACAAGTGAGGAAGGGAGAAAGATGAAAGGGTGAGTAGTGGGTTGGAAGTGACCCCGAGAGGATATAAGAGTCAAAGGGGAATGAATCACTTAAAGACTGCTGTTGTCCCTGATAAAAGAACCAAGGTAAGCACTCACATCTCAGCACATTTAGCAATCGGCCTCGCCACATTTGCCGGCAATACCTGCCTCCCCAACCCATACTCCTCCCCCATCACAAACCTCTCATGGCACGGTTCCAACAGATAGGCCGACGCCAGGAACGAGTAGTCCCGATACAAGGCGTTCATCAGGGGTAGGTCATGTCTATACTTGTCCACAAACTCGGTCAAGTCCGGTAGCTCCTTGTGGACAGCTTCGCCAAGCTGCCCGTTGCCCTGGGCAAGTAGGCCTGGCTCTCCAGATGCGGTCGTGACTGGCATGCGTTGGAGGATGGATTCAAGTGGGTCGAACTCGGCGGGTAGGGTCACGATGGGGTCTATGCGAGGGAGAAAGCCACGGGTGGTAGAGACCATAAAGGCATGGATGGAGACATCGTCTAGGCGAGAGTCATGGAGGATGGGGAAGTCGTTGTGGTAGGTAGTGGTGTCCTTTTCCTGGGATCCCATTGTGTGGTTGATGTCGGTAACTGATAGATGATGAAGGTGATGGTTGTTCCAAAGTCGAGAAAGCGAAAACAAAGAAACTAAGTTTTCGGCTGCGTGGAGAATGATGCAGATGTAGGTTGAAAGATGTAAAGACGACCGTGTGTCTCTGCGCCTATATAGGCCGTGGCCGGAATGGATTCCGGCCTCTCGTGTCACGATCAACCCAATCTGCCTTCCATGGCTTGTCCATTACAGTTCCGAGGCCGATTTCTCTTTGTCATGAAGTGACGACTCGCAGGAGACAATAGCTACCTAGGCGAGCTAAGGTATGTTACAGTTAGTCTTTGGTCCCGCCTTCCATCCATCCTCCGCTGCAAGGGAGTATAAGTGAGAGATGAAGTACAAGTTGGGCAACTGCGAGGAACGACGCGAAAATATCTGGTAGGCGTCATCCCATCCATTTCTTGCGGTTGATAAGGGTTTATGTCGTCGGGAAAGAAGAAAAGAGACAAGAAGTCGCGGCATAGTTTTGGCACAATGTTGTCGAGTGTCTTTGTTTGGAGAGGTCAAACGGGTCGTCCCATCCATCCTTCTTACCATCGGTTGGCCGAACAAGTTGCGTGTCGATAAGAACAAACTGTGAAACTCAGCTACCAACACTTCGGCCCGGTCTGCATCGCACCCGTACATGAACGAAGCCATGATGCTGCACCGTATCAGCAGGCGTCCGTGTCGGTGTGCACATGGTGAACTAGTACTAAAACCGAGATTGAGTAATGGGAATTGGCGAACCCCCACTTTGCTCCGGCCCTAGCCGGCCCCAGCCGGCCCCAGCTTGCCGATATCATACTCCACTTGGCCGGAATGGTTCCGGCCACTGACTCCGGTCACCGGTGATCAACATTGCTGCCTCGTGTTGGTTCCATCCCAACACTGCCCTAATCGGTTGTTGAACCAACCTGACAACAAGGTTCATCGGGGTATCTATCTATAAGGTTGCCCTCTGTTTATCCGGTGTATCTTACAAACGTTGTACAATTTACTTTTGTTGTAGCCTTCGTCATGCGTTTCCATGTCAAGCTTGTAGCTGTACTTGCAGCAGCTTGTTCCCTCAAGCCTTTGCGTCTAACAATTCAGCGTTTGAATCTGCCAGCCAAAGCAGCTCGAACAAACGGCGATGGTGCTGCTCCAACTCTCCCGATCCAGCACTCCTAACCAGAGTCCCTAACTTCCGGGACGCCAAAATGTAACCCTTCTCTCCCTCTACTTCGCCCTCGGCGTCGCTCATATACTTGAGCATCAAATGCGTGTAAGCGAAAACACTTGCATCAAACATTGACGGCGTCTCCGCTCCGAAGAACCACCCAGTTTTACTTTCCGAGAGCAATGTTGCCAAAGCCTCCAACGCATTGACAGCCGCTCTGTACACAGAGTGTTCATCTACTAGTAAAGAGATCGCCGTAGAAGCAGCTCCACCGGGTCCGGTCTTTAGGATCTCGGTCTCTGCTGCTCGACGCAGTTGGTGCCTGAGTGCGCCGCGCACCCAGTAAGAGGAGGAGGCTGGCGTGATGTAGAACCTGTCTAGCAGATCTGTGTATTCAGGGTCGCGATAGAGAGCCTGTAGCCAGACATTTCGGATAGGGACATCGAGGAGGGCTTGGTAGGCGTCGAGCCTCAAAGCTGACACCTCTGGAGGGTTGGAGGTACCGTACTTGAGGGCGTAACCGTGGAGTTTGGAAGATGGAATTGGCGACGGGACATCGGTAGGGGACGATCTTGCAGGAAGGATAAACGGGAGTGCGCCGGTAGGTGAGGCATGGTTTGTCGAGGGCAAGATTTGGAACTTGACGCCGGCAAGCTTGAGGAAGGCCTATTTGATGTCAAAGAAAAGAGTTAAAAATATCGCCGCTTGGCCATCCGTGAGAAATCTTGAAAGAGCACGTACCTGCCACTTCAGACAGCTAGGGTTGAAGCTCGGTGCCCCTAGTAACGCTTCCTCCTCAGTTGAAAAGACATAAAGTGTAGGAAGGTCGCCAGAAGTGGCTGACTGTGCTCGACCAGGGAGGGCGTTGACGTCGTAGGCGAGGAGAGGAAATGTATCAAAGACCTTCTGGAGCGGGCGAGGGACCTGCCACCACTTTCGAGGTGGTGCGGCGGCGGAGGTGGTCGCCATGGTCGGTTGCGAATCGACCTGGTACGATCAATGTGGTAGGATTGCGATGCGACAACTGAAGCGATGACGCTTCCTGGCTTTCGACAGTGAGGGCGAGCGGGGTGTAGAATGTCGTCACGTTGAAAACTTCAAGCGGATGGAGCGGTAAATTGCTTGATTGGTTAGTATCCCAAGTTCCGGACTTGAAGCAGATAATGACATGTGGATGTTCCTACATTCCGTCTCGATGCCGGAGCTCGAAAACTTGGCTACGCGGTGCCCGACATGGTGGACCTTTTCGGTTCCCTCTTCCGTGTCTCCATAACGCGGCCGGCTAGACTACAGTGGAGGACCGGGCGCGCGGGTGGTGGATAGGGTCGGGGCACATTGAAGGTGGGTCATTGGGCCGGCCTCGCCTCGGCGTGCAAATCACCAACTGCATTTCACCGAACCGACGCCGCACAAATACCGCCGGTGAGCCAACCCACAACTGGTCCACAGCATAACATGGCCCAAGCTTTTGTGCTTCTTCCTCTCCACACTACCGTCGCGTACCTGCAGCGACCAGAACTTTGTGCTTCCATCTCTTTTCATCACACCGCTCCCTCATCTTCAACCGCCCTGCCGCCATTGACATATCTGACTTGGTGCAGCGAATATCAATGTCCAGAGGCTGAAGTCGAAGATGGAAGCACCAAAGAAATGAAACGCGATCACCTCAAAACGCCATTCAAGCTCTTCGTTTGGCTGGCCATCCCACCGAGTCTGCCGCTCTCTCGTCGCCATCTGTGTCTCTCATTGCTGATTAGCGCCCCCGAATAAGCGACGGCTCTTGAAGCCAAACTTTCCGCAAGTTGTCTCGCGCCAAACGTGGCAGGTTTTCCACTGGCCTATGCAGTGGAGAGACCGGGATATTCTGCCGCGTTATGTGACAATATCATGAAAGGGCCGGTCTTCGGATTTTGCGGCTTCAGTCTTCAACGCATATGCAGCTTGCCCATGTGGGAATGGCAGCATTGTGGTTCCACCGTCGTTCGACCCTTAAGAACTGTCAGGCCTTTGCTCTCTCGGTGACACTGCACAAGTGCTACCGTCGCTACCTCAACGTACTACAATACCAAAACAGCCGAAACACTACTGAAAATTAAGGCTTGGGAGCGTGTCCATGAACCCAAGCAAGAACAGTTAAACCCCGTGTCTGGGGTCCTTGGCCCGGAGCCGCGGATACGCATGTCGTCGCAGTTGGGCGGACAAAAGAGGGCCAAGATGCAGCCCTGCCCCTACCTAGCCAAAGATTCAGGGTGCCCCCACAGACTCCCACCCTTCACTTGCTCCGCTATGCCCGGCTGGGGTTACAGTTGACTGGGGCGTGCCCGGAAGATAGCGATGAGACGCTGCCGGAAGAGAGAAACCCAGCTTCAGGTGTGCCAACTCCCGAAGCAGTGCCGACTCAGTTTAGGTAGGGAGCAGGCACCGAAGGCTGCAGTTGACCCCGGTATACCTAGGTAGGATGAGAAGAATGGAAACCTCTCATGTGTCGCACGGCGAAAGAACTACTTAGCAGGAGCTGAAGTACTGGTGAACATTGTATCTGGCTCCTAGGAATCTGTTTCACTGCTGACTGGCCCTAACAGACTTACTAGATACCACTGAAACATGGGGAAATAAGGTACCAAGCAAACGAACGGCGCGACTCATATCTCATCAACAATCCATCTCGGGGTTTGTCGATCTATTGAGATCTATCACACCTGAAGATATTTCTGGACGGGCTACCTTCGCCCTGGGTCAGCACGCGCATCGCCATTCGCTGTGATTGCGCGCTGCACTTCATTTCATATCCAGGGGGGTCACGAGTTGTGAGTGTCCCTTCAGATTACCGAACCCTATTAATAAATCAAGGTTTAAAATTCGGCTTTCAACTGAACCCTTACTCAAGAGTTGGCCCATTCGTCTGCAATAAGAGTAAGTATTTTTCAGAGACTCCAAGGTAAGATAGACATATGCAATCAGGCTAGGACAGTGGATAAAAGTTAGTGCTTGTCGCTAATAGCGAAGCCCACGTATGAACCATTCGCTTGTACCCATCAAGAAGTATTTCTCTCGATGTCGGAGGGATGAGAGAGGCAGAAGACAACCATAAACAGTGTGGGGGACGGGAACACATCCGGGCCTCGACGGACGGGTGGACATTATGATAGTATGGGGCATCTGGAGGTGGGTCCAACGTCCCCCGCTCTGTCTGCAGTCCCCAGACAAGCACTTCCACCAGGCTACAGAGTACTTCTGCGGTACAGGCTTCGGCTTTTGCGGAAAGCATCAAATGACGAGGAAATGAGGGCAAATGACAACGCAAATGCGACATTCCGGCTGTTCTACGGAGGTACCTTGTCCGTACCTTTTGCAGGCCAATCTACTGGCTTGGCAAGGTTAATCGAAAGAAGCAAGCCCCATTGTTGATCCTCCATCACCTATGACGCCCTCAGCGTCCGCAACAATGAGTGTCATCGCGGTCAACGCGGTCAACGCGGTCATCCGCTACGCTAATCAATGTACCTACGCATGCCTCCATTCTGAGGTACCTGGAAGATGTCAGTCGGCGTTGCGGAAGGAGGAAGATGAGGATGTTGGTTAATGAAGCAACTGAGATCAAATGACTGGAGGGGGGATGATTGTTCACGTCTACCTGATGCTACAAAGGATGGGATTCCGAATGTGATAGATTCCACCGTCATCCACTCCCAAATCGTCCCGAGTCTCATTACCTTCTATCCGCTATTGATCCTACACACCCACCGCATCCTTACTACCTAGCTAACCTCCACACTCCTCGATATCTCATCGATCGATCCTGTCACTATCGGACACCGCCGGCACTGCAGTTTACCACATCAACGGACATCGGACAAAAAGAAGACGCCTCTGGGGTTGCTCTGCATCTTGCAGCCCAGATTAGCACATATCGGTTATCGTATTAGCCTGTTCACTGTCCTCTTCTCCCTCGTGCGCTCTGTCCTCCTTTGATCATCGTTGCCCGGTTGTACTGCGTACACTGTATCTCGATCAGATACTGTTTGCTTGCTTGCTGGCAAGTTGCATCACCAAACCAGAGTTCCATTCCTGGAAAATTGGAGAAGAACGAGCTAAGGATTGAGGGATTCAAGAACCAAGAAATCATCGTTATACTACATCATTCTTGGCGTTGGCTCAGTCGTGAAAGAAGCATCCGCCCCCGGCCTTCTTTTTTTTTTTTTTTTTTTTTTTTTTTTTTGCTTCCTGCTGTCGGTCTCGGTCGATCCACTCAAGAGGACCCGTCAAAATCCCACACCCTACCTAACCAACCCTGGAGGGAATTCGGAGAGCGAGAAATTCTCTTATTAGCGAGCTTTTTCCGCGAACAGAACATACATCATATTCTTTTATATACCTCTCTCTCCAACCTCTCCTCTCAATTCTCTATCTCGTTCTTCCCATCCATTGCAGTCGCGACCAAACCTTTCGACTATACATACCTCACTCACCTGTTATCCACCTCCAGAGGCAACCCGTCGACCACACCAGAGCACTTACCAAGTACCTCATCAACAACATTCACGCTTTTTTTCTTTTGAGAGAGTTGCTCGTTTGACACCCGGCAACCGCTCACTTTGAAAGCAAAGACACCCGTCGCACCCAAGACGCATATTCTCAGCAATCACTATGGACGCCTCCAACTCTACCCCTACAACTCAGCAGACCTCCTCCATGGCTTCCATTCAACGGTCGCCCGTAGCCGCCAAGATCGTACCGCCTCAACCTGCTCCCGCCAAGACCGGAAACTCGACGGATGCCTTCCTTAAGGACTTCACACTGGTCGCCGAGGCCGCAAAGCGTGCCCAAATGGCCGTGATGATGCGTGACTTTGAGGATATCGGTCTCTCATAAATTCTTCATTTTGCGCGCACTGCAAGAAGGCGCTTGTTCTGAGAAGGATGAGGCATCGAACGGTACTCGCGGTTTTTCTCCACTTAGGGTAACAACAACTGAACCTCTGGGCTGAATTTGGAGTTGGTTTGCGACACCGTTGGCGCTTTTTTCTCCGCAGTCACAGAGAGTATGAAGAGGGACCGACAAAAACTATTCCGTGATCGAAGGAATACAAGCGATCCACCTGTTCAGTCATTGCGGAAAAATACTTTTCCACATCCAAGGTCTCACCACAAAAACGCCAAAAAGAGGAACTATTGCAAGTCAAGTCACGAGGAAATCTCTGGGTATCCAGAAGAGGCTTGACTGCGAAAAGATTCACTCAGGAAGCACCGAGCACGTCACATAGCCGACCACGACTTTGTGACTTAGGAATCAGCAGTCTGCTGCTATGGCCAAAAGTGAACCAAGAGTGCAAGAAAACGGACAGCGTGCTGGAATCTTTGACTTTGCCACCACTCCTCTCCTCTACGCAACAGGAACCAGAAGAAGGAGAGGCTTCACAGGAAGTTCTCCACACATTGTCTTTCCTTACATCAATATTGTCAGGGCGTTACTGGGGCATTTCATATTCGTTTTTTTTTTTTGCTATTTGGGACACAGGAGCATCATGGAGTACAACGGGCACGGATACGGAGAAGCATACAAGCACATACAAATACCTTATACACAAGAGATGGACGGCGCAGAAGATCTGGGGCGGGCGGATACTGATTTTTCCACAACGGACGGCGGGGTGACTAGGTATCTCGCGAGGAGTGAGAAGGAGTTTTGTTACCATAAGCATTATCGGCTGGATATATCTTGTTTGCAATTTCCACTCTTCTGTCTGCTCTTTTACCAACACAACCAACTCAAATGTATCCATTCCGTGAATAGAGATCAGTCGAGATAATCATCTGTCTATTGGGATACGGTTAGGTAATATCATCAAGCGAGAATAGCAACTAGATCATCAAACATCAATCACTGAAATCTGCGACAATTTCGAACCCATACGTGCATAATAACGATCGTTATTACTAACATTCTGGGTGCTCGATTAACCCCGGTCAACACGCGTCGGTCCAAGCCAACCCTAACCTTGAGTTCTCAAATCTTCGACACCAGTGCCACCCCTCCATCTAGCGTCACCGTCGCCCCATTCACAAACGCCCCCGCCCTACTCGCCAAAAACAGACATGCGCCCGCCGCGTCCTCCGACGTTCCAATCCTCCCCAGGGGATTCGCGGCCTTGATGTCCTCCCCAAAGTCCCTCAGCGTCGCCGCCATCATCTTACTCGGAAACGGCCCACACGCCAGCGTATTGCTCGTGATGCCCCTCGGCCCCAGCTCCACCGCCATGTGTCTGCTCAAGTGGTGCAGTCCAGCCTTGCTGGCGCTGTAAGCGTACGTGGGAAGCAGCGGGACTCGGATGCCGTCGATGCTGCCAATGTGGATGACGCGCGCTGGGTCGATCACCACTCCCTCGCTTCCTTCCGACGTCTTCTTTGCCGCTTTCTCTAAAAGGGGAGTCAAAGCCTGCGTCAGCGTAAAAACCCTATGCAGGTTCAGCGTCAGCAGCTTCGTCCACGCGTTATCCGGGTACTCGTCGTAAGCAGCGCCCCAGGTGGCGCCCGAGTTGTTGATCAGCACGTGCAGCTTTTGCTCGCGCTTGGAGAGTTCGTGGGCGACACGGGTACATTCCTCCGCAGAAGAGAGGTCGGCGGGAAGGGCGACGGCGGAACCACCTGAGGAGGTCTTGGAGGCCAGAGCGTTGAGCTCGGAGGCGGCGGTCTCGCAGGCGGCGGCGTCGCGAGAGGATATGTACACTTTGGCGCCGTTGCGGACGAAACCTTCGGAGATCATGCGGCCGATGCCTTTGGCGCCGCCGGTAATGAGGACAACTTTGCCCTGTAGATATTGAAGAGGGGACGAATTAGCATTTTTGGTGGGGTTCGTGCGTTGAGGACGGAGGGGGTTTACTCATTGTACATATGATGGGCGTTGTATGGCATGACGTAGACAGAGACAAACAGACAGACAGACGTACCTTGATGCCGAAGAGAGTGTTGACATCCATGATGATTGCTCCTTTGCCGACTTGTAATTTCGTCGTCAAAATTGGTGGGTTCAGTGCAAACAATTCAAAGCTCATATCTCATCCGGGAGGATGGGAATATAGCAACAGATTCCCCAAAACCATCCTTCTCCTACCAGCCAAACGATTTCCGGTTCTGTTCACCAAGACGGGAGGGTTCTAACAACAAGCCGAGGCTCGTTGGCGTGGGATGGTACCACCTACCTAGAGGTATCTCTAGACCAATCAACGGGATTATCTTATCGACAGTTATCACCGATAACCGAAAGTTCCTTTCGCGGGAACATCCATTCCAGCGAGGTGGAGGTCAACCACGGGTTGCAGTGAAGGGGTGCACGGTGAGGACGGTCAACCCCAAGTAGGTCAAGGTGAGTGCCTCTGGCCAAGCAATCAACATTCACAAAAGCCTACCTCATCATGACAGCCAGGTGAGAAAACAAAGCGATGAAGCATATGCATCATGTGACTGCTGGGATCTTGATACTTTATTGATTACGCAATGGTTTGGGGGCATGAAAGCAAGTACACTCAGCTGTTCTGCATTCATCGATGGACACTCTGCCCACTTCTTGTCATTGAACGTGAGGCATCGCAAGAACCTACCTATTTGAAATTATTCCCTGATACCTGCAGTTTATGCAATTTCCAGCACAACGAATAGACGCGTCATCTAGCACATCATGGCAAGCGATCCCCAGCCCCCACTGAACAAATCAAGCGCCGACGACCACGCCATCCAAAGCCAATTCCATCGCCTCCGCTCGCTCTTCAAAGACTCAGACTACTCCACACACCCTGAACACTGGGACACACTATGGAAGGAATCCTTCACCCCCTGGGACCGCGGCGGGCCCAGCCAAGCCCTCGACGAAGTCCTGTCCCTCCACCGCGAGCTCTTTCCCAATGCCCCAAGCAGTGCTCATGATTGGGACAAGCCAAAACCCAAAGCTTTAGTGGCCGGCTGTGAGAGAGGCCACGACGTGTTACTCCTGTCTGCACATGGGTATGACGTCTACGGACTTGACTCATCCGTGACAAGCATGGAGGAGGCCAAGAAGAACGAGAAACGGGTGGCGGAAGAGGATGCAGAGGGCAAGTGGAAGGAGGTGTATGCACCGAGGAGGGAGCTAGGCGTTACGACAAAGGGCAGGGTGATGTGGGTGACGGGAGACTTTTTCGAGGACGACTGGGTGAATGATTCGGGATATGGAAAGGTGAAGACTGGGTTTGATCTCATTTTTGATTATACGGTAAGTGTTCCGTCTCCTTGGATGGTGTCCTGGCCTGATTGAAGTGACAGAGTCGAGAAACACTAACTCAAGACTCGTTGCCAGTTCTTTTGCGCCCTTCCGCCTGAAGCACGCCCACAATGGGCCAAGAGATTGTCCCGATCTTCTCAACCCCGACGGCGGAAGACTAGTCTGCCTCGAGTGGCCACTTGACAAGGACCCCATGACTGGCGGCCCGCCTTGGGGTGTTTCGGGCGACCTGTATCTTGCCCATCTTGGGCATCCGGGCCAGTTGTTGCCATATGACGACAAGGGACAGGTAGTGGACGGAAGCGCGGATACAACACCGGTTGCTCTCAAACGGCTGGCACGTACACAGCCCGCATGCACACACAAGGCTGGGTACGACAACCAAGGAAACGTAGTTGACCGTGTTTCGGTCTGGAGCCACCAGTAAGGGTGGTCGGGGGAAACCTTTTCGGTTACAGTTACTTTGTGTGTGCGAAAGAGCAACCTAGCAACAGGGAGAGTGGCACTTTTATCGTTTGCTTGATAACTCGCCTTTTGGCAAATCATGGTCTCAAACAGCTGCTTTGCGTAGCGAGTTGAAGTGTTCTCCAAGGCCATATCCATGACGATAGTACGCCAACCACAGGACCTTCAGCTCCTCCTTGTCCCCGTTGCTCTCCCCATTTGCGACAGCGTTGGGTTGTATCACCTCCGTCCGACCGTCCTGCACCACCCTGATCTCCACGTTATACGCGTTTGCCAGCGCCGTCAGCTCCAGCTGCCCACCCCACTCTGCTGTGTCTCGTATCTTGGCCACGTAGGTCTCGAAGGGCTCCTCGAGAAAAGGCGCAAAATCGTCCGTGTGTTTCTCCATGTAGTCAACCGCCACATGACGCACGATCCTATAAGGCGGCAGCTTCTCTTGTGTTTGCGCTCCCTTGTTCGCGGACAAGGCCCCATCTACTGGAAGCCCGTGGACAGCAAGCTGATCTGCCACTGCGGAGAAGAGGCAGTGCCCATCGGGTTCGATGTCCTTCTCTTCCAAAGAATGCGCCTTGAATTCGCGCAACATATATGCCTTTTCGATACCGCGATGGTCCACCATGCTCGAGGCCTCTTTCTCGGCTGCTGCCGAAGCAGCTTCTATTTCCGCTTGGCGACGGGCGAGACGCTCCTTCTGGCGGTTTCGTTTCTTTCCTCCGCCGCTGGAGGACTGCTCTACCGGAGGAGGGGGACTTGTTTTACTCGACTGTTCGGAGACGGTGGTCTTCTGTAGCTTCTCAGTCACATCGTTGACTGTTGGTTCTTCAACGTCTTGCTCTTCCTCAAGCTCCTGGACCTGCTCGTCGTTGTCGTCATTGTCGTCACCTCCTTGCAGCTTCCTGAGCTCCTCCTCTTGTCTCGCTTTCAGTTCGAGCTCCAATTGGGCGCATTCATCATTGACGCCCTTGCGTGTCTTCTTGGTCGCGTTCTTCTTCTTGTTTGTGATGCGTGACACAAGGTCTCTTTGCTCCTTGCGATGCCGAGCTTGCATTTGTTCGAGGGTTTCGGACTCCATGTTTGCTTGCTCTTGTAGGACCTATTAAGCTTGAAAGTACAATGGCAGTTTCAGGCGAGTTAAAGGTAGCCCGGGATGAGACTCGAATGACTCGCGCAGGTAGCCGTAGGTTTAAATGTATTGTTGTGATTGCGAAGAGTGAAGGGGAGGGCGAGGAAGCAATCTCGACAAACACTCGACGTGGAAATCGTACGCGAATGGGCCAGTGGCGGGGTAGCTCACCGTACAGCTTTAACCCTAACCCCGCTTACTGTACCAAGAGGGGTAGCACGCTGTGGGGTAACTCAGGCATCGACCGACCGATCTGTACAGAGTACGGATGCGAGAATGTTCGATGCAAGCACAACCAGCCTCATAAGGAAATATTAGACAAACCGTTCTCAGGTCAAATCACTGCGCCGTTGGTATAGTGGTTAGCATACTCGCTTCCCAAGATATTCTCTAATTAGCGAGTGACCCGAGTTCGAATCTCGGACGGCGCACATCTTTTTGCCTTTTTCTCGTTCCATATCAGTCTTGTTGGAAGCTCCAGAGGTGTTTAGGGGGGATTTCTTGTTTTTTTTCCTCAACTTCTTTCTTTGTGCAAATCAAAGGATTACTGTACCAAATGAGCTTCGTCCAGCCAAAGCTACGAAACGGGTAGCTTTATCACTATGGCGTACTCTCAATCAACGAACAAGTGGCCGAAAAGACATTCGTCGACACGGTCAAGTATTATAGGTGCTTATGGTACACATTTGATCGCCTATACTCTGGTTTTCTGGATCGTCATTAAAGCTTCCATCCAATTGCAAGGTTCCTCCATGTTATTCAATTCAATTCCCAGACAGATAAGATTGGACACACGTGCAATGACTCCTTGTCCGTGCAAGTAGAACGGTCCTCAGGTTCAGATTCATCAACGGCCTTCATTGGCAGTCATGCACGCAAAACGCCTTTCCCGTCCTGCCTGTTTCCACTCACCCAAACAGTCGTTGAGATGTTATTTGCCCTGCTGTCTCTTGTTTATTACCGCTCATGTGGGTTCTCGTTAATTGCCTTGGTCGAATTGCGGATTGGTGGGTAGAAGAAGGTTGATCATCTTGATATTGCTGTACGCATACATGCATGGCTTCGCTGTCGTTGTGAGGAAAATGAGGAGGTGATCATATGTCTTTGAAATTGCGAGGTACGAACATTGCTGGCTCTTGGCGGAGTAGCAAACATATCAGGACTATAAACACCTCGATGCCTGCGGGCAAACTGCCCATATATGCATGGCAGCTGGGCCAGTGTAAGAGATTAAGGCTGAACTCATTTGCTCTAATTCTCAGATCCGAGTGCCTTTCAACCAACGAACAAGAAGAATGACATCTCCCTCCACAACAAATACTTGCCCGAAATCTTGCCTACATGCATGGTCCATCAGAGGACGAAACATGGCTGACGTACATAGGCGCACTCACATGCTGCATATGTACATAGTGTACACCTATAGAAACAACGAAGAGGCACGTACTGCATTCCCATCGCATGGTGATGCTGCAGTGCAGTGGAAAAGATGATGGGTTTTGGTGTGAAGAAAAACGTAGGAACTCTCGGAAAACGTGGGGCAAGAACAGACGAGGGGTGTGCGATGGGTGGTCAAACAAGAGCAGGGATTGGCCAGTCAGACATTCACATGAAACTCCACCCGCTGGTATGCAACCCGCGTCATTCGTCCATTTCATCTGAAGCGTGTTTCACACTTTTCTGGAGCCTAGCGGGTGATGGGCTTCTGCAAATCAGATCGATTGGAGTTGCATTGGAGTTGCCAAACGACAACATTCTCGCGAATTTTCATAATTTTTTTTCAATCAACCTCGAACCGTGACCCCTTTCTAGTATACCTGGAGCGCTTGCTGGTACGACTAGAACTCCACCTGTACACAGTACAGTATCACGCCCCGGGCAAGACCCCGCTCTGTCCTTATTTTTCCTTTCTTTTTCTTTTCTTTTCTCTCATCCATTCCAACACGTGCTCTCGTACAGTTCAAGGCTTAGACGTGGTTAACGCGAGACTTCCATACAATGTCTTCGAAACAAGGGAGAGAATAGGGAATTTCGACCCTCCTATTGATCCAAACCACGCCAAAGAGGGTAAGAACAACGACTGATCGTATCCCACCAGGTGTCCCACACACATTACATGCACTAAGACCTGACTCCATTTACAGCGGGCAATAACGAACCAGATGCTGTTGGAGCCGGGAATGCCATCAAACCAGCCTGAAAGTGGTAAAAGAGCCCTCTGTAAGTACCAAGCTAACGGAGTTTCCAGGGGTGATGTATACGATCCCGTCGTCCCCAGTGGTTTAGTTCGGTGATCATCAGCGTTTGTCAGTCAATCTTGTGACCGCCTTCTCGCTCACCGGGCAACCGTCGGTCAATTGCACATCAGTTCCCCCTTATCGATCGTAATCACGGCGGCCCACCCGGCATCAAGGAAGCGTGCCGTACATCCATCGTCGGTGCCAGCGCGGTTGTAAGAATGGGATATGCGCCTCAGGATAGGGAAAATCCCTGGGAGGACTTTTTGGTACCTGGAGGGGTGCATTGGCGGGTGGCAAGTTGGGCGGGAATAGCACAGTACAGGTTGACTAAAGCGCCGTGCAGCGGCGTACCTACATTATGTAAGGTCAGATGCGCAATGTGTTACACACAATCAAGAGCTGGTCGGCACGGCACTACCCACTACCTCTGTGTAAACATATTCGGTGTTACCTCGACGCAATGCTCTCGCCCTCGCAAGTGGACAAGACGAAGCGGCTGTCGCGATTGTGATTGATTCAGGGGCACACCAGCATGACCACCAGCGCATTTCGGTCTATCATTAGCGGATGCCCATCAAGGTTGCACACCTACGTATTGACAGACTGACAACGGCCTGGGGGGGAGGTGGAAAAGTGGGAGATTTGCACGAATTATTATGCTGCGGAGTCGGCGGTGGAGGCTTTGGACAAGCGCAGGATTCATCCGAGGACGGGCAACGGCTGCCGGCCCAGGCTTCTTCAGTTTTTTTTCGAGGATCCCCGTTCTAGAAGAAAATACTAGTGGTGCATTCTCAGGACCTGCAGCAGCGAACCATCGAATGTACCCTGTTTCTTCTGAAATGTCCCACGATGCCCTCGTGAATGGACGTTTCGGACCCGACTGGAGTCTACCTCAGAGATTTTCTTGGCCCGGGCTCCCGTCGCTGCCCCTGGCACGTGCCTGAGTGCCATGGCCGCTTTTCCTGCTTTTCTTTCGCTGCCCAAACAAGATAGCGAGAGTGATTTACATTTGAAAATTGGGAGCAAATTCTCACACTCCACCGTGGGCTCCAAACAGGAGGTCCCTCTAATCCTTGGCCGCGTATGTCGGCTCCTCTTATAGCCCTTTTATTTTCCCGTGCCCAGCATTTTATCAAGGATGTACACTGGCGGCGACTCCTCAAGGAGACAAGGGTTTGGAATGCGCGGGCCAATGGGCGCTCTCAAAGCGATGGCTGATCGCCTGGTTCGGGAAAGAGTGCGATGCGGCGAGAGCAAGGGCAGGTTCGAAGGGGGGTCACCCAAATGTACTAGGGTACTCAGACGAGCCGATACAACCAGGAGTACGACCCTGGGACGGTGCAAATACGATGCGTACCTGCAGCACCTAACATAGGTAGTGGTCAATGGCAGACCCATGCATGCTCTGAGGAGAGTCTGGTTAGGGTTCTGAGCGTGACTTTCACCCCTTCCTTTCCTTCCAGTCGGGTACGCCGCAGGTACCCTAGGTGTAATCGGCTGCGGGTCCGGCTTCTTGGGTTCCTCTTGTTCTCGTCGTGGCCCCTAGGCAACCTCCATGGAAGGCCCCCCGAGCCCCCGGGCGCCTCCCTACCCGCAGGAACTGGAACTGTGAGGCGGGTTCCTGCCCGCTGCAGAGCGGAAAATGAATATCTTTCGCTGGGTGTCTCGCCTTCCTCATTAGTGCTCCCTCTTCCCCTCCTTCCCCGTAGTCCATCTCCCTCGTCACTCCCTTTTCCCGTCCTCATTCCATCCATATCTGGTGGTCTGAACCTGTTGAACTCTCTTGGCCGACTCGTTCGACACTTCACTCACTACCACCACTCGCTTTCTGTACCACAGTCACTCATTCATCAATCAACATCTCCATCTTCGGCATCTCTCCGGTGTCCATCCGTATTTCGACAAAAGACAAACAATCTCGATAACCGACTGCGACTCGTCGTGCTGGTCATATCTGGTGGATCGATCTTTGTCAAGACTGCAATTCTCCGGCTCGCCCATTCGACCTCATCCCATATCGATAAATCCGACAAGCGAATACGGTTTTTGGCAACACAACCTTGGTGCGACCATTGTTCGTTTGGTTCAAGAGCTTGGACGATTGTTATTCGAGCATTTATTCTGCATCCTCGCCGTTGTCTTGAAAGTCTTTCCCCAAAGACATCTTGCAAGAGCCACACGCCGGACAGCTGGATAACACCTGTTGTCCTTGGATATTGGTAAGTGTATCCTTATGGACGGCCAAGCTCTGGAGCTTGTTCGCGTTTCTTTCTGCACGCTTGCCGCGAATTTGTCTCTCTAACATCTCGCTCGCTCTCAGATTCCCATCACTCTTTGAAAAATCTCAAAATGAAGGTTTCTGTAGCCATCCTCGCCGCTGCAGGCGGTGCGGATGCCTTCTGGCGCATGGAGTGCCGCGGCAGATTGGGTGTCGCTCGCCTCGACCCTCTGGTTAACTACGGTGAACCCGGATCCCATGCCCACTCGATTCACGGTTCTTCTGGTATGTCCATGTGTCCGGAGGCGCGCTAGGAAAGGATGGATTTGCTAAAACTTTATCAACAGGTTTCAGCGACAAGTCTTCCTACGATGACCTGCTCAAGGGTGATTGCACTTCTTGCGCTGTCACCCAAGATATGTCTGCGTACTGGACTCCTTCTCTCTACTTCCAGCATGCCGACGGCTCCTTTGAGCTCGTCCCGCAAGTTGGTGGTATGCTGTCATACTACTTCCTTTATACGGATGCTGCCAACCCCGACAGTGGCATCAAGGCGTTCCCTCCCGGCTTCCGCATGATTGCCGGAGACACTAACCGCCGTAACTATACGATTACTGGTACCAACGTCAAGGATGCCGACCCCCAGAAGTCCGAATGGGCCAGCCTTGGACAGACTTCGCAGCTCGATCTGGCTCAGCGTGCCACCGGATTCAACTGCCTCAACTACAACAAGCAACCTGAGGGTACATTGTACCGTCACTACATGCCCGACAAGGACTACCTCGATGCCAACTGCGCCGACGGCATTCGCGCCGAAATCATGTTCCCTTCTTGCTGGAACGGCAAGGATCTCGATTCTGATAACCACAGGGACCACCTGGCATACCCCGATCTTGTTATGAACGGCAACTGCCCCAAGGGCTTTGAGACCAAGGTCCCTAGTCTCATGTACGAGACCATCTGGGCTACCCAAAACTTCATTGGACAATCTGGCCAGTTCGTCTTTGCCAACGGTGATGTTCAGGGCTTCGGTTACCATGCCGACTTCATGAACGGCTGGGACGAGGACTTCCTCCAGCAAGCCGTTAACACCTGCACCAACCTCAGCGGCAGGATCCAGGACTGCCCCATCTTCAATATCCAGAGCGAGGCTGAGCAGAACCAGTGCACCTTTGACAAGAACCCCGAGGTCTCCCAGATGCTCAAGAGCTCTCTCAACGAGAAGACTACCGGAGTGATCGGCGACTCCCTTCCCGGCGGTGTCAAGATTGCTTACGGACCTGAGCCCGCCGATGCGGCCAATGCTGGATCGCATACCACCACTGTCGAAGTCCCAACTGCTACTTACTCCCAGGGTGCCACTGTCACCGACGGAAACTACATGCCCGGTGGTGTTTTCAAGGCTGCTAAGTTCGGCGTCCCCGCTGCCGAAAGCGCTGTCAACTCCATCAGCACCACCACCGAAGCTTTGCCCACTATTACTGAGGCGCCTACCGTCGCCGCGGAGGACGATGGCTTCACCGCCATCAGGACCGAGTACATTACCAAGGGCAATGTTGTCAGCATGGTTATCGTCAAGGAGGCTCTCGAGTACGTGACCGTCACGACCACTACTGTTACGGCTGTCCAGACCGTTCAGGCCCGCCAGTACTCTCACCTGCACCGCCACAAGGTCCGCGCTGCGAACAACCGGGCCTAAGTCATATGCTACATGACTGCTTCCGGTATCTGAATTTCACTTCTACAGGCTTTGTCCCCTTCTGGTGACATTAGCTTTAGGCCACATTAGTGAAGAGGGATCTTTATGGCCATTTGTTCTTGTTTATGCTTTGTTATATCCCTAATGGAATCTTGTTTCGTGGATTGGACTTTGCATTTCAAAAGGTCATTATGCGAGTTATGCGGGCGAGGAGGAGGCGGTATGAGAAGGCCAGTGGATTTAAAGAGATACTCAGAAGGTAGAATGAAAGTTGATACTGCAAAGCCTTTTCCCTGTGCTTTGGCATCTTTGTTGTGGTGACGGGTAGGTGTTGAGTACCCCCTTGTCATCACGTATATGGTCCTTAATTTCTTCATCAGCATGGGCAGGCGTTCTACGGTAATACATCTCGCTATATACCTCTTCATAGGGCTAGGTGGATAGACTGGTTTCTCTCCTGAGCGAACAATAGGAAAACACCATTAGGAAACAAGCAAAATGGTCAACCATAGGATGTGAAACTGCTTGATCGTTACTGTTTATGTTCTGCTTTTTGCGATGGTAATCTTAGTACAACATGCCTTGGTGCTTGCGTTGTCACGGTGATGGCGAGGCTGGAATGCTGCTGTGTGGTTTCGGGACGTGGTGTCGTGGTGTTGCCGGGCGCAACGCATTCCATTCCATTCGCAGCAACAACGCTGCACTGGATCAACAACACTCCAATTTACCTCAACCGGTAGAAGCATGTTGACATTGCAACAACAAGAATCATGCTTCTCGCATTTCCTTGTTTACGTCGTTACTCTTTCCTTCAGGCGCTTCGTTGTTGAAACCATCACCACGCTCTTTTCCCCTACGATCTTTGCCAGATGAATTTCGGCGATTGATGAGCCAAATACAAAGAACGAGGTCATAGTACACACCACAAGGAAACATTGGAGCGAGACCAAACATCGATTGCAATAGCGCGCCACGAATAGCAACAACCAGGGCGAAGAATGATCACTGTCGCCGACTGACTTGCCAAGTGTGTTTGCATCTGATTGTCACGAATCCCGCCCGAAGCAAGCAAACGAAGGCAGAAACACAAAACAGCACGGCACGTAAAGCAAGAATAGCAACATATTTCCTGCAGAAACCGAGATACCGGGGGATCGAAATCGGAAACAAGCAAACTGCAGCATCACTGACCACCACAGCCCCGGGCACGATAAGCAAGAGATATCAACATGAGCGCCGCCGCAGCAGGGGCTTCCCTCCCCTTCGGCGCCCTCGTCGCCATCGTCCTCCTCGGCACCTTCACCGTCTCCGCCACTCTCGCCTTCTTCGGCATCTGGCTATCGCGTCGTCGAAGATTAGCAGTAGTAGCCGCGGGCCAGGGCCAGACAAACAAGGAAAGAAGCGGAGGATGTCATGTGTACGACTTGACTGGTGAGACGACTATTGCATCGACGGCGTTGACAGTCCATGTTGGGAATGGTCACGATGCCGTGGATGTTGGAGACTTCTCGCCGAAACGAAGCCCTAGAAAGTTGCAAAAACTTCCATCTGCGGCGTGGACGACGGCGTCGGCTTTGAAGTATAATAGTACTACTTGTTTGTTGCCCAAGGCGAAGGGGAAGGGGATATGGCAAGGGGAGGGTGCTGGTAATGGACTGAGAGGTCGAGAACATGAGATGGATGGAGAGGGAGAAGATGGGGTGCTGTCGGTTTCCATGCTACCTGGAATGTCGTGGATGGACTTGGGCGGAGCGCAAGAGCAAGGTTCACTGCTGCCATTCAGCAGGTTGCGAAAGACTTCTTCCGGCAGTCTTCTTCGCCTGCACAAGACAAAGTTGCTGGGTGTGAGTAGAAAGAAGAGCAGTGCCAATGAGAGGAGGATGGCAAACTCAGCGTGGATTGATGAAGAGGCGATTCATGGTCCGGAAATGAGCGGGATGAGCAACATCCCGGACGAAAACGGGACTAGTAATGATAGTGACAATAACAGCCACCGCAAGTCATGGCTGTTTGGTTGGCGAAAGGGGAAAGGTAGAGATTGGATCCGAGAATCGTGGCCGTTGAAGACGAGGGCGCCCACGGTTCCGAGGCTGGATGACTACCAGGAACTTCCTAGAAGTCAGATGCTGAGCCAGAGCCAGAACCAAAGCCAGCTGAACGACCAAAGAGCAGAGCAGCTGGAGACCGAGACGATGACAGGTCGTCTTGGAATTCCTTCCACTGATAGCGGTCGAAGTGCTGTCAGGTCTGCCTATGGCGCAATGGAGGGAGGAGGAGAAGGGTTATCGGTTTCTCTACTATTACCTGAGCCTCCGCAGCCCGCGATAGTAAGAGGACAAGCCGGAACGGGAGGAGGGTTCGTTGTGCAACACAGACATACCAAGAGCGAGCCCCAGAGGATCTTGAGGGTCACGAACCCCAGCACTCCTACTAGCCTTGCTAGGCCTACTCCCATACCTACAACGCAGTCAACCTCAACGAAGAACAGACAGGTATCAACGGATTCGACACTTTCCGAGATCCTCAGATCCACGGAGAAGAGGCTGCAGAAAGCCAGCACTAGCGGAGTGTCGCGGCGAAACCGAGCGACAATACAAGTGGCATCTGGTCCCCATCGAGGACTGTCTCTGCACGTGGCTGAGAGACTCGAGGAAAGTCGCAGCCCTGGTCTTCGGCGAAGCGATTCTCTCAAGGAAACTCGAGGGACTCGAGTAGAACATCAACTCCCTGTCATCAGTCCATCAAGCAGTGGTCTAGTGGCGCCACTGACACTTGTGCCCAAGTCATCGGGACAGCAGCAGCAGCGGCCAGACTCGCGGGAATCATCGTCCTCGGAGCCAGATAGTCTCCTCGCCGAGCCTGCCTACTCGGAGATGCCGTCGGGACTGACGAGTCCAAGTCGGGTCTCAAGCATAGCCGGTGCTTCGAGCGTTGCCGAGACAGAGATTGAGATGCTCCTCTTGACCGTGGATGTGCCTTCGAACCGCAGTTCCATGACCTCGGCAGCATCTCTTTCCACTATTCACAGCGTGGACGAATCATCTGAAGGGGGCGCAAGAGTTTCAGTAGGGACTAAGACGCCATCCCCAGACCGTGCTGCTATGGTGGCAGGCACCGGAAGACCCACGGTATCCTTACAGACTTCTATGGTTGACAGTGAGCGGTTCGCCTTGCCCGCTCCATTGTCCGCTGTTGATGCGTCTGCGCCCTCTCTACCCTCTGGATCCTCTGCCCGACCCTTCACAAGCTACGGGTGTCCTGTACCCAGACCTCTTTCAACAAGATCCCAGGGCGAAACCGAGAGCAACAGGAGATCGTTCGTACGGAAGTCCATCATAGCACAAGAACCAATTGGCCCTATGCCCTCGATGCCCACTAGGCTATTGCCGTGTCCAGGAGTACCTTCCGGCAAGAACTGTGTGATTGCCCAAACCAGCTGTGGCACATGGCACACCACAATGGCCAATCCCTTTCAGGTACCAGTCAGCCCAACTTCTATTCAAGCATCGACAGACTCTGCGAGTCCGACATCATCCTCGGGTTCCATGGCATCAAGGGAGACTCTCAGAGGGCTTCGCTCTCCGCCCAACAAGAGCACCACATACAACAATACGCTGTTAAACTCCATAGTTCTCCCACCGCCAACACAACACAGATATGTCGATGCCAAGACCGTGGTGGCAGAGATCAAACCACCAGCCAGGTCAGGGATCATTCAAACACCAGAGCGAGAGCGCCGCTGGCCCTCTATAAACGCACATACCGCTGGACACGACAATGATGCATGTCAGCCGCCCTCGCCAACACCGCGCTCGGGCTCGCGCTTGTCCCGGCAACTGTCACTCCAACAACGCAAAGCTAGTGAATCATCGTCCGTATACTCGCAAGACATTGCGGCCAACGAAGCCTTCAGCCCCGCACCGGTACCGACATTCACGGTTCCCACACCATCCAGTCCCACCCGGACATCCCTCCCTCCGTCTCCAACCACGGTGGGACTAGCAGCAGCGCAAGCTCTCAACGCCGCCAACTTCCAGAGGAACTCGATTCTCTTTGCCGGATCCCAGCAGCAGACCCCCTCTTGCCGCACTTCGCGTACGATCAAACCCAATAGAGCGTCGGTACTGGCAGCGCAGCGAGACCTCGACGACGAGGTTGAAGATGATGAGGGTAACAAAGAAAATACAGCAGCTATGACGCCAAAAGCCAGCCCCATAGCCGCCACCATTGCCCAGCTTCGACGCATGAACAGCGTCCTCAGCACCGCCTCCAGCGTAAGCAGCATTAACACCGACGTCCCTGACGGTGGCGGCAATGGCTATCCGAGCAGAAGGAATAGTAGAGTGGGAGTATCATCCAGCCCGACGCAATCGGCACTGAGAGGCGGTGGATTCAACCCCATTCCGAGACGGGATAGCCATCAAAGTTATGGCCATCGGCGAAGTGGGAGCAGGAACTACTTGTTCGCGCTGAGCGGCGGCGCTGGAGCCGTACCGTCGACGCCAACAACACCGAAGGTCGTGAAAAGAACAAGCGGTAGCGGAGGCGGAAGTGGTGGTAGGGTGCGCCCGAATCCATCAGGGCAAATGAACGGGCACTTACGGACCGGTTCGGAATCAGGATCAGGAATAGGAAGGATGGTGTCGATATCTCGATCTGGATCGCCTAAGAGGATAACGTTGACGCCGGGACACCACCGAAGCCTGGGAAGTGATTACGGTGGTAGCAGCGTAATTGGGAGTTCTGGCCTGATCAACGCCAACATTTTGAAGAACAGGTTTCAGTTCGACGACCACGACGATGATGACAATAATAACAACAAAGGCAAAAGAGCCAGTAATGGTAATGGTATTACGAAGAAGCAGAACGGCAGTGACTTTCTAGTGGGCGCAAAGAACGATGAGGGCAAAGAAGAGGAGAGTAAGAGGAAACTTCCCGTTAGATTTACATTGCCAAACTCTTCCACGGCCACTATCGGGTTGACGGCAAATTCTCCCCCGTCATCGCCGTCGCAGAGGTCGAAGCAGGTTCAGACGGGCATGGTGTACGTGACGCCGAAGGGAAAGCGTTGGAGGCAGAGCAATGAGAGTTTGGGGCTTTATGACCGGGATGGCTTTTTGATCAATTCGCATGGTCAGCCTCCTCCTGGGGCAAGCTCGAGCTCGGTGCGCGCTTAGACGGTAACGGGCAATTGGAGATAAGGGTGTGATGAGTAATGGCGTATTCGGGGGATAATTGTTGGTGTCATTGATGGCGGCGTTTCTTTCTTGTTTCTATTTGAGATGGCAATTTATTTGTGCTTGTTTGCCGAACAAAGTTGGCGCGTTTTCTCATTTGTATGGTATTTAAAATTTAGCCAAGCTTATGGCGAATACTTTGACTGATGACAAATTGTTTTGAACCAAGACAAGAATTGAATGAGTACAAAGCTGTCACTGATTGAGTGATGATGGTTCAAGGTGAAGTTGCCAAAGGAGTGAGGTGATGTGAATGTAGAAGCCGTCCTTTCCCTTCTTCTGATTAGCTCCTTGCTCGGCCAGGCAGCTGTCAATCGCATACCGGACAGCCGCCACCAGCTGCAATTGGACAGTTCCCGCCAGTGGTTAGGCTTACACTGTCCACGGAGGTCGAGACCTGAAACAGCCTCAGCTACTGTAGCGCCAACCATTCACAACCTACCCTCAGGTTGAAGCTCTCCAACATATTCTTTCCATTAAGTCACTTAACTTTAATGATCGATAGTCATCATACAATTACCATCTTGCTTTCCCATAGCTCATCAATTTGCTAGATAAGCCACGTCTCGTTGACTTCATCACTACTCACTCGGACCACAACGGCACAAACAACATCATAACCAATATCACCGCTACAAAATAACGATAATGCCCCCCCTCCCTCACCAACACGTCCCCCGTCTCATAACCTACTACCAAACCCACCACACTCCCTCCGGTGACCCCATCTCTGTCCTCCCTTTTCTCCAAAAACCCGGCATCAACCTTACCCACCTGATCCTAGCCGCCATCCACATCAACTCGGACCCGGAAGGCATCACCCTAAACGACCACCCGCCGTCACACGAGCGCTTCACGACATTATGGACCGAGCTCCGCATCCTCCAAGCGTCAGGCATCAAAGTCCTCGGCATGCTCGGCGGCGCAGCCAAGGGTTCCTTTGCGCGCCTTGATGTCCCGGATCCAGACTCTCCCGATAAGACGGCTTTGGAGCGTTTCGAGCGGTATTATCAGCCTCTTAAACGACTGATTAAAGAACGCGGCCTGGACGGCCTAGACCTAGACGTCGAAGAAGAGATGTCTTTGGCGGGAGTGATTCACCTAATCGACCGACTGCGTTCCGACTTTGGGCCGGATTTCCTCATCACCCTAGCGCCCGTAGCGGCCGCCATGTTAAACCCGCGGCACAACTTATCGGGGTTCGACTACGAGGCGCTCGAGGTGATGCGCGGCCAGGAAATAGCGTGGTACAACACGCAGTTCTACTGCGGGTGGGGGGACTGTAGTAATCCGGTCATGTACGAGATGATGGTGATGAAGGGATGGGCATCGGAAAAGATTGTTGTCGGGTTGATCACGAACCCGGAGAATGGCGGGGGGTGGGTGCCTTGGCCGGCGCTGGCGGGCGTCTTGCCGCTGCTGGTGGGCAGACATCCAAGGTTCGGCGGGGTGATGGGGTGGGAGTATTTCAACAGCTTACCTGGGTCAAGGGAGAGGCCGTGGGAGTGGGCGCAGGTCATGACGGCGCTGTTGAGGGGGAGACAGGCGTCGGATGCTGGAGCGCAGTTGTTGGGTGCGTTGGGTGCTCCTTTGCATCTTGATGTTGCGCAGCAGCAGCACCAAGAACAACAACAACAACAACCACAACAACAAGCAAAGCAGTCTCAACCTGAACAAGAGAAGGAAGGAGGGGGGTATGGGCTAGTGGACAAGGACGAAGTGGACACACCCATTGCGGTGCCCAACTCGTTTGATTACCACACTGATGCAGAAGATGAGGATGAGTAGACATGAGACAGACTTACACTACCCTAGACCAAAGCGTTCCATTCCAACAACAACAACAACAATGCCAGCGGGATCATGTGTGAAGGAAACTCTGTTTGATGGCAGCACGGGGTCTGCCGGTAAACGGCGTGTCAATCATACAGAAACCCGTCTTTCAGTAGCCAAGAGTCCCATACAACCCGGACATCAGACATGACTAATAACTTGCGATAACTGGCCGAACCGGTGAACAGGAAATATGTTTATGAAAAGCAAGTCAGATAAGAAGGGGCAAGGGTTCATCCTATCTCGGAATCACGAGGGCTTATTAATGCCCTCTCGACACAACAGGTCAACTCTGCACCGTGCAGAGCAGCCTTCGTTGTTTATTAGCCTGAAGTGGTGGCCTGATGCCGCCGTGACCCGACTTGGACACTGGGGGCAAGTAGTTGACCGACGACGCCCACGAAATGCTCTCAAGATCCCCAACATGTGTCCAGGACCCCGAAGATCGGGCCATGTGCTGTTTTGCACTGTGTGCCCCTACTTTATGCCTTTGGAAGGCTGCTGCCGGAAAGGAGGGCATTCCGGGATGATAATCTCCATTCCGAGTGGCCTTGGCCCACCGATAAGCTCGAGCTGCCAGCTGCCAGTAGTGTAATTCGATGGCCAACTGTCCCCGGCTCAGATTCTGGAGGCTGTGACTGATGAGCCAACCAAGAAAAGGAAATCTAGTAGTTTGGCAGGACCCAGCAACATGCAATGTTCGGAGACATGACGGCGCCAGGATTCAGTCCCCTCAGCTTCTCTTTGCAGTCCAACAAATCATCCGGGGTGTTTGCCAGCGGCCTGGCGCTGTGGAATTCCATTAATCGAATTCCTCTCCTCCTTCATATGTTGAACTTTTTCAGTGAAGTACCGAAAGATTTGACGGCCTTAAAGGGATATACATGTGAATGAGCTGAGGTGGATCAAACCTTATGGCTAAGACCATGTCTTCTTTGCGAGATGCAAATCATGGCAAACCGATGACGAAAAGCATGACATCTTGCTCAGCGTCTCACCCTACCCATACTATGCGTGCGCAGCGGTGCACGTTCCCTCGTGATTTACACTAAGGGATCCCAAGCTGCCAACCCAGATAGATGCCCGATGCCACCCTATGATGAACCACAGACGCGAGTGAACAGGAGTTAACGTCAGGGACGGTAGGAATCATAGTTTGCCGCATCTCTCACGAGTGACGTTGTCCGGTCGACAAGGGGAATACGACACAGACGCAAACACGTCGTACAATGATGCGAGAGTTGAGCCAACGGAGACGACAAAAGACAGCTTTGAGGTCAGCCCATCTTTGGAGGCGTTTGCGATGCTGTCATCGGCGGGACGGGGAGACGGGACCGAGGGGACGTGTACGGACAGCGACGTCAGTCGGTAGGAGCCGAAGGGGAGAAGGGGGGGTACGCAAACTGAAGAGTGAGTGTTGTTGCAGTGGCGAGCAAGCGAGGCCGGACTTATCGCCGTGAGCCGCCCGTCAGCGTCAGCAGCCTGTGTCAGAAGAGGGCTGGGACGTGAAAGAGGCCGTTTGACGTCAAGGCGGGTGCTGTCCCCGGAGGCTATCAATAGAGCCGCGTACTATTCTAAGGGGTCAGTCTGGCGGCAGCGCCAGGTCCCCAAGTTTAGGGGTCCAACATCCCATTACACTACAGGCAGAACAGGGTGACAGACTTTGTTCCCCTGTCGTTCTGTGCCGTTGGCGGCTCCCTGCGCACTCTCGCTCCCTTAATGATGACGGCACGGGTGAGGTTCTAGAATGCCTATGACAGCAGAGGGATCCATGGGAGACGAATCGAGATCATCATCATCATCATTGTCATCATAAAGCGGCTCCTTTGCGGCCTGGCCCTTTGTTCGGAGTTAGTGAAAGGACTAAAAAGGCCATGTGTTTGTGGAAGGCTGAGACGTCGTCAAGCAATGACGACAATGGGCCGCGGAGGCGATTTGTTTACCGTCTGTTTGGTCGCACAAGGACACATCGCGAAGGTGAGGTCGGCTCTGGCGTCACTTGCTGGGTTAAGCTTATCCATGATCGCAAAATGGGCCAATGAGTGCTCAAGGTTCCTGCACCGAGAGCCGGCCAGGGGCTTGCGCTTCTCCTCCGGCAATCCTTCGTTCGAGACCATTCAATGCCCCACTCGGTCCTTTCCTCGCTGGGAACCTGGAGGGCAGAAAGAGTCAAGCCAAGAAGCGTAGATGGAAGTAACCGTGAGGTTCAACTCAGTACAGTATTGCGCAAAAGGAACAATCACCGAGATGGATGAAATGAGATCAAGCAGAGGAGAGAATGGAAAGTGACAGGCAGGTCCTCCTCCAGAATTCCAACTGAATGCGGAAGGGGCAAACAAAGAGTTGCAAAGTCCGGCCAGCTGTCGACAGGGGTATGGCAGGTATCTCTGTGGGGCATGTACAGCAGATGGCCGGTAGGACCGACGCTAGCAGGGGTTTACAAGTGACCGTGGCCTGAGACTGATGTCATTTTACCTTGCCGCATGGGTGGCGCCTTCTGACCTCAACAGCTTTTTGCGAAGTGGAAAAGCTCAGGTCGTCGTCGTTCATGCCTCGCCAACACTGTTTCGCTGTCCACCTCTGCGTGAAAGATGGGAACTGAGTTTGAGTTTTCACCGTAGTACCGCGTAACTTCCACTTGTGGTGCAGTGGTTGTTAGGACAGTCGCGACTCGCTACCATCAGCACATCGTCATTACCGCGAGCTTCTTTCCCGTCGTTTCATTTGTCTCGGAATTGTTTTTGGCTATCCCGTCCGAACTCGGTGAAGCCTTCTGTTCCTACTCTTTTCATGATTGATCCATTTTGAGGCTTCACTTCAACTTCCAGAAGCGACAGGGGCAGGATCAGGATGAAGCCTGTGCAAGTTCAGCAGTGCTATATGCTAACGAACTAAGCTATCCCACTGTGTGATGCCACTTTCCGAGAATAAAGAAACGCAGGGACCTCCGCCCGCCTGAATATGGGAATTTGGAAAAATGCCTAATCTCCAGCAGAGTCAAAATGGCTTCATTCCAATGGTAAAAACGGAAATGCCATACTTTCCCTGGTCGCTGTCCTCGCTTCAGTACCTGGCGCCAGTCATGCCGGCCTGCCAACTTTTTGTCTCATCCTCCTCGAAACCTAGCTCCCCTCCCCACCCCCCTTCAAGCGAAACACCCGTCGCCGACCCATTGGCCGGTGGCCCAGCTTTTCAGCTGCCGCTCTGACTTCCGAACTGCGACAACTACAGCGAGCGAACAGCGCCGAAGAATGGCGGTACTGTGTCAAAATGGCTTCCAAACTAAAGCGAGCTGACAGCCCAAAACTAGCGGTATTGTGTCAAAACGGCTTCTCCTTAACAATGCGTCGCTCAGTTCTGGCCCAGCCGCCAACAGCAGATACTGTATTGATAGGCATCGACTATTGCGGCCAGAAGCCTTTCTCCCTGCATTAGAGAGGGGAAAAGAGGCATTCGAGGAGCACAAGGGTCCGCTTCTTTCTTTGCTCAACCACTGACATCATGGCAAACCGCGAATCCCTTCTCGACTCGGGCACGGGAAATGCGCCGATCTCTGTTTCTGGCCCGCAGTCAGGCCAAAGGACTGTCGCTGCTGTCGTCAGGTTATGAGATGGTAAGCCCCAGATCCTGGGTACGTAGAGAGGTACTGTGCACACGCTCCCACTCACACACACAAACTTCGCCTCCCTCGGTCTCCCGCGTCACGGGCTGCTCCCGGGCCCTTCTTCCGTTCTTCTCCTGCTTCAGTTTTGCCCAGTCCGTCACCGTACCGCACACGGAATCCCTTCATTTCCCCTTCCACTTTCTACACTACGTATATGGCTCCACGGTTCCGAATGAGCTCTGGTGAAACTACCGGCGTGCAAATATCCACCGTGATCTTCCTCGTGCTCTCTTTTCTCTGAGCTAGTGGCCAATAGAATGACTTCATCTACACACATTATCAATCTCCCCAAGACCTCCAATGACCTAGGATCAGCAGGGTCTTGCCCTTTTGGGCGTCACTTAGTTGCTCCAGGAGAAGAACCACTGAACCCGTAGGCGGAATCTCCGCCATACGCTCTCAACGCTCTAGTGTACATGGTAGAAAGCTACCATTTCCACTGACAATAGCACCCATCCTTCTGCGCAACATCTAGGTTGTCCTGACGACCCTGACATCACCTCCTACTATGGGTCATCTTACCGTCTCTCCACTCTGCCGTTGTCGCGCCGAGGACAACGAGGCAGCCCCAAGGCTAACGGCCAACAGACGGTGAGATGGTGAGACTCCGCGCTCGCTCAGCCTCCACAGCCAACAGGTACCTGGCCATGGAAGTGACGGCTTGGGGTACCACGGGGACTCACAACGGCCTGAAGGAGCCATATCGTGTCAGCTACTACACTAGCCAGTTAAGCCTGGAGATTGGTTGGATCAGGGGCGGAGCTTTTTACGCCATCTCGTGCAGCCCGTAGGCCACGGTCCCCCATGTTGACTGTGTTCATCACTGTCGATCACCAATCGAAACAGACAAATCCGTGCAGTTGTGGGTAGCATTGCTAAAACGACGCAATTGTGCTGGATTTGAGGACGACAGTGACACAGAGAGAAAGGTACGGGAATTCTTCTTCCTTAGTCATCGGCTTGTTGGGGGAGTGATGTGTGCGAGTTGACGGCACTGTGGTGGGTTTGCTGTGCACGCCCCTCCCATTGACCCCTTCTTGGCTCTTCTGCCACCCGAGATCCGACGGCCGCGGGCAAAATAACAATGAACCCAAAGAGAGGGAAAAAAAAAGAAGAATGACAAAAAAAAGAGGGGAATGCAGATCACCTCACGGTGACGGAGGAGTCCAAGGAAGAGAGGGATCGCGGGGGAAGAGAATTCTTTCACCCCTCCCCTCCTGGTACTTTGGCACTCTGGTACTCTGGCGCTGCTTCTTTACAGACCCTCACCAGACTCGGGTCTCCATACCCATCTTCTGACCACCCCTTCCGCTTCTTCCACTTTTGTGTGTTCGACCAACCGTTGCCCCCGGCTGCTGGCTCCTTGCCCCCTCTTGATACCCCCCCTACCTTGAGTTTGGTGTGGGCCGCATCAGCGCATCAGTGCAAGCCCATTCCCGCCCCTAGCGTGCTGTGTCGCCTTATGAGATTAGCTTTTTTGGAGCCAAGCCATCTGTTATATAGTTCCCCTCCTCCTTCTTCCCCTAGACCCTTCGTTCATCAGTCTTCTCGACATCTTCATCCAGCTAAGACTTCTCCAACACAATCAACTGTTTCCTAGGTCATCTTTCCTAGCGTCATTCTCCTTACCGTTTAAGCCTTTTTTCGCGTCAAGCTATCCACAACACTTTTCCAAGACATCCATCCGGCAACCAAAAGCTTAGCTGCTCAACGCCAACGCAAAAAAGCACACCACCTTATTTGCCAACAACCACAACAACCACAATAACAAACCCCCAAACAGAAATGTCGGCTGCTGCCCAGAACTCTGCCTACTCCATCACAATGTCTCCTCCTCCCTTCGACCTGGGCTCCTACTCCCGCTCCATGCATCAGCATACCAAGCGCCAGATGGAGGCCGCTTCCCAGACAAACCTGCCCAGATCATCGGGGTCGCCTTCCAACAACCAGAACTCCAACGGCCAGAGCCAATCGAACGCCACACCAAGTCTACCCAACGGCGTCTCGGGTACTACTCGCTCGAGGAACTCCAGCGAGTACAGCTATCAATCGTGAGAGCTGCTCCGAGAGTGTGTAAGGATGGGATGGACTGGTTGATTGAGTACACACACTCCTACTCTTGACTACCACCCAACCCGCGCCCACAATCAGGCCTTGCTTCTTTGGTCATCTGGGGGGAAAAAAAAGGATGACATCAATGCTCCTAGAGAACAACGTCAGAGCGTCTCGCTGCAGTGTATCACTGCATGCCGGAAAAGAGCAAGGTGTGCATGCGACAGGCAGGACACGACGAGGACCGTACATGATGCATGATTTCTCCAACAGGAGTGGAACTCGTCATGTTTCTCGCGGCCTGGTCCATTTGACCCAAAAAATGTTCCATATCGCATGCAACCCTATCAAGGTGTCGGGCTAAGGTGTCGGGTTTCAGTGGTGGTGGTTGTCTACTTCTGATCTTTCGTCATGTAATTCGGGTTATCGATTGAGGGGAGTTTATTCTCCTTTGCATATTGGTGGCTTTGAAGAACTGGCGAGTTTTGTGTTTTTTTACGAATATTCTCTCTTTCTGTTGAACTGGCAAGGCGTTTCGTGGGAGACGGAAAGGTTTTCTTTTTTCTCGTTGTGGGTTCCCAGGGAATATATCTAGAAGGGAAAGCGAAGTTGTTATCATACGGTATACGGAGCTTGTTTCTGGGCCATGAGATTCGGGATCTGGCAGAGGAAACTCTTTTGGGGATTGTACATAATAGTCGTCAGATTTCCCGGAATGATTGATGATTATACCCATTCATGATCTATTCAACGTGTTGTTTTTAGAATGTTTGAAAATCTGTGTTGATCTACGATGCTCTAACTAACGGTGAGTGTGGGTTATCAATTGGCTGTATTGACTAGAAGTAAACTCACTGGGTATCAACATCCATCCATCTACCACGTCGATCATGTTTGCTGCGATGTACACTAGAAGGCTGAAAGAATGGCCATTGCGGACCGCTCCTCGTGGCATTCGACAATCTGCATTCGGCAATCTCCATCATGAGATCCATGATGCCTCTCCACACCCTGACGTACTGATGGTGAAAATTTTCGAACCAAGGTATCTTGACTTCCCGCCCGGTTTGTTTCCTCAGACCAGGGGTTGCTTCTTCTTGATACCAAGCAAGGCCGAGTGGTCCTTCTTTTTCTTGACCTGGCGCTTGAAACTGGGAGGGGGCATGTCGGTCGCAGCGGCTGATGCCGGGTTCGAGGCTGTCACCGCTGTCGCCGTCGCTGCCGTTGACGAAGCAGACGAAGGCCCAACACCAGCACTAGGCGAAGAACCGGACGAGCCCTCCCCATTTGCCGCCGCCCCAGGGATACTCGGCAGACCCAGCACCTCCTCCTCGGCCGGCGTTTCCTCCAGCTTTTGCTGCAACCTCGCAAACTCAAATGCCTTCCTAGCCGCTTCTGCATCCTCCTCCTCCTCTCTCCTCCTCCTCTCCTCCTCCTCGCTCAATCCCCTCCCACCAAGTAGACTCTCAATATCCACCCCACCTTCCCTTTGCGCCTTCTCCAGTCTCGCATTCCGACTCCGAATCTCATCCAACGCATCCGCGACCGCCATCTCCCTTTTGGCGTCAGCCGTCTTTTGCTCCAGTTCCGCCATCGCATTCCTCTCCTCCGCTTGCGCAATCTCCCCATTCTCATCCGCCATCTCCCTCTCGATCCGGTCCAGTCTCTGCTCATCCGTCTCCTCCAGTTCCCCTTCCAACCCGCGGCGCCACGGCTCCGTGTTCCGCTTGGCGCCCTTCTCGACAGCATAGTCCTGGTTTTTGGGGTCGGTCCGGAAGACGATCTCGGCACTACAGCGCGTGCATCGGATGTAGAAGCGGTAGATCTGGATGCCGAGGTAGCGCTCGTCGACGGGAGTTTCCTTGCGCGCGTTGAACTTGCGCCCTTTGTACATGTATTCGCCGCAGGTGGAGCAGCGCAGGGAAAAGGGGGCCATGAGGCGGACGGTTTGGACTTTGGGGCCGGTTTGCTTGGGTTGCCGCGAGCGGCCGACGAGGGAGGGGTCGAAATCCGGGGGGTAGTATTTGGTTAGGACTTTGCGTTCGGACATTTTGAGGGTGGATGGGGGTTGATGATTTGATCAAGGTCGAAAAGGTTGACTGTTTGGTCGCTTTGTCTAACAGGGCAACGAGTGTGAAGCGCTTGTGTTGCAAAGATGTGTAGTGATGATTTTCAGCGTGTTGATTCTGGTGTAATCGCGCGACAGAAGTTTAATGTCGTGAAACTGGTGAAACCGGTGAACTCGACAAAGAGATGTTGTTAAAGGTCTGGAGTTCGGCAAGGGGAAGCGGACAGGTGAGGTTGTGGTTGTTGCTGGGTTCTGTCGGATAAGCAGCAGATCGAGATCATGATTCCCCCAAGAGACTTATCCATCAAGGTGGGCGCGCCACGTGAGGCTGGGGTGCAGGCAAGAACGGGAGCTTGTGCCACCCCCCACTTTCCGCTGTCAGATTTCTAGTTTCATCGGTCACGGTGTTAACGAGCAGACAGGTTGCAAATAGTCGAAGCACAGATACGCTCCCGTCGGTATGGATGTTTGCCATCTTTCTCGCGGGGAAAGAAGAGCTCGATCAGCGCGGAGTACTACTGTGGTATGTTGCATACGGTCGATCAACTGTGTGGCTTTGTTCATCCTTTCTGTCGCTGAACCTGGTGCACGCACCGTGACATCTTGGCGGATCCGAGTCGCGTAACAGTTCAAGTTATGAGCGTACTGTGTAGCAGTTGCGGGTTAGGGTTATCAACGATCATCCGCCTTTTAACCCACTGCGCGCTTGTGAACCTTTTGTGAATATCTCCCGTTAATACAAACCGCAACTTGAACGAGCATCGCTCATTGTTTGCCGACGGTTCGAAGACTCGAACAAGGTCCCGCTGAAAATACTGAAGCATCACTTTCATATTGTCTTCAATATTACTTTCAGCATCTGGCAAAGTTAGTCGGTATTCCAGGTATCCAAAAACACGCCGGTCACACAATCAACACGATCACATAGTTGCCTGACATGAGATAATCCCATCACCACCCACGGCATCAACGCCGATATGAAATCCACCAAACATAAACAATAACACAAATGGCCCAGAGCTGAAACAGAAACACCCCGGTCCAAATGGATGTGTACGACAATAACACCTTTAATGGGAATGACGATTTTCCCCGAAAGATCCTGTCCCAGCTGCTAGGCTCAAATGGTATGGCCTCTCACCTCCGCCAACCTAACCCTCTCATCCCAATCCTCAGCTAACCACAACCCCCTTTTATCGAAACAGGCCCCGTCCACGCAGTAACCTACTCTGCCTCACCAGGGACTTACATTCTCACCGGATCTGCCGACCGGTCCATCCGTCTCTACAACCCCATCCCAGCCTCCCCCTCGTCTTCAACCACCACCACCACCACCTTATCAACCTCCTTCATCACAAAACCTTCCCAGGCCCCCTCAACCACACCCCCACAAGGCCGCCTGATCCAAACCTACACCTCCCACGGCTACGAAGTCCTCTCCCTCTCCGTTTCCTCCTCCAACGCCACCTTTGCGTCCTCAGGCGGCGACCGCGCCGTCTTCCTCTGGGACGTTTCGACAGCCACCACCATCCGCCGCTTTTCCAACCAGGGCCACACCACGGGGCGCATCAACTCGGTCATTTTCGCTGGCGTCGATGATTCCTTGCTGATTTCGGGAGGCCACGACACGACGGTGCGGATATGGGATGTGCGCTCGCAGAGTTCAAGTAGACCCGTGCAGGTGCTGGGGGACGCCAAGGATGGGATTACGAGTCTTGCTGTTTCTCCCGGAGGAGCGGAGGTACTGGCGGGGAGTGTGGATGGACGGGTGAGGACGTATGATGTGCGGATGGGACGGTTGGTGACGGACGTTTTCCCGGGAGCGGTGACGAGCCTGTGTCTGGCGAGAGATGGGAAGACGGTTCTAGTGGGGAGTTTGGATAGTAAGATCCGGTTGATGGACAGGAGCAATGGGCAGTGTTTGAGGACGTATGGCGGCGATGGAAATGCGAACGGGGACGCAGCTGGGGGGTGGACGAATAAGGAGATTAGGGTGCAGAGCGTGCTGGGAGGCGGGGAGAGATGGGTTGTTGCTGGTGATGAGAATGGAGCGGAGAACTCGAACGGAGAGGGACGAGTGTGGGCTTGGGATCTCTTGACCGGCAAGCTTGTGGCTAAGCTTGGGGTTCCGTGGGGGCCGGGTGGTGGGAAGGTTGTGGTGGGAAGGGATGGGAAGGAAAAGGAGAGGAAGAATGTGGTCAGTTGTGTTGCGTGGAAGGACGGTGGGTTTGGGAACCAGTTTTGTGTCGGCGGTACATCGGGGGTTGTGACAGTGTATGGAGAAGCGTGATCATCAGTGCTAGTCTTGAATGCATCGAAGAAAATGGATCGATATCTGAGAGCTCGTACAGCCGTTTACCTATGTTTTTACTTGATGCAAAATTCCATACCGATCTAGTTTAGGGGAAGGACCAGGGCACAGTGTACGTCACGTATCATACAATGCGGGTACGAATTGGTTCCTCTATTCCGATCAAAAATTCAACAAGAGTAAGCCGTTCCGCATCTTCTAACAGTTTGAACCCTCATACTACTCTAAACAGACGTATCCGCAGCGTCTTCGGTGGCATAGAACCGCCCTGAGAATCCAAGAACACACCCCGTAACCGCCCATTTTGATCATGTGTCGTGCATCAGGAATTCGTCATAAATTAGTATGTACAAGCATCATTAGATGGCTGGATACCGCCAGCGTCAGACAAGTTCCTTCGTCAGTTCCATAAGCGTATGTATCCCGAAAGCATGTCATATGCAACACCGCAAGGCTACGTAGCCGGGTATGATACAGTAGCGCGGCCTAGAGACTTTTCGTTGTCGAAAACTCAGCCAGCGCCAACGCTCCATTACTGTTTCGTGTTTAATTTGTTTTTTTTCGATGTGTGTGTCGTTCGGGTTTCGTCCACCAGCTTAGCCCATGCCGACGTACTTGAACCAGTTGGGTCTGCAGTCTTCCCTGTTGAGCCAGGCCTCGCCATCGGTGAAACGGCCGGTAACACAGCCCTTGCACTTGGGGGAGTTGGGACAGTTGAAGAAGGGAATGTGCTGATAGCCAATATCGCGGAACCTAAAAAGGGATGGTCAGCATAAGTGGTTTAGGCAAATTTTCTGTCGACACTCACCAATGAATCTTGCTAGAGTCTTCGAAGAGACCCAGGGCAATACTGTGAACAGGTGCGTCACCCCAACGCTCGTAGAAAAAGCCACCGGCACGGTCCAAGTGGTTGAAATAATCCTCGTACGCCTTGCTGCGCCAGAAGTTCATATCGCCAATCTCAAAGTTGCTCCAAAAGTGGCATGTCGAATAACCGTTGGCATCCTTTGTGTGGTCGGGACGGCGGGTCTTGTCCGTCAGCCAATTCATGGCGCTGTTCTCGTGCACATACTCGGGGTGCTCGGCCAAGAACTTTTCGGTTTCGGGCCACAGAGTAGTGATGGAAGCCGGGGCGTCGTACAGGTTGATGGTGAAGCCGTACGTCTTGTTGTTATCGTGCATGTAGCGGAAAACGTCATAGTCGACATCGCAAAAGAAGTGAACGTTGGGCTCGACGCGCCAGTAGTACTGCGTGTTGGCCAGGGCCGGGTGCTTGTAGAACATGCCGCTGTTCCACCGGCACATCTGGTGGTACGAGATTTTGTCGGCATACTGAATCTTCTTTTCTTCGAGGATCTTGACCGACTCGTGGTACAGGTCCTGGTTAATCCATGATGGCATTTCCCAGTGCTCCTTGGGAATAAGTTCTGTAACCGTCATAGTGAAATCAGCCCGTCTGCTCTACGTATCATGCCGTGTGGGTGGCTACACCGCCTTACATACCGTATCTGACCTCGGCCTTCGTTACCGCGCGCGTTCTCTTCTTGAACTCTTCGGAAAAGGGCACGTCGTTGAAAAAGGTCCAGGGGTAGTTGAACTTGTGGTTCCATGTCCGCTCGAGGTCGCGCATCGCCTGCAGCATGCCTTCCAGCTCCTCGTTTCGCACCAGCGCCAGCAGAGTGGCATTGATTCTGGCCGAGTTCTTTGCGCCCGGCGCATAGTCTTCGGAAGCGCGTATGAGCTTCCCTTCGGGTTCTCCCGTAGCTGTGCGACGCGCAAGAGCAGATTAGCATCGAACAGCAATGCGACGGCGGACAAAACAAAAGCGCCACATCCACTTACGGTCCAGGTTGGGATCTCGCTCAAAGGACAAGTATTTGTCTTTGGTCATGGCGGTTCCCGATGGCGACAGAAGCTGCCATATGAAGAAACACCAGACGAGCGCAGCCGCCAGGGCCAGGGCTCGTACTGGGCGAGCAATCGCCATTGTGATAGGAGGTTAGGAGACTGGAGAAGTCCAAGTGTCCAACCGGGATGGTTCGAGGTGTCACGGCCACGGGGTTGACTACTTCATCTATCAAACGGTGATATACCTAGGTTGATGGTGGGATCGCAGCGCGGGGCTCGGCGACGTGCCGACTCTTGTACTGCGATGGCCAAGCTCGGGGGTGGGTCGAGTGGTGATGGCCTGAAAAAGGGGAAGACAGGAACAAGGCAGAATTCAGGAAGGTCGAAAAAGATGGAGATGCCAGCGCCGATGTTAGGTGTGTTTGCTTGTCAGGCGCAGATGGGCACAGATACAGCTGCAGGCAGGAAAGGCGGAAAAGGGGATCACTAAAAGTTACAGCGGGCGGGCAGCGAGGTCCCACGCTGGTGGCTCCCCACTGCCCGCCCGCCGCCACTATCAGCGCAGTCCCTATCGGTGCGTCCAGACGACCGGGATTCGCGTGTCTGAGGCTGATAGCGCTGCCCCTGTCGCATTGGACGGACGGGTGCTTGTTTGCCTTGGCACCACTTCAAAGGCTCAAACAATTGTTTTGGTTCGAATAGGGGTTCATTGAAACTCTTGACCACGGCCACACTCTGATTTGATACCACCCGATTGGCGACGTGGTTGAGTTGGGTGTGGCTTGTTGCTGTACCTTTGGACGGGAAGTGGTCTTGCCTGCCTGGGCTTGTCGTCGTGGTGACCGGCAGGCTATCAGGTGAAAACGAAGGGATGTGGCTGGTCCGTGCGCCTGCCTGCTGTTGTTCGGTGCTGCCCGCTGGAACATGGCCGCTGCAGTGCATCAGGTGCGTGCCCGTGAGGTCTTGTCCCTGTGGTTGAGACGGCCAGTCTATGCCCGTTGAGAACCTCGACAACATTCACCTGACTTTTTGCAATTCCATTTCTTCCATTCAACGAAAGCTTCTTCCTCTCAGCTGCTTCACAAAAAAGATGGTCCTGCTTGAGACGTCCAATGTTCTCATTGAGTGAATTGACATTTGATTGGACTTACCTTTATAATAGGAACTAGTGCATTACCACCTGTTCCCAACTTCACACACTGCTAATTCCCTAGCAAGAGCAGCTCGTTCGGTAAACCCAACCTGGACGTCAAGCGATGCTAGTGGATCAAGTCGCGTCTAACACTGCTTGCGACGAAACACCAGTTTGAGCCGGGCAGTAGACTTTCACTTCTCGTGTTTACTCACTCCATTCTCAGGATGCTCAGTCACTGCAAGGCGGTAGCATGTCATACCTTTCAGAGCTCGCGGCGTTGACCGACGAGCTTATTGATGCCGTTGCCGCCGTCCCAAAGGTCTGTTATTTTCAATCCCCCTTTTCCGGCCATGGCCTGCCTTGACTGACATTGCCATCAGACCCAAAAACGAAAACTCCAGTCTCTGAGGGAATCAACAGTACAAAGTCTGCTGAACCAGAACTTTCTTAGGACGAACCAGTTCGAGGTGCAGAACCGCCTGGCTGGGCTTGTGGAACGCTTCCGCATCATCAATCGAGAACCCCTTGGAGACGCCCTTGAGCAACGACTGGATGCACTCAAGCCGCACGTCAACGACTTCACCCCTGAAGTATTGCACTTTCTCCTGGAGCTGTCCGACAAGCCTGCACAAAAGTCCAGGCTGAGCGATCTTGAGCGCCTGAAAGAACCAGAGAAGGATGCCGTACCCAAACTGACTTGGCGACAGATTGCCAAGGAAGATGGCTGGCATCAAGAGCGCGCTCTGTGGAAAATTCTTGACCATGCTCCGAGTTCAGACGAAGAAGACTATTACGAACGCGAGCATGTGGCTTCCGATGTTTCCATTGCATCTCCAAGCACAGCTTCCTCAGTTCCAGACGATGCCCCACGCACAGCACAGGACTTGGCCATCAAGCTCTCAGGCGGTGAAGAGTTGCTGAGACGGATCCTAGACAGCCAGGACTGGAGAAATGCTACCCATGATTTTGACCCCGATGGGCGACAGAAGAAGACGCCCATCACAAGTCTCCAACTTCTCCGCGAAGTTGTATTTATGCTCCGCGGCCTGCCAACCTCTCTTTTTGATTTGGCATGTAAGCCTGTTCCCGACTACGTGCTGGAGGAAGTTTCGTGGCAGACGTACGATGCTCTGGTGAACACCTTTTCCGAATGTGGCCGAAAGCTCGCCCCGCTGCGCATTTACGCTAGCAAAAAGGAAAAAGAAGAACCACTTCTCCAGGTGTTCCAGGACTCACTTCAAAAGGCTCTTCAGTCATTCGACCAAGAGTTGACTGCTATTCAAGGGCGGTTTGTTACCATTCACAAGGACGTGATTGTCAGCCTAGTGGCCATGTTGGCAGAACTAGGGCCGTCATTAGCCCCCTTATATGTCCTTTCCGGTATCGTACAGCAAGTCCATCGGGAACGCAATACTAAGGCATTTCGTTACCTTGAATTGCTTTATGACGCAGTCGGAATGGCACAAATGGAAGGTAGCCTTGACACATATAAGCTTCTGGGGACCATCTTCCTTGATTGCTTTCAAGTGTACCTGAAACCTATCCGATTCTGGATGGAAGAAGGGGAACTCCTCGCCGGAGATCGGACCTTTTTCATCGGCAAGTCATCTGCGAGGCCCCAGTTGCACCAAATATGGGAACAGCAGTTTCACCAACTCGTCAGCTCGGAAGGAGTCTTGAATGCCCCACGGTTCCTGAGTCCTGCTGTTGATCGAATAGTCCGGGCTGGAAAAAGCATTGTGGTCTTGAAACATCTCAAGCGATATTCCCCTGTAGCAGACCGGATGAAAGCAGAGGAACCACCCATGGAATTTGCTGCCGTCTGCTCAGATGGCACTAGCTTTGCGCCATTCTCGGAGCTCTTTGGCAATGCCTTTAACAAGTGGATTCAAAGCAAATACCACTCAGCATCCATCACGTTGCTTGATATCCTGTTCGACTCATACGGGCTATCGCGGGCATTCGACGCTCTCCGATGTCTCTACTTGATGTCCGACGGCGCCACCTCGGATGCCTTTGCTTCGACCATCTTCAGACAACTGGATAACTTCAGTACGAGTTGGAACGACAAGTTCACACTGACCGAAATTGCTCAGGAGGCATTTTCACAGTGCGTGGCCGGGCATCGCTTGTCCGCCGATATCGAGCAACGGTATATCGCCAACAGCCCAGCCGCTTCCCGGGCCTCAGTCCGCAACACCCTCCCAGCTATCCGCCTCATTTACCACTTACCATGGCCTATCCAGATGATCATCAGTCCGGCCGAGGTCAAAGGGTATCAAACAATGTTTGTCTTCCTGCTCCAAACTCGCAGAGCCATATACCTTCTCAAGCACCCGCTCTTGGGAACCACCACCACGCCAGCCCGCCACCAATCCACCTACTACCTTCTTCGAACCAAGCTCCTCTGGTTCTGCAACACCATGATGAGCTACCTCACCACGCTCGTCTTTGCGCCCAACATCAACAAAATGGACGAAGCCTTACAACATGCGCTGGACGTTGACGACGTCGGCGAGGTGCACTCCAAGTTTCTCGATCGGATCCTCAGCGAATCCTGCCAAGGGAAGCGACTTCGTCCCATCCGCGACTGCATCCTGGACATATACGACCTGGCCATCAAGCTGGAAGACAGCCACCAGGCGGAGATAGCCAGGCTGGAAGAGGAGCAGCAGGAGATTTCGAGGCTGTCGACATTCTCGGCTTCGCAGCAGCAGCAACAGCACAAGCGAAAGACTAGAGCGGGGAGGACGGCCTCGTTGTATAGCAAGACAGGTTTAGGGGTGGGAATTGATGGGGAGGATGACGGTGATGATGATGAAGGTGAAAACGCTGCTTGTGCTATAAGGGAGGAGAAGTGGAAGAGGAGTATTATGGAGGACGCCCTTGCAAGGGGCAACAATAAGTCAACTGCTGCGGTCATGAAAGAGATGCACAGCGACTTTGAGCGGCATCTCAGGTTTGTCGCGAACGGACTGAGAGGTGTGGCGAGGGGGAGCAGGGAGGATGCGGCGGCGAAGTGGGACTTGCTGGCGGAGATGCTTGAGGGGGGGATCAAAGAGGCGAGACATGTTTTCTGAATAGGAAAACAAGTACCCGGGGGTTGCTTTATGGAGCTGGAATGTCATCAGTAGTTGTATGGAGTTGTTAATGCTATTTAGAGCGGTGCTGCGTATCTTCATTGTATCATGTTCATAATCATCGTATTAGATCCTGCTGACATTCGTAGCAAGTCCGTTCATTGAGTTATCCAAGATAGTAAACCTCGTCATCACTCAAACCCTCTGCCTCCCCCCAGAAAGCTATTAGGCCCATTGCGACAAGCGATTAACGCAAGCAAGAACCGCCAAATGGCCTTTCCAATCCAGCCAGCAAGAAGAACAGCAGCATGATGGACTACGGGGGTGATATGATTCTATCTTGCCATGGACTGGAGCATCGCGCGAGGTCGTTTGACACCATCACCCTCAACACAAGCCAGCATCACTCATGACTCCAAACCCAGTAATAAAAGGCATACCATGGCACAACGGTTTCCATTCAACTCAACCACTCCCTCAAATAGCTCAAGAGCACCCATCCAAGCTGCTCGACTCTTTCACAGCAACGGCGAGAACTTCCATTCGCTTCAACTCATATCTGCTCCATCAACAATGCATATATATGCATATGCACACCATGCATACCTACCTCTCTCTACCTTTACCTTTACCTTGCTCTGCCTACCGTAGTAACTCGCCAAATTGGTAAACTTCTAGACTAACCCTCTTCGAGCGCCCGGCAGTAAGCACAGGCAGCGGCATACTTCTGTACCTATGTCCGCTCAGGAAGGTAGTGAAAACTCCTGCATTTTATAAAGCACAGGCTCGGACTTGGGCGCTGCAGATCTACCTGTGATATGACCCTAACCCCCTCTTTTTCCAGTCTGGCAAGTTTCTTCGGTCTATTGGTAACATAGGTACCATGGGGTCTTGCAAATCCCGACGGTATCACGCCGTCCGCAGCACTCAATGAGGTTAGATGTACACTACATAGGTAGGTAGGTATGCTTGTGCCACTCACCAGCAGCGAATAGACGGAAGAAGTTCTATGCGTTCCATGCAATAGAAGGCAATGAATGCATTCGAAGGATTTCGGGCATGGGCAGCATACAAGCTTTCCAGTCTATTAGATATGTACCTAAGTAGGTAGGTACCGTACTTACTATTCTCGCATTGCATCCATCCATCCATCCATGCAGCCTCTTCCATTGTCCGACCTTGTGAGTGAGCCCATTCGCAATGCCTCTTACGTTCTATTATCATCATTATCCTTTATGACCCCAACCCCCCGGAAAGTAAAACCTTCCGTGCTGCTTCTAGAAGGTCAGCCGCTGTCGAGTTGCGGCGTAGTAGATGCATGTCAGATTGTCAGATTGTCGGGGCGTTACATACACTGTATCATTGCGTGCGAGGATGACGGAAGCACGGCAGAAACAAAACTAAAGGATAACTAAGGGGATAAGTAATAACGGAATGATTTTTGTACTTGCATCATGTATGTAGGTGCAGCGATGATGCCTCCCTCCCACATTGGGGTACCGACCGGTAGGTATGGGGATGGTGGGCGGGCCACGGGGAGGGAAGAAGGGCAGTGGAAGGGAAATGGAAGAAGGAAAAAGCAATGAAAAATGGAAGGAAAGAAGGAAGGAAGAAAGGAAGGCTCGGAAATGTGGGGGATGGCGTGCAATGCGATACCTCTACTTACGGTCCCGGGTCGGCTTTAGGTCCGCAATGTGGAAGTGGGAAGTGATTTCACGTGTGATGGCGGTTGTGATCTTGGCTTTTCGGTCTGCATGTTGTATCTCTTCATACCGACAGGTACATTCCATTGTTAGACGTTGATCATTAATCAATGCCATGGGTTGTTTACAAGGATGAACACATGCCTGCCTTCTGATTTTAGAACAGGAAGTGATGATGATTCACGAGGAAAGTCCAGATGACAACCTACCTAAGGTAGTCAAGCACTTTCTCAAACTCCGTGCCTTGCCACTTGCTGCCACTGCATATCCAAATAAGTCTAAGTATGTGAAGGAACAGACTAGCCATCCGTCAAGTGGTTGCTGCTGATGCCACCGAAAGGTAAGGTACGTATATCCACCCATCTCGACTACAAAGTACCTCTAAATCTGGAACTTGACAAAGTCGCTTCGGCACTACAGCTATGCTTATCATTTTCAGCAAGATTCAAATAGTAATTCGAATTCCGTCCTCACTCAACGGCCAAAACAAACGGTACAGCTCGACCAAGCAATAAGAGACACAATATTAATATTTGATATGGCCGTGCTCGAAATGCTACCTCATCTGTCTGCAAAGGGCGGAAAGAAGCCAAGACGTAAGCAGAGAGAGCCGCGCATGAAATGAATTTAAACAGAGGAGGAACCAGGACAGAACGACTGGGATGTCGAGGTACGGTTACATGCATGTTGCGAGTGAGTAGTGGAAGTGGGAAAGTGCAAGCTGGAGTTCGTTGGGAGCGGTACTCACCTGTACTACAGTAGACGTAGCCAATGTAGCAGGTACAATGGGTGGAAGTTGCGTTTTGTTTTTTTCTGTTCCTTTTTTTCCTTCCTTCAGATTTCCAAGACCCTTCTATCGCACGATCCCGTCTGCTCTGCATATTTATCATATCATCGATGATACTGGTCGTGTCGTGTCGTGCCGTAACACGGTACCAAAGGTGAGACAATTCAGCCGTATAAGCAGAGGTGGATGTATGTACATTACTTCTAGTGGCTGCCTGTACGAAGACGGGAAGTACCAGAGTACATACAGATTGGAGGGCCTTGCGAAAAAAATCGAATCGGAGAAACCCAAATGCCTGTCAAATGTGCAGTCCCTATCATATGGCCGTGGTTTACCTGCCTAGGTATGTACATCGCCTCTAGAATGTCTAGCTACCTCTACCTATGTACAACAGCTGCCGTAAAACCTACAACGGCATATCAACTATCACGGTACATATGTGTTCCAATCTCGTTTAACTTTACCGAATCGAGAGCGAACCGCTCGCTGTTAATGGCGTGGAAGTTTTCTGGAAACAGCTGAAGTGTGTTACATGCAAAATGTGCGAATTGCATTGCATGCATGTGCATACATAATGTGATGACTTGGAGGTTACATGGCATGGAAGGATATCGCATGATATTCTAGAAGCAGCCAAGAAGCGAAAGCATGGAAGCCAAGAGGGCTGACGACCTTCGTTACTACCGAAACAACGCAGTGCGCAATGGCAACCTAATTGGGAATAAAATCCAACCCAGGAAATGATGAGCAATGAACTTCATTCGGTCTGTATGCTACCTACCTTGTGTCTGCTGCATTTGGATACAAAGGGCCATCAAACGGATCGTCGGCTCGACAAGTGGCCGCACCCAGGTAAAAACAGGTTTATTGGAGGATAGATGGACAAGCAGATTGGAAAGATGAGGTAATGAGGCAGACGGGTCATCAATTCTGATCGGCTGTGTAACTGTTGATAGAGCCAGGGAGACCGAATCAGTGTCTCGCAGTTGCGAGAGCAAAGCATCTTTCTCAGCCTCTACCTCACCCCATTGACTCTATCCAAGCTCCTGATTCCTGGTACACTCATCGAAGTGAGGGAGTCGCATCACCTTCTGCTCCAAACTCAAATGCCGGGTTATTTTACTGAGCCACCCTAAGGACAGAAACGCCGAAAGCAAATTTGCGCATGCATGTGATAATATAAAAACATGTTGATGATGGTCAACAGGGAGAAAAGAAACCGAAGATGCATCTAGCCGCCAAATACACCCAGACACAGCTGTCTTCAACAACATGCTTGATGGAAGATGATTGTACATGTTGTGAGAAGTGATAAAGGGAAAAGTCAAGATCGAGATATCCGAAGAAGGGTGACCCCAAGAAGGTCCAAGTCAAATCAATAAAAAAACAAGCAGAATCGAACAGGTGGAAAGTAGATCGACTGAAACGCCGTTACTGCGTCACTTCCACTCACGCAGCCACCCATGCATATAAGCCGTGCTGCATAACCTTCTTCATTATACACATAACTCATAATAAGAAAAAGTAGCACGCGTATTCTCGTTGCATAATCCAGAATACTCTGCATATTCATCATCATGGGGGAACCCTTCAAGCCCGGCGCCTCCCTTGTTCAGTTTGTCATACTTCTCGGCGCATGGGTCGTTTGTAGTCCTGCATAGATGCAGTCCATCTCTCTTGGAAACCTCGTCTCAAGCATTTCACTCATTTGCCAGCTGAGCACACCTTCTGAAACTGTAGCCGCAGCCCGTTTCTCGTCTTTTGCATCACAAACGGTGCCATCCTCTCCATTGTGATAGGTCCTGTCAAGGCTGTCGTCGGGATTTGCAACGTAAACTCGGGTTCCCCCAAACTCAAACTCATACTCTGACATATTCCCCCTTCCTCTTCCAGCAAGGGGTACGGTAAGAGCATCGTCCAGACCCTCAGTTTTCTCCCTGAGGGCTACCAGCCTGTCCAGTCGATGATCCAACATCGTCTTGTGCGCCCTTGCATCTTCCCATACCATACCCAGGATCTCCAAGACACTTCGTGCAATGGCAAGACTGTCAATCAGTTCTGGAAGATGTTGTATGCGGCCCTCCGCCGAAAGCACATCCAATGCCTCAAGGACGGCGAAGCTGGTAAAGGGTGGTAACATACTGGTACCATCTGGGCTAGCGTTTCCAGAAGCTTTGATATCATTTGCTACTGTACACACGATGTCCAGTAACTGATGGGCATTGGTGCGGGCTATGCGTGCATGTTCGAGTCTCTGCAGCGACGAAGTCGAGAAACATGAGTGAATGTGTCGATGCGCTTTAACCATCGTGAGATGGTAAACAAGATGCATCAGGATAAAGGATCCCTTATTTTCCCTTTGCACCTTGTCGAGAGCGGCGGCAGAGAAAAGAAAGCCAGGAGAGAGTGAACTTCTCCAGCTTTCGAGCCGGGACAGTAAGCGTTGATGAAACCCGGCCATAACATCCACTTCGCCTTCTGATAGGTGACTACCGGAATGCGCAACTTGGTATATCAAGGCCATGACCTGTCCCCAAAGGGCCACCACCTGAATCAGATAGCCCATCATCCCTGCTTTAGTCCCCTTGTCGACTGCCTGCATATCCCGGTGCTTCTGATCTGGCTCAGGAAGACCAGAAGAGTTGATATTCTCGAATGTCGAGACCGGCACAGAGACGTCCTCTTGTTCTTCGAACGAGCGGATATCCATTGGAAGTCGGAGGAAGATATCGGCTGTGTTGATGACTGCCATCCGGGTTGGAAACAGGCCATTTAGTCTCTCTAATAAAAAACATGACCAGAACGTCCTTCTTCTGCACTCAGAAAAGCCAGCCCTGGTCAAACCATATGGGAATGATTTGCGTCCTACGTCCGGAGACTGATCCAACTCTAGATTTAACTGCAAATAGGCCGCTGCCGACATAGCGCTGCTAGACATTTCATTGGCATCGATAGGCTTCGAAATAGCCATATAGTAGAGGGAAAGGAGGATTCTCGCCTGGACAAGCTGTATTGACATCGTTGCGTGCTCTGTAGCGTAACGGGCTACCTGAGCGTAGTGGTTGGTTTTCTCCGTCTTATGGTCGAGCCCGCTGGACCCAGCAATCGATAGGAGGGAACCGAGAGCAAGGATGCTATAGACGAGCATCAGATCTTCTGGGGACTTGTTCTTATGGTGAGCGATGTTCTGTACCCAGATTTTGAATGCCTTTTCGGGGAGGAATCGGAAGCTCGTGGCATCGATGCACACAAAAAATGAGGTTATGGTGCTGATCACGGACTCAGGATCGGAGACATACGGGTCTGTTTGCCATGCACGGCACACTGTGTCCTCGTGGACGCGAGGAAGTTCAGGCTGACGGTGCCAGGACATGTTGGACCGGATCATGTGGTCCGCTGCCGGTGCCATAAGCGGTCGGTGCTCCCCTGCGGGAGCGTAGATGTCGTAGCCCACCCGTAGCCGTTTCGACGGCACGGATGAGGCCATCTCGGGGCTTGCTGGGCGAAAAGTGGTGCGTGGTGAAACAGATCCACTCGAGTGCACGCTCGTCCTCGCGTGCTCGTGCGGTGGTGGCCGAATTATGCTGGGCAACCGGCGTGCATCGTCGACTTCGGCGGCGGGAGTCGAAGGTGAAGTATTGTGTCCACCCCGCGGCCTGTATCACATAGGTTGAATATTAGATGTTGATCTGCTATCACACAGAACGCCAGCGGTTTACTGGGCGAAAGGGGCTGATAACACTTACGCATTCTTGAACCTGCAAGTACGCCCAAACTTCTCACATTGCGCGCATCGAGGGTAATCTGGATCACACTTGATCTTCTTCTCCCGGCAAGTGATGCAGGCGATTGCTAGCCTCTTTCTTGGCTTCCCAGCTTTTGTCACTCCCCAGTGGGCATTGACTTTCTCGCCATCAATGACATCTTTGCAACGGGTTCCATCGTCATATATGAAATACGTTTCGCCATCGACCTTTTCCTCCCTGACAAATCTGGGCAAAAAGTGCGTTCCTGTCCAAATTTTCGGGCCCAATCCATCCTTGCCCACGATGACCTCTGAGGCACCAGTGCTAACTGGTGTTGGTGGTTGCGTAGCCGGTCGCTCGCTACGTAAGCCCAAGTCTTCCTCACGGCCCGGGATGCCGTTCGAAAGCTGACTATGGGGTCGCTCAGTGGGCGATGATCTATAAGGTGCGTACTCCCGGTTTCCCAGCGCGTATTCTTGGCCAGTTTCGTGACGCAGCGACCATTTGTTCCCAGCGCTGAAACCGGACTGAGAATAAGGCCGTTGGAGCTCTGACTCCCTGACCATGGGTGATAGGGGGCCTGGGAGCGCCCGTGACGGTGGCGGAAAGTGGGGCCGTTCATCAAGTCTGGGATCCGGTGTACTGCGAGGCTGCGAAGTCAATGATGGAGGGGGAAAATAAGGGGACGAAGATGCCGAGTAAGGTCTATCCCAACTGCCAGCTGGTCCTCGGGGATGATCAAGCGCTGACGACGATGTTGTGTACAATGCTGGACGGTCCGAGAAAGTCGGCGAACGCAATGGGCGAAATTGCGACGTGGATGGGCCAAATAGGCTACTCAATGAAGGCAACTGCTGCCGCCCAACGTTTTGGTTGGTGCTGACGTCTCTCGAGGCTTGTGCTTCGTCGGGACTGTTCGTGGAGGGCATATCGCCTGTCCTGGATATGTGGTCATAATAGGACATGGGCGGTGAAAGTGGAACAACGGAGTTCCGTGATCGTTCTTGGAGTATCTTGAAGTTGAATGAGGATATGTCTGAATTCGACAGCTCGGGTGGAGTGGTGGGAATAGATAGCCGGTAACGAGTGTCGGGGCAAGAAGTAATCCCCATTGAGAATAATGTTGGTTCAGCTTTGATAGATCGGTGTCCTTGTTGTCATATCACACCTCAAGAAGCAGGCGGTTAGGGGCAGCCGGGGAACTAGCGAGTCCTGATTCCTAGTGTATAGCAAGCCCAACGGTCTGCCGAAGCACACAAAGAGTCGAAGAAGGCGGCTGGTAGCTAGATGTTGGCCGTGGAAAGGTGCATAGGCGGCACAGTTCACTCACAAAGCCCTTGTATATGGGCACATGGAGAGAGCTACTTAGTCGAGCGCTTAACTGGATGAGCATAAAGGGAGCGCGTTGGACCGTGGGTAACGATGTATGTAGTGATGATGATGATGATCAAAACTTGCGAAAGATTGGATCGAGGCGCCGACAGGGACAAGATTCTCGGGAGAGATGTTGCTGGAGCTGATGTTCAGACCGACAGAGAGAGGGAAGGATAGAGATCGAAGTGGGAAGCCGAATGGGAAGCCAGGCAGAGCGCTTGTGGCTGAGAAGGCTGTAAGTGGAAAAGGTTCGGATATTGTATGGGGGTCCCGTGCATCTCCCGGCAAGAGCCTAGACGTCTGGTCGGCCCCAATCTGGTGAAGCAAGCCGCCGCGGGATCCACAGACAAGGCAGGCTAAGAAGAGGACCACAAGACAGGGCTAAAACTGCTAGTGCTTTGTAGGGTCCACGAGGGGGGGGGGGGGGGGGG